CGATTAGTGCAGTCAGGACTCAGAATGACATGCCTTGCGCAGACTCACTCTCCGCCAAGGAAATACTCAGAAGAGAAAGGGAAGAAAAAGAGGTGCATTCATCTGCTGCGCTGTTGGGATGCCTCCACTTCGAAGACCCAGTATCGCGCCTTCCTTCTTGCTATCCCTTTGACGTGAGGTTCAAAATAAAGTTCCACTATCTGTCGTCCCTGCCATCGATTGGCTCCCCGAATTGAGCCCTGTTGCCTTGTGTGCAGGGATTCGCGTCGCACGGACCACTTCCCAGACTCCAACTATATCGTCAGAAAACTCCGTCTGTCGCTCTGTCAACTTCACCAAAATGTGGATGGAAGCTACAGTAATCCCAGAATACCCGTGATCCATGCTTGTCATCTTCGCAAGTCCCGTCATGGATATGCAAGAAACGGCATGTGAGTATTACAGCGGAAGGAAAGCGCGCGCAACCTGTTGATTGCCAGAATAGCCAACGCTGCAGACTTTCCATTCGAATCGCTCCCACCAGAGCTGAGGCACCGGATTTACGAAGAAGTGCTGGTCTGCGATTCCGAGCTGGGTGCTGGCAACATCGACGACCTACGCAAGGATTTGCCAAACATCGTACACGCCAGAGATGCTTGGCAAGCCATCGGCAATCTCGCACTGTGCTCTCGCCAGATCTACAGAGAGCTGAAAGATCTGTATCCGATATATTTCCAGCATGTCACCATTCCATGTCGCTCTGAACATGCATGACTGCAGTACGACCGAGGCGCAAATCAAGAAGTTACGCCGCCTTGGCCAGGGATACAGCCAACTCCTCCCGACTCTCCGAGCCAGACCGCACAAGACCGTCGTCTTGACTCTGATTATTCACATCTCATACGATACTGAGATCGGCTCGCAGTCTGCAATTGCATTCACCCGAGCCCTCACAGATGTTCCAGGTCCACTCTTCGCCGGTAGAATGAGAATTGCAACCGAAGCCGCCACCTTCACACACGGTGACGACTGGGTGAATGACGAGATTTGGGCTCAATACGATTGCAAGGCATTGAGCGACTTCCGAAAGCTGTTGCGTTTGGGCGTCAAGATTCGCCGCGAGCACTCCGACGTCAACAAGGAGCCTCAAGCACTATTTGGCAGCCGTGGTTATCGAGCTTTGAGGCTGCTTCTCAAGAATCGACAGGGTATGGCCACTGAGGTAGACGATTGAGATGGATAACGGGCATAGATGGCCGATGTAGATGGCTGAGGACGGAGGGTGGTTTGGTGGGTTCTACAAGAGTTCATCATTTGGCCCGCGATAGGCCACGATCCCAGCTCATGATTACGCGGCGGATGGTAGTTGATGAAACTAGACTCTACAGCTACGTATGGCCTTTAGGTTGTATCTTCGCGATACTGTGCATCATCGTGGATGTTGTGTTGCGCCTCCCTTCCTGTCGGTAGATATCGAAAGGTTCATCAGACAAGTATTCCTCACAGGAGTGGGATGAACGCATGTTTCCCGACAGCTCCTCGATTTTTCTAACATACAAACACAATTGATTGTCTTCTACCATGCTGAATCCCGGCTTCCGCAGGCTCAGTGAAACTGGGGCGCCGTCTGAAGTTGTCACGTCTGGCTGGGAGACAACAAAAGCCGATCGAGACTTATCAAAAGAGACGAGAGCCGTACCTTCCGTTGCAGTTGTCCGATGGGACGTGTATCTGGGATGACGTGTTGAGATGACGTGTTCAGACACGCAGTCGAGGACGGTGGATTTTATCCGGAACCATATGACGGGTTTTGTCGCGACAGGATGCAAGGCGTGAACAGGAGTCATTTGAACTGCAGTAATCAAAATTCACTGTCTGTATGAGATCTCGAGCATTTAACTCTGTGAAGGCGAGAAGTGTGGAGGTGACGGTTTTCATCTAGTATATATTCGTGAAATCGGTGGAGCCTTGGTCCACTCACGTGCAAACGTTATATGTGTCATAACATCATCAAAAGCGCCTTACAACTCCTCATAGCCATTGCGACATCTCGTCATCTGAATTTGCTGCCAAGGACTTGACCATCCCACACACGAAGGACTCTTCCCGTGAACCAATAGCGTGGCCAAAGAGAAGGGGAAATGTCGAGCCGTAGAGGGCGTGGCCACAAATAGTCGTACCCGCAACTTCATTCACAGTCAATGAAAGACTGTCGCCCTTTGAAATCGATCAATCCCTGGGCTTCTCTTGCAGAATTGGACCGTGTCATTTCCGTGTATTGGTGGGAGGTGTGGAGCATGCGATGGCCTCTGTAGACAAGCTCCTAGCCCATGCCTTCCAGGGCGCGCTCGTGGAGATGGGTGGAAAAATCGGAATGCGCCACCTTGCGCTCGAGTTTGCGAACAACATGCTCAAGCTTGATGCCAGATGACCTGGATATGGTAATTGTTGTAGTCTTGCGATGGGATGAAGACTTGTATGCGCCATGACGATTGCAAAGAAGCGGAAAGTACCGTGCCTTAAACGTTTTCGAAGATAATGGTGGATGGACAAGGTATTGATACCTTGGGGCCTCTGATGAAGCCATCGCGAAGCTTCAGATCGGTCGTGGTGTATTGGTCGACATTGGAGGTATGGATGACGAGTGGGCTCATACCCGCAAGCATGCCATTGATCTCCTGTACGTATTCCACGCCTTCTTTCAACATCGGCACATAGTTTCCGGTTGTGTTGTGTTGGTATACGACCACTGCAGTCCAGTGCTCTTGCGGGCTTCCCGATACGTAGGCTTGCGAGTAGCCGCGGTTTGGGCCCCGGCTTGGGCCGCGACCGAGACCCAGCGAAAGGAGAGGATGTCCGTGGTGCTTCCCATTTGCTGCATGATGAGAACGCAGATTTCGGGCAGCGCAAGGGTCTGAGCTACCGCCATTTTGGATGCTCCTTAAGCTAGTTAGCCAATGGCTTTCGTCGACGATGGCTTGACTTGACGCATAATGTGATGATCGTTGAGATGACACCAGGCCTGGAAACTTCCACTGGCTATGAGATACGCCGCCAGAGGGTAGAGGTCGTCGAGATGTAGGTGGGTTGTAGGTTGGCAGAAGGATCTCAGCAACAGGAAGATGAGATGAAGGAAGGAGCGCAAGATCTTTTGGTGTCGCGTGCTCTCTGCGCCTTGGTTCGGGCCCGACTGCCGCTGCGCCTTACCCGGCGAGGCAGCCATATCGATAGCCGTACCCAATCACGAGAGTTTTGACTCTGACCGATCGCTTTATTACCCACAAACAACAACAAGAATAGTGAACACAAAGCAGAACCAACACACTGGAGTCGCTTGGCTCTCGCCCCGGACGGAACACGTATTGATTCCGGGAGCCTCGGAACTTGCCGCATTTAGATCATGTGTCATATGCGCTAAGGCATTTCACATGCGGTCAAGACCTACACTTTCCAACTTCGCTGACCTTCTATTCACGACACACCCTCCGACTTACAAACAACAACAACATAATTCAAGCACTGTCATCTCCGTAACCAAGTCATCCACAACCCCTGATTCCTACAATTTCGTCACCCACACAACGTCACCATTTCGCGGAACAATCCGCGGTCAAGCACCTGGCATTCGATCCTCGGCATCCTTCAAGTCATCTCTCGTTAGATAGACGTGAGGGCTTCAATATCCAGTACTATGGGAGAACCCGAAGCAAATGTCAACACGGAGGAGGGAATGGATGACCAAATAACGTCCGTACTAGAAGACGGCACAGCGGAGGAGAATGATGTTACCATGCAAGACCAATCGCTCGAGTCTTGCGAACGACACCCCGATGATGCGTCAACGGAGTCACGAAGTAATACCCGAGGATGCCAACGACAAGAATCCCGACGAGGATCTCATTGCCACGTTGAATCTATTCCCACAAAATGAGCGCTTGATTGCTCAAACGTTGGCAAACAGGAAGCTCGGCGAGCCGTCAGAAGACTGGACTCCACAGAGACACGAGAAATACAAACAGCTGTTATCCAAGGAGCCCTTTCGCGAATCGGCCGATGCAACACCGATTAAGGCAGACCAGACTGCGGGTAACTTCCGTCGTTCGAAAAGAACGAAGTGCGGGGAACATCTGAGCATTCCGGAAAGTGGCTGCGACAGATCAGCAGGACCCATCAATATCGGTCTTTGACGGAGAAGACAAAGCAATTATCGGCTTCAGGAATAACTTCAACTTCCAGTGTGTTATCTCATGCTTGCAGAGGAAGAAGCTTGATAACGGTCGACGAGGCCTCAAGAAACGCAACAATAATCAGCAGAAGGTTTTAGGTGATGAGAAGACAACTGAGGACGACGAAGGAGATACAGACAAAGGAGATGACGAAGATGTCCTCCAACGCGACAGTCAAGTGCCCAATGGACACCCTCAACAAGACGACATCGAAAATGGGTCCGGAGATATCCAAGTTTGGGGTAATGGGGATGATGGTCCTCAGGAGGGCGGCAATAGGGAGGGCGGTGATGCAATGGACAACGAAGATACATTGGATGACGAAGATACAATGGATGACGAAGACCGTGACGTCGCTCCCATCCCACCTCAGCTGGTCGTGGATACTCCAATCAATCTCACTGGCCCCGAAGAGCTGCTATTCGATCAGGTCAAAGGGAAGGGACGAACTCTTTTTGCCCAACGGCAGCTCCAGCGTATACTGGAAAGCATACGAGATGACTTTCCAGGAAGTTTCAACCTGGTCGGATCATTAGCTGTTCACAGCATGGCCCAAGATATCTCTCGCAAGTATTACGATGAGCTCAAAGAGCTGACCCTCAACATGTTCGAATACTTCAGGAACGTTGCGGCATTCAACAGGAGTCACGACTGATAACGGAGAGGGAAGCGGTATTCAAATTCTCGTGTCTCATGGGTATGAGTACAGTTTGTTTGGTTTACATACGAAGTAGCGTGCCTTATCCCGGATATGTATATGAGTGGTAGAAGACAGACTGTCCCCGTAGAGAGAACTCAAATTCCGTCATCGCATCCTCGAGTACTATATGTGTCACGACAACCCGACTACGCCACGGTAATCTCGTTCATTCAAATTCGCAATCTTCAACCTTTGTGGTAGTGAATCTGCGTATGGCGCCCAGCCGATGGTAGTTTCCGCTTGAGAGGGATGTGTGAGGTCCGTGAGCCTCTTGGTCTCGCGTCTGTGGTTGGCCAGGAACGGTGTGTTGTCTTTGATCCACTCCCAATACCCACGCCATTGCTGGACGCTGCGTCTTCCCAGAGGCACTTGAATTCCGGCTGGGTAGTGGCTGAATCCCGTGCCGTTCACGACATAGCCTTGAACCAAGCGAGTGAATAACACTTCCGCAAAGCCGGCATGTGAAGTCTTGCCGATAAGAAAGATAACCATTTGCGTATTTTTTCTTTTCCCCTCAAACAGCTGACTTGATGCGGCGCGCACGAGACCCATGAGGAAGTTTGAGCGGAGATCCGTGTCGTGTTCGCCAAAGCGCTTGCCGATGTCACCGGAAAATCCGACAAGCTGCGGATTCCCGTCGATTCTTAGCTCATCCTCCTCCAAACGAGGATTCTCTGCCCTGACGGTATGGATCATCCTACGGGAGTGCTTGAGGAAGGTAGTGGTTGTTTTCTTCCGGGAGTCTAGATTGTTTAGGTACTTGCGATAGCCCTGGGTCGAGTCGTGTGTTGTGGTGTAAGGGGCAAAGACGCCATCAATATCATGCGCTAGTCTGTGAAGAGCGCCTGTCTTGGGGTAGCAGTACACATCAATGGCGTCCAGGATCTGCTCGTAGTCTCTGACAAGGGGTGGCAGGCCCTTGTGATCGCCAAAGGCCATATTGTACGCTGCGGGTTGAGTCGCTTCAATGGCCTGACGCTTCAAGCAGTTCAGATGGCGCTGCATATTTTTATCGGAGTGGTACAGAGATGCGAGTGTGGAGCTGATGGCAGCGACCAGTAGCTCATCAGTACAGGATAACAATATATTCTATCCCTGTTGTAGGAGGTCCCAGGGCTCTCCGCCGCGGAAAGCAACTGCGTTCTTCTCTTGGATGAGCAACTCTCTTACGAGAGCAGATCGACCGTTCGCCAAGGCATCGTTATACTTTTGGGCCAGCGTTCCGCGGGAAGTGCAGAGACCTGGGTTCATGCGCGGCTTGAATCCGTTGCCTATGGTTGAGTGTGATGATGCACCAATTGCTATAGGCAGATCAGCTGGTAGTCCAGTCGCTATTGGCGAACTCATCTTCTCTTACCAGTGCCCTCCGCGGATGATGGGATGTATGACAGGTTGGCGCAGCTGGCAAATTCCTCTGACAGCGCTGAACGCAACTCTTGCGGAGATTGGTCTTCCTCGGCGGCTGCAATCTGGAAAACGTCTTCATCCGAAAGCCCGAATCCAGTGAACACTGTGCCAGTTAGACCGTCAAAGTACTGCTCACTATCTTCTGGAAACTCGTGCTCTGTCATGCTCGGAGTGCTGGGCAATTGGTCCGGGGCAGCAAGACCCAGCCTGACCCTGTCCTGTGAGTCCTCTGATCGCTCGTACATTTGTATTTGAGCTTGATAGGCTGTGCTGGGCAATGCTTTTGGATTGCCAATAATGCGCCGAATGGGGCGCTGTGGGCCAGTGTCATCTGGAGTAGGTGAGAGCCTCCTCTGTAGCAGCTGTATCACAGCTTCGTTCGTCTGCGGCTCGAGACCAAAATACTTTGGTGGTGAGCTGCCGAGCGGTCTGTCGTGTGATGACCTGTTCTGGCCGCGGTGTGGTTGTATGGTCATCCTCGAATCGGGTTCAGAATCTTCCATGTCAGGATCCGCTGGAAACTCTGAATTGAAAGACCCGTCCGAGTGTGGACGCCACGAGCGAGGAGGACTGGGACGATCGGTAGAAAACTCGTTGGATGACTCGGGCATGATGCCTGTTGGCTCGATATCCTGAGATATCACTGGAGTACTCTCGTCACGAAGCGCATGACCAAACCGCGGGCCGTCTCCCATTGATCCATCGCCAGCTGGAGGGGCACCCCTGTGGTCCTGTGCATCGTAGGCTTGTGACATACGGTTGGCTGAGTCCAGTGTCTGGGTAGAGGACATACTCAAGTCTCCTTTGCTCAGCGCCCTTGTCATCAGGCGTTGGGCGCTTTCTTGCAGCTGCTCGTCCCCAGAGCTCTCGAATAGTACGGCCTGCCTGTCCAACGATCAGCATCTGGTCTTCTCTGGAGGGACAGAAGACCTACCTTTTTGCTAGACGCGTACCCAACTGCTCTGAGACCCTTTTCGTGGCCAAAGGTCTTGGTGGTGGTGGTGGAATATCACCTCTTCCGCTTGGGCCCAGAGTCTGGGACGACGGGGCGTATCCTTGGCTTGGCAGATGCTGCCCATGAGCCTGCGACCATGATTCTACAGACGAAGAAGCGGGCTCATATGAGCCTCCGGAAGAATCTGGGGACTGTGTTGCTTGGGTTGAGTAAAGGTTGAGATCGGAGTTGGTCAATGTATCCGAAGCGACCATGTGCTGAGGTTGTCTTCGCAACTTTCCGTAGGTTCGTTTGGGCCTCGAACTCTTTTGCCGCTGCTCTGTGAATACGAGCCTATCCTCGTCGTCGCTGGGTCGATCTTCAGTGGTACTGTGATCGCGAGGGAAATTATACCGCTCAGGATGCCAAGTGTCATCCTTGATTCCCTTCAACTCCTGCTTCTTCTCCCGTTCAGGATACTTCCGATACTCGTAGTGGCTAGAGGCAGGCTGGAGAGATGACGGTGGGATGTCCTTTACCATGACGGGCGAATGATAGTAGATGGAAAAGATTGTGATGGTGATTGTGTGTTGTGGCCTTGTATTGTGTCAATGACAGAGTGTGGGAAAGAAGTGAAGTGTCCCACTTGATCCGAGCGCAAAGCTATAGTGATGTCCATATTCTGGGAAAGAGCGACCCGGAAAGCGCTACCCCCCCAGACTCGGCGCTGCTTTGGGAACCTTTACCTAGTTTTGTAGTGAACAGCAAATATCTCTATAACTTTATACTGTATGTTCTTAATTTCGACATCTCTAAAGCCGCACTCGAGCGTTCCGCATGGCTTGAGAAGTTTGATAGAGTACGCGCCGAGGCGATGGAAGATCTCGTGTCTGGTCTCGACCCACTATCTGTGCCAAAGGGCGTGCAGCTCATGTGGGATCATCAGTTGGATCGCGGAGCAATGCTGAAAGCCTCAAGATACATGAAGAGTTGTGAGGTGGCTTGGTATATCGGCTAAGCGAGTGGTTGCGTTGTGGTATGCCAACGCCTGGCTCGGTCTGGTCTCATGTTCGGGCATAACGTTCAGAGACTGTAGCCCATAGTTTTCGTTATGAAATAGTTCCAGCATAAGTGTCGATTCTCTTCCGTCATCCACCGACATTCAAACCGTGCCCTGTCATGTGAGTACATTTTTACCTCGCGAAGCTTCTTGCGACCATATTGCGTTGCGCTCTTCGTCGCTCGGCCGTGAGTCCCCAATGTATCCCTTGTATGGATGCGGAAGCGGTAGGATGACGAACGTCTTCTTGTCCTGCAGCCAGCGGAAGCATAGCCGCCGGGAACAGAAACAGGTGCGGCATGCATAAGCCATAGGATTAGTCTCCGTCCAAAAACAGTTGCTTCGCAAGACGGACGAATAGGCGCATCGATGGGGTGACTTGCATTTATCGAGTAGCCTGCCCGGGGAGAAGTCCGGGTACCTCTTTTGTGCCGTCGCAAGGACTACACGCGCCAGATCAATGACCTCCTGAGGCGGTTCTCCTCCTAGAACCAAGCCGTGTTCAGTCGAAATCTCCTGGATGACGCGGCAAGGAAGAGACAACGCTCCAAGAGCAGCTGCTTTCGTTGATCGTGCCACATCCTCCTCTGTATGACTTCCCGCACCTGACATCATGGCCATCGGATGACCATCAGACGAAGACTGTGGAATAAGGTCGGTCCGAGAGTCAAAGACGCGTGCTCTTTCCCGATTCTGGTCTGGAGATCGGATTTCTGTGTCACGCATATCTGGAAGCAACATCCGGAGGCGCGCGATCTCGCCTTTGAGGTCCTCACACTGCTCACGATAACGCTGTCGAAGATCTCTCTCGGCCCCGATGTCAATCTTAAGCCGATTACATTCATTGTCCCGGTCGTGATATGTTTCCCGAAGCTGCTTGATGTCATACGTGTAACGCTGGAGGGTTTGTCCGTGTAGGATCTTGTCATTTTCGAATTGCTCTTGTCCTTCTTTAGACAGCCGCTTTTCGGCATTGTATTGCTGCAGAAGCTGATCTTTGAGTAGCTTCTCGTTATCCCATTGGAGTTGAAGTTCCAGAGCTGCCGTCTCTTTGTCGCTTAACTGCCGTTGAATGAGATCGTACTGGAGCTTCAAGGCATCGTGCTCCTGCTGTCTCTCGCGATGTAAAGTCTGCCCATGTTCCAACTGCTGTTTTGTTTGATCCCATATCGTCTTCTCTCTTGCGTGATGCGCGAGAGCCTCCGCGGCCCCTGAATCGCACGATTGTCTCTTCTTGCACTCATCGTCGTACTTCTTCTCCAGGAGAGCAATGGCCGACTGCGACTGGCGTATGTCTGCTTGTAGCTGGGCGTTGCTCTTCGAGAGCCCATTCACTGTCTTCTTGAGCACCGCTGCACAGAATGTTACTGTTGTTCCAATACACTTCCACTGCTTTGTCACATACCAGTAGCTGCAAGAGTATCCCCCTCCCCCAACTTTCGCTTGGCGGTGCGTGGAGCGTCCACGTCAACTTCGAGAGCATCGATCGACGGGCCAACGGCTTCGCACTGCTCCACGCTCGAGGCGTCCGGATTCTGCAGCGCAGCACGGAGCCGTTCCATGGCGCTGTCTATCGTATTAGCACCTTCCTCCCGAATTGGGGAGTTGTTTCCAAATCTTACGTGTTGCATCTCTCACTTGTCTCTGGATGAGGAGCACCGTGCTTGGATCTCGGATCGACCATCTTTGCTTCGACTGTCACCACCGCGTCAAGGCGGGTTCTCGTTGGGGGTATTGCTCTCAGGGGAAAACACGAGTAGGGAGATGACGATAGAATTTGCGCAGACCAGACAGTGAATTTTGCTGAGTGGAACCTGGTTGTGAAATATGAGTCAGCACCTTGGAGGATAGAGAAGAAAGCAGATGCGGCAAGAGCGCTACCGGAGGCTTCCGCTCAAGTCATATCGGGAAGGAGCGTGTGGGTAAGCTCATGTGCCCTGTCTACTCTACCCATTGCATGTTGGAAAGAACAAAGGAGATCAGACATTGGAAAGTCTTCTCGTATGCGTGTACTCATGGTAGCCATTGATGCAGCAGTCATACTTCACCTCCCGCAATACATCACCCACGTCGTTTCCTGCACCCAGCAAGTCCAATACCCTCAGCCGATCCGCTCGTAGCCCAGCTCGGTCACTGTTTGGTAGTCAAAGGGAGGCAGATGACGGTACCGAGATTGCGAAGGTCCAGCGAACGGTCATCTTCGAACGTGGGACTGACGCAATTTCCTGGATCGATGTCGCTTCGATCAATTTTGCGAGAGCGCAAGCTATAGACCAGCATCTACCGAGCATGACGATCTCCAGAGAGGTCCCAATTCACCAGACGCGCCAACATTCCGCGTGGAAGTACTTGAGGAAGAGAGCGCGTGAAGATCTTCGCCCCTCACTGCACGGTGCATCTCCGATTCGCCCTTGAGTCCAATGCTATAGATCTCAGGGGCTGTCTCCGGAGCAAGCTTCGGGGTGGATTCAGATGGACGAGGGCGAGGACATGAGCTATGGTATCCTTGTGGACTCCGTTCAAAGCCAATGCCGTGGCTGCTTGTCCAAGCTCGCGTTATTGGATTTATCGGGCAATGGCAGATGCAAGGCCATGTGATATCGTGCCGTTGCGTATGTCTCGTCTTCACACACAATAACAAAGTCACAGAGCTCGCGCTCATCATATTGCCGAGAAACATTAGCCATTCCCGATGAATGTTATCCTTGTGGAATGACGTACATCGGGTATCGGTGTTGGAACTCGATGACCGCAGCGAAATCCTTCGAAATGGGAGCGAACAACTTGATACTGAATGGGCGTCTTTGTGAGGAATTTCAGGCATTTTAAGAGAGTTTTTCTATCATAGGCAGATCCATCCAATGGACGCTTCGCTGGCATGTGAGATTGGCCGTACGGAAAGCTCATGGTTGCCTCGAGACTAGGATGACGGCGTGTGTAGCGGATGGAGTTGGTTTGCATCTATTGTTCTGGGAGTGGTAACTGCGAGGTGGTTTCGGTCGTTGGCTAACAAGCGCATGATGAGTAAGCGCGGACAGGGCGGGGCGGCCCTCACTTCCGTCCAGAGCCGACTTTGGAACGATCAAGGGTCCAAAGCCTCGATGTAGCAAAATTCGTAGCAAAAATTGTCAAAAAAATATAGGTCTGGATGCGAGCGTCTGTTCACAAACAATTCCGTAGAATTTTCGTACTGCTCGCCGGACTTGAACCGGCGACCTTCAGTGCACATAAATGTTAGACTGACGTGATAACCAACTACACCAGAGCAGCTGCTCATTGGATGAAAGCGATATGGAGCTAGAAAATATATAGCTTAGAATTCTTGTGCATCCAAGTCAGACCCGAAGCAAGCGAGCTAGTCCAAATCCGGCAGCCGCCGGTACCTCCGCTAGAGCATCTCCGGGAGCCGGAGAAAAGGTTGTTCCGGCGCCGCGTCTGAGAAGGAGGTAGGTGATTCCAAATGTTGGAGCAAGATTACGAACGGGACTGATTTAGCACGGACTCGTGGAATCTAGGTAGGCGGTGTTTAATCTCGAAGAGATAATAAGCTGTTGTTCCCTGCGAGCGAGGAGATGCTTGCGAGATTCAGCATTGGGGCCCAACTCGTTCGTCTGGTAGCTTCTCTTCCATAAGCTCGTAGTCGATCGGACACGCATATAAACATACAAAGAGTTCCCCAAGTCAGCATAGTATCTAGCTGTCAATCACAATTCTGCTCGCAACGATGAGCTCCTCCGCTCTTCTCACCGCCCACAAGGTGAAAGTCCTTCTGGATCCCGATAGACTAGATCAGCACTCAGAAGACAAACAACGTCCCTGGTGCCCGAGTGTACGCATAGATTCGAACTGCAAACTCCACATGTCTACGACGCAACAAGAGCTTTGGAACAAGCCACTGCTACGTCTCTGGGACCGCTGGTCGGGAAGCCAGCCCGACGAAGACGATCGCATGTCTGCCAGAGACCCCAGTCGCTCGCTCGCCACACGGCAAGATCGTGTTGAGACCTTGACGTGGCATGCCGACAATAAGATCTGGGAAGAAACGCCTTACCTCTCCTTCACAAGCGAGTCCACGGCCATTGAAGACCTTGCGCGCCAAAGGAACAGAGCAGGAAGAGAGGGATTGAGCCTCACCGTGATCGATCCACGACTCCGTCTCTGTCGAGGTCGCCCAGTCTTGCACTATGAGGATGAGATGCGTCAGTACGGGATTGAAGATCCATATCACCAAGGATACAGGTACTACCAGCAGCATTATCTGTGCCTTTGGGAAGTTGCCCCTAAGGAGATAGTGGGCCACTGGCGATGGGACGAAATCAGTCAGTATCCGGACTGGTACGAGGAATTCATTCTACCCAAATTTCGAACCTTCCGGAAAGGGTGGTGGCCTCAATCATTGACTGGCTTGAAGAGCCTCGCAGCGCAGAAAGCAGGGGCAAAAAGTGAGTCTATTAGCAATCTCGAGAATGCTGTGGGTAACCTGACGCACCAAACAGAGTCAAAGGCCTCGATGGCATCGACCGATAAAATGCAAGACAACAAAGGCGCAGATGCTGTGGAGAGTGGTGAAAGCACTAAAGATAGCGAGGATGATATCGCCGAGAAGCTCCAAAATATGACGTTGTGATGGCCTGACTTCCCTCTTCCATACCTACTTTCTCTCTCCGGTTAGGTAGGTATTATATAAGATAGTAAAAGAAGTCTCTATAGCGCGCCTAAGGACAAAACGCGTCCACTCATTGAGGCTATACACAGATTACTATACTTAGTAATACTTACTACTAGAACATCTCCTTATAACTCCTATAAACGCTCGTTCTCTATAATAGCTATCTAAGAAAATTTGTCCCTACCCCTAGTCTTCTAGCCTAAGGTAGATATAAACAACGATATATATAAACATTCTATCTATTACGAGATCCTTTAGAAAAGCCTACTTGAATAACCTCTAAGTACCTACTACTCGTGCTTAATACTACGTTCTTTCTACAATACAGTATACCAGGGCAAATCACTATGCAGCCATACTAAGCTAGCGCGTTTTTGTCCTCAGACTCGCTGCGCGAGACTAGTGGTCTGCAAGATTTTGATGGAGATAGTGTGAGAGAAGGGTATCGTCGAGCGAAGGTGAGTTGGCAGAATGAAATAATGTGCTGGGTGAGAAGCGTCATGACAATGAAGTGTAAGATACGCATTTTAACAAGAAGCTACAACAACAATCATCAGCTCGTCCTATACTTACCTCGATGACACCCCTTGAAAATCCCTCTCTACTCCCCCAAAACATCACCCTCATGAAAAACCAAACACCTAACCTCAATACTCTCCCTCCCCTCCTCGTGCTCCGTCCCGGGAATCTCAAACGCAGAATGCGGCACCCTCTTCGCCCGACTCAAACCGTCCGCGCGGTTATCGAAACACTTAATCAACAGCACCTCCTCGGGCCCTTGCGCGTACTTGTAGAACCATTCCTGGTCCGCGGCATACCGCACCCCGAGCGTCTCGCCCTGGCGCTTCTCGTAGATGAGAGCGAGGGGCACGAGGTCGGCGTCGGAGACGCTCTGGGCGGCGGCGACGGCGAGGGGATCCCGGCGGATGGGCTTGATGGGTCGCCAGACGTTGATGATCTGGACGCGGCCTTGGAGGAGGTGGGGGGATTCTTCCGGGAGATGGTAGGGGACGCGGGAGAGGGAGGCGGCGGAGGATTGGTCGATGTGGACTTGTTTGACGGGGCCGCGGATGGCGGTTGTGGGTGCGTCGTGGTCTGGGTTGGGACGGCGGATCGTGTGGTCGAAGATGAAAGTGCGGGTTGCTCCGGTACTATCGGATGAGTATTAAAGCATGTTTGATGAGGAAGGTCTGCTTGGTGAGAGCGCTTACACGTCCTTCAGCAACTGATCAACTTCCTTGTAGTAGGCATCCTTAATCCTCTCGTCATCTAGAAAGTCTTTCTCGGTGCTGACGTGGCGATGAATCTGAAAGCCGTGGCTGTCAAGTGTATACTTGTCTTCATTGCCAGCAATATCTTTGACCGTGACTCTGTGTGTCGCAAGCGGTCTCTGGTATGTCTCCGGTTGGCCTACGTACGTAGGTCGAGGCGGCGAACCATCTTCGTTGTCTTTGAAGAAGTTCAGCTCGGTCTCGACATCGTGTGGCTCGGCCTTTGGGGCTTGCGAGGCAGTGGTAGGGGCAGGCGAGGTTGGTCGATGTTGTTGTCCCAGACTGTGAATGCTCGAAGGCAACTGAACGGTAGCTGTGGCCATGGTCAACGATGAATGTTTGGGAATGTCTGGTTCCAGTAGATGTCTTTGGCTCTCGACTTTCGTTGATTGGGCGCCTTTTTATATGCCCCCATGATCAGAGTGAAGGATCAGGCGTTGTCGTGATATGTAATGCAGAAGAGCTCCCCGCAAGCACGCCATGCTATCGAGCAATAGTTTCATGTGGTCTCGATTGAGGTAAGCCAATCGCGAGCTGGGGTAAGATCCGTTCCGGACCTGGTCTCACAGTCAGATTATTAAGCCCGCAGTGATCTGATGTCGCACAAGTACAATGTGCAAGGATGGCGCAAATGTAACAAGGGCTGTGTTTGGATGAGGACGTATGCTGTAGCTGTTGCTTAGAAATCCCATCTAGGCACCAGCGTGTCTGTTGTACGAGGCTTTGCATTGTGCCGTTTGTCGTGCTGTAGCATATCTAACGTCAGACAGAACTCCCTGAATGAGCATACATCGTCAAGATTCCCTCAGAGACTTCATAAAGCCACGTGCACGACTTTTCGAATGGGTGTACCATCTTCCAAGAGCTCCGTCTGGTCCTCAAGTCTGTAGCCACGCCAGCGAGGCAACAGCTTGGCATACACGAACCAGTAGAGCACTCCGAATAGAAGTCTGTATATGCGTCAGTCTAAGGCGGCCTCATCGTCAGAACGCGGTTTCGCTTACACAGCTATTCCGACAAGAGCATACGCAGCTCCCCCCACCAATCCTTTCTTTCTCTGGGCTTCGCTTGGAAAGAAAGGAGCTAGCATAAGCGCAAAGGCAATGACCAGACGTACAAAGACACCAGGTAGCCATGCTTTGTAAGGTCTCTGAAGATCAGGTTGTTTGAATCGAAGCCAGACAAGACCAAACGCAACAGCGAAGGCGATGATCTGCCCGAGATAGCCTTCTACCTCCAAAATGAAGGAATATATATCGCCGCTAGGGATCGTAAGTACTAATGCGGACGGGATATAATGGACGATGAGGCCGCCGAAAGGTGATCCAAATGGTGCTGTCGATGAGAGGATGCGTGAGAATGGAATCAGGCCAGTCCGCGCAATCTCTTGGTTGAGTCGTGCGAGCGCAAACGTGACGACCATCACATTGCCAACACCGGACAGTGCGACCAGAAGAGGAAGCACGCGACGTCCGAATGTCTCGCCGAACACCCGTTCGAAGAACAGTCCGGCGATGAGCTCGCCGCTCGTGCGGATCTCGTCCAGAGGCACAACCATAAAGTAAGCCACATTGATCAAGGCGTACATCCCGCAGACGGTTGCCAGAGCTGTCCGTGAGACAGACTTCAGCGTGCGCACTGGGTCTTTCACCTCGTTCAGGACGTTGTTTGCGTTGCTCAGTCCCGCGAAAGAGTAGAAGACCTTGATGATCGACGTCGCGATGGCGCCCCAAGACCAGATAGAGCCCGCCCATAATCCCGTCCAAGTCCAGTCCATGGCCTGAGGTCCTAGTGTGGCGGACGTCCTCAGCGCGGTCTGTTGCTCCGGTCTGAAGAGCACGACGAACAGCCCGCTGAGGATCATGAACAGCACGATTCCAATCTTGATCCAGCCAAGAAAGTTTTGTATCCGTATGCCAGTCTTCATGAAACACGCATGAACAAAAGTGATCCACGTCAGAACTCCGACTGCCAGAACTTTCCGCAAGAACTCGGTGCCTTGGATGTCGAGAGCAAAAAGGGTGTATTGGGCAAAGATGACACAGTTGCTAGCCGTGAGCCCCAGCAGAATGGCTTGGGTAGCAACGAGGATGCTCGCCAGATACTTTGGCCTGCGGAAGGTGAACTCGAGGTAGACCTTTTCTCCGCCTGAGCGTGGCAGCATACAGCCATACTCGAGTGAGATCATGAGGCCAAAGTAAGCCAAGGTAGCACCGACTACCCAGAGGGCCAGAGATAAGCCTGGAGAGCCAACCGATGCCAGTATTACTCCAGGCGTAGCGAAGATACCGGAACCGAGTACTCTCGAGATGGTGAGGATATAGGCACTTCTCCAGTTGAGGTTGCGACCCAATGTACTCGTCTCTGGGAGGACATCGGATTCAATATCGGCTGGCGAGTGCTTGACCTCCGGATCGGCCGCCTCTACATGTTCACTGCTACTGTTGATGGACTTGTAGCCGTCGCTGGGAGATTGGGAGGACAGCAGCGACGAAGTGGCGCTCGAGGCCTCGGCGGTGTTGGCTGCCATTGCTGGTTGAGGTGTCGGAGGAGGAGGGATTGTGGCTCCAGGGCCGTCGTGATTAGAAGAAGTTCATGTCGTGGCGGCGACGGGAATCAGAAGTAGGACGACTGGTAAGGCAGCGTCAGATTGCCCGGAGGTGGCCTGAATCACCTCATTGCATGCTGGAGTTGTTGTATGGCCACGAGGTCGAGGGAATGTGGGAGGCGATAGGAGATGATAGGCTGTTTGGAAGCATGGCATGGCATGGCATGGCTGGCAGCCAGAATCGATGTGGGAGACTTCAACACGGTCAGCACGCAATCCAGGGACCTCCTGACGAGACGACTCGGGATCTCGTCACGTGCCCCGTTTTATGAATGACGCCGGGCACGTGAGCGTGAAGTCAATCCCGATCCCGATCCCGATCCCGATTCCTATCCCGACTGCCGTTCGGCCCGATCACTGCCTGAGGCATCAAACGCAAGCCGACTCCACGACCAAGCAACAAACATTCCGAATCCATCCATCCCCCCGTGTCCCAAAATGTCAGACCTCTCCCAACGAGCCAGAGAAGCCATAGAATCCATCCCCTCCCGCTTCCGCGGTCCAGGAGGCGCAATCGCCGTGCTCCAAAATGGACAACCCATCCACGAACACGCCTGGGGCTTCGCGGATCTCGACCAACGGATCCCCCTCAGCGCACATACCAAGATGCCAATCTGCTCCATCACCAAGCAGATGGTCTGCATGCTGCTCTTCGACTTGATCAGCAACCCCACACCCGCCATGGTGGCCACGGGACGCGACGTGTGGGATCTGCTCTGCGGGGAATTCGAAACGTTCCTGCCCAATGGTCTGGGGGGGAAGAAGATTGCTCTCGCGGACTTGTGTAATAACCAATCTGGGATTCGGGACTACTGGGCCATGTCTACTCTCTGGGGCGCGAGGCCCGAGGACAGATTCTCCCTGGATAAGCACGCACCGGAAGCCCTGAAGCGGACAACGTCGCTACACTTCGAGCCCGGCACGGAGTATTCATATTGTAATTTCAATTTCTATATCCTCGCCCGCCTGCTGGAAAGAGTATCCGGAGTCCCTCTGCAGCAACTGCTCACGCAGAGACTCTTCGAGCCTGCGGGCATGACCACCGCCTCTCTCATACCAGACACAGCTCAGCTACCCCAACCATGCATCGGCTACGAAGGCGACGTCGAGCACGGTTTCCACCCGGCTACGAATCGCATCGAATGGTCGGGAGATGCAGGCGTAGTCGTCACGCTGAAAGACATGATTGCCTACGAGCAGCATCTAGATCGTAGCTGGAACGATCCCAAGAGTCCATATCGCAGGATTGCCGAGCCTCAGACGTACAAAGACGGGCATTCTGCTCCGTATGGCTATGGCTTGGCTCGTGGAGAGGTGGGTGGAAAGACCGTGATCGGACATGGCGGAGCACTGCGAGGCTTCCGGCTCCACCGGGCGCACATGCCCTCCGAGCGTCTCTCGATTGTCGTACTTTTCAACCACGAAGCAGATGCCGGAGGCGCCGCCAAACAGATCCTCCAGCAGCTCTTAGGCGTCAAACAGACGGAACAGAAATCCACCCTTCGCAGAGACCAGCTCTTGCATTGGGAAGGCGACTTTCTCGACGTAGACACCCAACTAGCGATCCAGATCACGCCAGGAGAGGGAAACCTCTCGATCGCATATACCCGCGCAGGAGGAAGCGAAAAAGTGAGACCAGTAGACCCAGACCACGCGAGATCCGAAAGCATGGAAGCCCGCATCGGATCCGAAATCCTGCACATCAACCGCCACAAGGAAAACCGCGTCCTCGTAGCCCGACGCATCGTCAAGCGCGAGAGTAGAAGCGACCACGCAGGCGAGTACTACTCCGCCGACGCGGATTCCACCTTCCACTGCAGCGGCCAAGGCGCCCTTCTCCACGGTGCCTTTGACGGGTTCCTGGGTAAGGGGCCAGAGCATCTCATGCGCTCTCTCGGAGCAGACGTCTATGCGCTCTCGAATCCTCGAGGGATGGATGCGCCAGCTCCCGGGGATTGGACTTGTGCCTTCCATCGTGACGGCAAGGGCCAAGTAGCCGGTGTCACGATAGGATGCTGGCTCGCGCGCAAGCTCGAATTCGTGAAGCGATGCGATAGTTGAGGAAGAGAGCACGCTCAGACAATCTCATCCGCGTAAGGTAGTCCGGCCTGGCATCCCATCCTCTCCACGGATTTCGCGGCAGCTTTGCAGGCAAACCGCACTGCTGCGGCGATATCCCATCCTCCCGCCTGCTTCTGTCGTACGTATTCCACCGCGTAGGCTCCGAGAAAACAGTCCCTAGGAGTAGAAAATCCCCGTCAGCACCAAAAAGTCTCCCCCATATATATATATATATATATATATGTATGAGAGCATGTTCCATCCAAACTCACCCAGCCCCGGTAGTATCCACGACCCTCTCCGCCTTCACACCTGCCACAAACCCTTCCCGTCCCCCTCCCCCCTTCTCCGCAAAATACGCCCCTTCCTTCCCCAGCGTAAGCACCACACTCTCCGCCCCATCGTCGTCATCGCCCAGAAACGCCTCCCACACCGCCCGCCTTCCCGCCACACTCCGCACCTCTGCCACCCCACACAACACCACCGCCTCGTGCTCATTCACCACCAAACTCTTGACCCCCCGCCACCACGCCGGAATCCCCACCAAGTGCTCCGCCGGCGACGCATTCAGAAACACATCCACCCCGGCCCGCCGCGCCATTCCCAATACCGGCAACACGACTTCGTCCCGTGAAATCTGCGCGAGATTCATGACGAGCAGATCTGGCGGTGTCTCCGCCGCCCCTCCCACCAGACCCCGTACCCCCTCCTCTTTGCCAGGGAGGCGATACCGCGCATTCGCCCCGGGCACACCCACATTCCCGCTCTCCCCACTACTGCCCTCCTCCACCAGCACGACGCAAACCCCACTCTTCGCGCCGGCGAGCTCCTGCACCCCGTCCACGTGCACCCCTTCGGCTTGTAAACCGCTCTTCAACCGTTTGCCGGCTTCGTCATCGCCCACGGCGCCGTTCATGTAGACCCTCACTTCTTCTTCTTCTTCTTCTTCTTCTTCTTCTCCTCCTCCTCCTCCTCTTCCTTTCATCTCATCCCTCCTCCGATCAGGTCGCACACGCGAAACCCTCACCGCCGCAACACACACATTCCCGCCTTTGCCGCCGGGGACTTCCAGCACGGCCTGCCCCGGCGCGGCGTCGAGCGATTCTCCTAATTTCGGCAGGCGCGGGAGTGGGATGATGTAGTCCGTTAGGAGGCCGCCGAGGACGGCGATGCTGGGCATTTGATGAGTCGTTTTTGTTTCTTCTGTCACGACGGGAGGAGGAGGAGGAGGGTGTCGCAAGGTGGGTGGATGGGTTGGAGACCATATGAGAGGGGGGCAATGTATGTAATGTATAGTGGTGTGGAGTGGTGTGGAGTGGTGTGGAGTGGACCCGAGCGCGCGCGTTTCTGGAGCGGGAAAGGGACGGACAGTTCGCGACCTACTAGGTTACGGTTACGGAGACATGCGTTGAGAGGATGCGCTGTCGACACGTATGATGCGTGTGATAGCCCGCTGATAGAGAGGCGTATGGAGCGGTGCTGCAATCCTGTGTAGAGATTCCGTGTTCGAAGAGACCTGAGGTACGACGAGGTTCGAATCCGAAAAGCTCAGACCAACATCCATCCCAACATCAGGCGATTCATCACGAGACAAGGTGGACAACAAATCCTCTCTGTGTTTCGAACAGTGTCACTTTTCCATCTACATCTTCTTCGTCATCTTGATCATGGCCTCATACGTAGTTACATCGAAAAGAAATTGACCCAAAAATCTCGCTGGTCATAGTCATAGCCGTAAGTATCTCCTGCATCCACAACATACACATCTTAACCGAAGAGCGCATCACCAAGTCTGATCGACACAGTCTTGGTCTGCGTGTAGTTCGCAAGCGCATCCTCTCCGAGCTCACGTCCGATACCCGACTCCTTGTAGCCACCAAAGGGAAGCTGGTGGTGCAGGGTGTTGTAGGTGTTGACCCAGACGGTACCGGCCTTGAGGGCATTTGAAACCTCGATGGCGGTGTTGAGGTTCCTGGTGTGGACAGCAGCGGCGAGACCGTAAGTGGTCGAGTTACCGATCTTGATGACCTCCTCCTTGGTCTTGAACTTGGAGATGGAGCAGACGGGGCCGAAGATCTCTTCTTGCATGATCTTCATGTCCTCGGTGACGTTGGAGAAGATGGTTGGCTCGATGAAGTAGCCCTTGTCGCCCTTGCGGTTGCCACCAATCTCGACGGTGGCACCGGCGTCCTTTCCGGCCTTGATGTAGCTGCGAGGAAGAGTCAGAATGGATGAGGCTGACGAAGGGAACAGGACGACATGACTTACCCCATGATGCGGTCAAATTGCAACTGCGAGACCTGTGGGCCCTGGAAGGTGTCCTTGGCGAAGGGGTCACCGACGACGTTCTTCTGTGCTCGCTCCTTGAAGCGCTGGATGAACTTGTCGTAGATGCCCTCCTGGACGTAGATACGCGAACCAGCACAGCAGCACTGGCCGTGGTTGAAGAAGATACCGAAGTTGACCCACGAGATGGCGTTGTCGATGTCGGCGTCGTCAAAGACGATGTTGGGGCTCTTTCCACCAAGCTCGAGGGTGACCTTCTTCAGGTTGGAGCCGGCGGCAGCCTTGAGGATGGTTCGGCCGGTGACGGTGGAGCCGGTGAAGGCGACCTTGTCGACGTCCATGTGCGAGGCCATGGCGGCACCGGCGACCTTGCCGAAACCAGAGATGACGTTGACGACACCTGGGGGGAAACCGGCCTCCTTGATGAGGTTGGCGGCAACGAGACCACCCAGAGGCGTCTGCTCAGCCGTCTTGATGATGACGGTGCAGCCGGCAGCGATGGCCGGGCCAATCTTCCATGCCCACATGAGCAGGGGGAAGTTCCATGGGATGATCTGCGCGCAGACACCGACGGGCTCCTTCTTGATGTAGTTGAAGGTGTCGGGGGTGGTGTCGACGACCTTGCCCTCGATCTTGTCGGCCCAGCCGCCGTAGTATCGCAAGCAGCCGGCGGACATGCCAATGTCGACCTTGGCCATGGAGACGGCCTTGCCGTTGTCCAACGCCTCCACGGCGGCCAGCAGGTCGAGGTTCTCCTCGAAGAGCTGGGCGAGGCGGTTGAGCAGCTTGCCACGGTTCTCGGGCGTCTCCTTCCTCCACGGGCCCTCGAAGGCCTTGCGGGCGGCGGCTACGGCGATGTCGACATCCTTCTCGGTGGCCTCCTGGACGGAGCAGGTGACGGACTCGTCGGAGGGGTTGATGACCTCGAAGGTCTTGCCGTCGACGGCCTTGACCCACTCGTTGTTGATGAAGCTGGAGTGGCTGTCAGCGCCCGTGCCCGGCGTTGAGTGTGCTGTGTGGTTGCGTTGGAGTCGATTGACTTACAGGCCGGTTGGCTGGGTGTACTTGCCGGAGTGCGGCGTCTCGAGCTGGACGGAAAGACCAGACATGTTGGGTGTGAATTAATAAGGTAAGTTGCTTCTAGGGGTATCGGTATCTCGACGGAGTGGGAGAGTGCCAGTGGGTGTGGGTGGGTTGGAGGGAGAAATGGCAAGAGAGAGGGAGCCGTGGCCATGGAGGGGTTAAGTAGGGCGATTGTCTTGGGGGACGGCAGGTGCGATCTCCCCACCAGACGCTGCTCCTCTCGTCCATCATCGTGCCTGCCCTGCCGCTCGCTCGCAAGGATGGCGGGTGGTGGCATTCTACTGGCCCGCTGGTCTCCTTGTCGCCGATGGCTGAGTGATGGCAATCATGGCTGTGATGGGATGCGCGTGTGGAGAGGGGCGAGGGGAAGGCCGGCTGTGGAGCAGAGCAGATGCGGGGTTGCTGAGCCTCCCGTCCCTGCCCAGTGTCCCCAAACCGGAACATGGCGCGCGCGCCCAAGCTGCCTCGACGACGACGACGACTCTTCGCCAGCCGGGTCTAGAGCACTGTCCGAGGACACGGGTACGTACCGCTGATCCTCGCCTTCTGCGCGTGTACATCACCAGCAGGCACATCTCCCGTCGCATGTGAAGCCAACGCCGACAACATCAACAACATCATCAACAACAACAACGACAACAACGACAACAATACCGACACTCATGGCCGACTGGAGCACCATGATATCCACTGCAGGGGCCACCTCGGCCACCTTCGTGACCATCTCGCTTCTCTTACCAGCGAGCTTATCATGCCTGGCCAAGTCACCCGTCACCCACCACCTCCACCAGGGCTTGTCCCTATCGCCCACTGCCGTCTCGCCGGCCGGGTGCAAGGACGTGAGAGAGAGAGAGAGAGAGAGAGAGAGCACGCACGCGTTCCCACTCTTCGGAGCACGCTCGCACTACCCCGGAGCTTCACGAACCATGTCCTACGGCCCACCTTCCTTGGATCGCCCGCCCGCCCGCCCGCCCCTCAAGGTAGGAGGTAGCGTCAGGGACGGAAGCTGCGTGCAAGGCTGGAAGCTGCTCCCGAACGGCCATGAACAATGCCTCTCCCAACCCTTCCTCGTTGACAATCCAGCGGCGCACCCTCGCAGCACGGAGCACGGAGCCGTGCCGAGTGATGCCGTCAGTCCATGCCTCTCCTCGGATGTATCGTGGTCGCCCATGTACACCGAATACCTAAGCCTACGCATACCCAACGTCTCCCTGGGCCCTGATTGAACACGACCTGTTGTGGGTGCGGTGACGACTCCATGCTATCACCAGAGCTGCCGACGCAACGCCTTGCTCGTTATCGTCATGACCTGAATGGCTCCTTTCTATCCACTTCATCTACCAAGACCTTGGGGACGCCCACGAGAATTGAAACACTGCTTGGAGATGGAGGTGGTCGATGAGGACGACAGAAGGAATCGCTGGCCCCGGTGGAAGGAAATCGTACCCGCCTTATTCTGATCAGAACCGTTCTGGCAATCTAACCCGCAAACCTCATTCATTCTTGCATTCTGAAATCCCATCGCAGACCGAAAGAGAAAAGAGTCCAGTCTGCCGTACCGATACATCCTCGTGCAATGGCCGACGCAGCATCAGTCCGAACCAAAGCACGTCGCCTCCTCGTCGAGCCCTTGGAGTCTTCTGCCGCCTTACATGACCTCGTCAACCATGGCATCGCCGCCGTTGGGCGCGGTCGCAGGCTGAGCGGCGCCGTTGGTTGGTGCTGCGTCACCGCCAAAGTAATCCTGCATCTCTGCGTCCAGCTCGTCTGCCGTCTTCGCCTTCGGTCGGCCAGCACGACCTGTTCGCTTCTTCTTTCCCTTGCCCTCGCCGTTGGTCGTAGCAGCAGCAGCGGCCTTGGGCTGAGCCTCCTTCTTGTTCATGTGCTTCTTGTGTTCTTGAGCGGCGTTCTTGGGTTGCCTATGACTGCAATCAGCGATCCCTTCGTCATCTGGCCGTGGTCGTGCTTACACTCGCTCGGCGAGCCCCTTGGGCGCGGCTACGGGCGCGATGCTCTTGGCTCCCATGACGACCTCGACCTGCGATCCATCAGCTGCCGTCGACAGTAGACATTGGAGTCGTACGACATACTCTCATCACCTTGCCCTCAACCTTGAGACCGTCGAGCTTGGTAGCGGCCTGGGCAGCGGCAGTCGGCTTGCCGAAAGTGACAGTCGCTGAGCCACGACTGCGTCCTTGTGGTCCGTAGTTTAGGATGACCTTCTTGACCGGAGCAACTGCTGTGCCGAAGTATTCCTGATCACATAGACGTGTTAGTCCACCACGAGACTCAAGAGATATAGCGTTCGAGCCAGTGTTTTTGCGCCAAGGTAGGTGTTGAGGCAACAAATCCTAGGTGTCCATTTCTCCTTGGGTGAGCACATTGGGTCAGAGAGCAAGCAAGCAGCCGTCGAGCGGTGTTGAGTGTCGCATTGCGTTTCCAAACTTTGCCGTCCACAGACGGGATGTGTGCCGTGGACTCGGTCGCAGTATAGATGTTCAGGAACAGGACAAGACAACATCCACTTCGCGCGTTGAGCATCTTCGCCGGACTCTCGTCTTGCAACCCCATCCAAGTCCGTGTGAAGTCCTCTCTTTGCCGTTGTCTCGCGTGACAAGACATGCTGCTTGCTCTCTGATACCAATCCAGTGCGGTCACGTCTGCACCTCATACGCAACTGCTTGCCAGGCAGGCGACTCGAGAGGATTTTGCGCAAGACGGAGAGTATGTCCCAGCTCGTAGTGCGGTGCTGTATGCTTCATGAAGCGAGCGAGCGCAGAGCATGATGGACTTGCGAGTCTTACAGACTCAATCCCTCAAGGAAGGCCAAAGCCATTTCCACATCCCCAATATTTAGGCGTGCAAAGTGTACAAGATCGAAAAACGGCGGCGAAAGCGGATGCCGTGCGGTCCTTCCGGTCAACGTACCTTGATCATCCCCTCGTTCACATCCTCGGGCAGGTTAGAGACGGAGATCTTGCTGTCTCCGGTAGCGGCTGGCGCAGGTGGCGCAGCGCCTCTGGTGGGCTTTGCGACCTTGCCCTTCTTCTGAATACCTCCCGCCGGGGCGATAACGGCGGTGGTCGCAGCCTTGGACTTGACAGCGGCTTTGCGGTTGGGCAGACGGCCTCGTCGTCCTTTGCTGGCGGGCTTGCGGTCCTTCATGATCTCGTCGAGAGACTGGTCGAGCTTTCCAGACATGGTGACGACTGATGATATTTGGACGTGAAGGTGTGGGTGGTATTTGTTGGTGTGAAAGGTTGCTGGCTGCTGGCAGATGAGCGCGGTTGCGGACGGAAGCGTGCAAGGCAGCGAGCTGAGTGTCGACTTGAGGGTCAAGTCGGTTCGTAAGAAGTCGGGGCTGATGAGTCAACGGCTTCGCGGCAGTAGTTGGTGAATGGAGTGAAGTCGCAAACTGAAGATGAATGGGACTTGCGGGTGTCGCGCGCGAGTTGGATGCGTGCGGCGAGGCTGAAGGCGGCGACAGAAGGCAAGCTGGCAGACGCTTGCGCGGGTCGCGTGTCGAGCGGGCGGTAACCGGCTGAAGATGGCAGCGCTCGATTAAGAGATGGCAAGAGGTTGGCAAGAGGAGCAGTCGAGAAGACTGTCGCGGATGATGGATGTGGTCGCGCGACTGTTGATGGTGTGTCGTGCGTGGTGTTGTGTTGTGTTGTCAAAGAGAAGCAGAAGCAGAAGCAGCGCGAAAGGGCGGCGCGGAGAGCGACAAGGAGCGGCTTCGTGCACGGACTATCGGCCCGTACCGCGTGCGGCCCAGCCACATCCTGTGATTCTTGTCGAAAACACCGCCCCCCAAACTCCACCATCACAGCATTGAGATGAGAACCGAGCAATCATTTTGTCGACTCACTCAGACGCAAGCAAGCTGGCATTCGTGGGTTGAAACTCACTCGTTCATCTTTGGGCCGGCTCGTGTCAGAAAGGATGCGATGCTTTTACCGCCCGAACAAGCAGCAACAAGGCTGCAATGCGACGGCCATGGAGGGCCCAATACCGCACGGAACCTCACTGCGTCCTGAGACAGATGCCTGAGGCGGTCTCCGCATCCTATCGGACGGATACTGCGTCTATCCCACCCTTTCGATCCTGATCGCAATAGTGGCCTCTGGCCGCAAGCGTTCGGGTGTCATAGGAGCACACAACTCACTATAGCAAGCTATGGAAGGACATGGTGAACTTTACCTCCGCGTCCGGCCTTATAGCATAGCGGCTCGAGACGTTGGTCTCCACGAACGAGCTCACGAGTTGCTTGTTAAACACTCACCATGCGGGCATTGACAAGATAATGATTAGGCAGAGCTCCTCTCGGGTCCTCAACTCTTCTTGTGCGCTGCACAGCGTCTGCTGGTTGGCGTTCTCTATCACCTCGGATTCATGCTCGTTCGAGACCGCTGGAAACTCCAAGGATCGCCTCCAAGGATATCCGTGACCGCAACCCAACGACCAAGAAATGCCAAGCAAAACCACATGTCTCGATTGGAGTGGTCACTGAAACAGATGCCTCACCTTGGAAAATCTTCGGCGGCGTAAAAGATCCGGCAAACAAAGATCTCTTGCCATAGGCGAAGTGGTGACACCTCCAATTTCGGACATCCCGGACCTAGCCCTACGCTGAACCACGTGGGATTCGTACAAGCCGGGCGCCAGTCAGGATGCGAGGTTGCTCATCATAGGAAGACTGCCTTCCGTCTACCAGGATTCTTTGCTAAAAGTAGCCTGGCAGTCTGCTCTTCTTTGCTTGTTACTCTTTTCGTTCTTTTCAGCCTTGAAAGTCACATCCAACTTCAGACATTCCTTGGTGATATGCGTTTACGAATTCAGAAGAAGAAAAAACAGAGCAAGGTCTCGAACAAAGACCCACAGGGCGAAGAACATGCCGCTTCTTGCAGTCCGCAGCGCGGTAGATCTGCAATGCAACGCTTCTTTGGTCAACGGGACAGGCCTCAATCTCCAAGAATCGATATCAAACGTCCAGAGCTTCTGCCAGAGCTTCGCTTCTCAGACGATTGGTACCGGAGAGAATCGAACGACTACCTACAAGCCTTTGCTCGGGAATTCCAATATGCAGATGTCAATTACACTTACCGATGATTGTGGATCTTCGACGACATACACTATTGATCAAACGGGTTGTCAGAGCCTTTTCTATCGACTTCTCGACTCATGTCCAACGCAACACAAGAAGGGCGCTTTGGGCTACTATGGCGGGACCATTCAGGACGCTTGTGCGACCTACACGCTTACCACGGAAATTGAGGAGCAGATTCTCTGCGGATCAAACCCTTATCACGACTCTTCAGACATCTACATCGAAGCGATGAACAAAGCAATCCACGAATACTGCTCTTCATCGTTGACGATAACACCCAACTTTGTGCGACCAAACGGTTTCCAAACGACGATCCCACACGGACAGAGTTTCGCGAATGCGATCATGGAAGACGGATTGGTTGTGAAGATTGTTACGCAGTTCAATGAATTAGGCCAAGAAGGCTGTTCGGCCAGTAAAAGGTTCAGTACGAAGGGAAGCGAGTGTACAAGGAGGCTGGAGGGTATCCGAGACCGGTGCGGTGCGATCGGAGGCGTGCTAAGGGAGAATGGCGCCAACGGATGCGTGGCCTGGACGGTCTGGGGACGAAAGGCTTGATCAGACGAAGCATACTTTAAAGTAGCCTCGAGCAAGAGACTCGGCATCGGGCCTGCATAGATACCCACGACGAGTCGTGCAAGCTTTGAATCCTTTTCAAACCCGTCACTTCTCCTGGCTCGCGGCATCAACGAATTGTTCTCGAACCCCAACTGTGGTAACAGAAGCAGAATCGCCCGCTTTCTTTTAGCCTCTTTGTAACCGCCTGGTACCTCCTGCGAGATCCTCCGCCCACTGGCTGCCATAAGCTCTTGGCGCGAAGAGAGTCCATGCCGGATCATCATTATCAGCACACACACACGTCTCTCCGGCCTTCGCCGCCCATGAACCAAAACCTGCGTAAGAGCGCAGTGTTGTATTACAGCTCTGGAATTTAACTAGGTGGCCATTTGTCGCCGGATTACAAGTAGCCTTCTCTCAAGGAAAGCGGTCCAGGCTTCACGCAAGAAGAAGCATCGCGATTCTGGTGCAGTCCAATCCAAACTGAGGCGCATGCGGCGGGCACGGGCTGCCACGCACATGCTCGTGCAAGAGTCACTCAAATGCTCTTCCTGACCTCGTCACATGTGCGCTGCCTTGTGCCTTGAAGCTCAAAACGCCAGAAACATTGCCTGGCCGGGTAGAGTGACGTGGAAGCTGTGATTGAGCATGATTGGACTGCGGAAAAATCGTCTCAGTACCAGGACGGCACATCAAGTCTCATGGAACTGTCGACGAGGAGTAAAACACTATTATGCTTCGACTCTTGATCTATACATACAGTAATTTATGGGTTCTGGTCGATCTGCTCATACTCTGATCGACCCTTTCAATCATGGCTGGAACTCTTCTCAACCAGCGGCCTTCCACTGGGTTATCGTACACTCTACTACTTTCCGGTCATTCCTTCAGTTCTTCACGTCCTTCTTGCTCTTCTCATAAAGCTCCTCGATCTGCGGCTTTCGCTTCTCCAGCACACCCTTGATATCTTCCATCGTGTTCTTCGCCAACTCCTCGGCCTCGGGGGCCTTCGACTCAGCAACCTCCCGGAGCTTCTGGAGCTGAGGAAGGATAGCTGAACCACCAGGAATGACGTTCAACCATTGGCTGATGCTGGAAGAAGAGAATTGGCCAGCCTTTTGCTCTGCGCTGCGCAAGATGTTAGCTGAATACGAGACAGGCGTTTGTGAGTAGGACGATCTTACCTCTGCACGTATTCCTCCAGACTACCCATATCACCGGAAGAAACTGCTTGGCGGACCTTGTCGAGTGCTTCCATGATGTTACCATTCTTTAGCGTGTCGGCGTTTTCCTCGATGAACTTCTTCACCTGAGGGCTCTTCTCCAATTGCGGCTTGATCTGCTCGTAGCCCTGCTGCCACGCCTGATCTCTCAACTTCTTTAGCTCCTCAACCTTCTCCTGCGCAATCTTGCGAACCTTGTCCACCGTATCGAACGAGAAGCCCTGGTTGATGACATCCTGAATCTGCTTGTACGTCTCCTCGACCTGCTTCTTCGCTTCTGGTCCCAGGCTGTCGCCGAACTGCTTCAATTGATCGAAGGACCCACCGAGCTTGTTCTTCAATTCCGGATGGTTGTTGAGGATATCCTCTCCGGCATCCACAGCCAACCCGCCAAGCTGGGAAAGATACTTGGACAGAATACTCCACACAGCACTCAGAGTCTCCAAGCTCACATCCCCCTTCTTCGTCGTATCCTTCAGTTCCCCATACGCATTCTTCACAATCTCATCCACCTCCCCCGAATGGTTCTTCCTCACAATCTCCAGATCCTTGAAAATCTTATCAACCCACTCCCGACCTCCTGGGATGAAAGCGGCGTATTTGTACGCAGCTTGCTTAAGCGTCTCGATTGCTTCGTTCGGTTCGGGGGTGTTTTCTTTCAATTCGATTTTCAATTTCTCGGCGGCACTGTTGACGTAGGACTGGGCTTGCTTTGCTGAGCGAGCGGCCTTTCCGACGCCACTGAACTGGTACCAGGCGGCGAAGACGACGAGCGAGGCGACTGCTCCTCCTACTGCTCCGGAGATGGCGGGTGAAGAGCCGCTGCTGCTGCTGCTGCTGGAAGGACCTGATGTCTGCTGAGCTCGCGGAGCGGATCTGGCGAAGCGGCGGACTGTTGGCGCATTCGCACGCACGCCGCGAGTTGAGCGGACGACGACTCGCGAGGAAAACATTGCGATGGCGATGTTGTGGGATGAGGTAGGTTTGTTTCGGGCCCGAATTGATCGGCGACAACGTCGAGATAGGGCAAGCTGATGGGGATATCAGAAGCGCGTTAGTAGAATTCACTTCGTGTTGTACTTGTGATGTCGATGGAAATGTTTGGGAGGAGATGTTTACAGGTTTATTTACACGTGCATTGACTGCCTTCCGCTTGCGTCCAAATGACGAGTGGTGAAGTCACACCGCTCAAAGTGGAAGGAAAAGCCAAGACTCCACAGACAGTAGAAGTATATCCACTGCGTATGTCATCCGAGTGAAAGCAAGAAACTCATGCGTTGCAAAGCCCAATTCCTCCCCCCCCGGTTCGTCGTTGCTTCCTGCCACAAGCTCGCTTGCCAGCCCACCAGCTTCGATATCCCGGGGAACACTGTGCATATCATCGCATTGTTTCCCGATGCTGGCCAAGACCAGGGTAAGGGCGAGTCGGATGGCCCAGAATCAGCGGTGACAGCCTTCGAGATAACCCTCCGAATTGCAAAGAGGCCACAAATATCGGCGGCTGGCACGTGAAAGAGGGCAGTGACTTGATGAAACGCTCCACGCGACCGGACCGATGGGCTCCCAGAAGGGTCTTTGCTCTCACGTCCAGGAACTGTGGGTTTGCTCCGAACGAGAACATGGGAACCATGGAGATTGAGCGAAGCATCGCAAGCGACGTCCTCGGTCGAAAAGGCGGCGGGTGTTCATCGAATGGAGATCGTGCTGCAAGCCTCGTCCGTCCTGTTCTCCGTACTTGGTGTGGGAGGAAACGACAAATGTACCGCTGCCATCGACGGCAAATCCTCAGCCCAACTCCATCAGATTGCTTTCCTAGCGATCCGTCTTCAAGTCAAAATGTAGAGTGCGGCGTATGCCAAAACCACGACGGGGATGAGAGGCAACATGTTGTAGATTCGAATGATTTCCAGCAACAGCTCAGCGATGATGAGATGTTATTCCCGCGCAGTATCGTCGACAACATATGTATCTCGGTCCTCACTAAGATGTTGAGCCCACCCTTGACACTCGTGTGACAACTTTCCTGTTAAATCCACCAAGCTTCGTTCTAGCATCCAGGATCTTCCAGTACCAAACGGCGTTATCAGGCAGCGAGAGCTTTCAATACGGCTCTAGATTCTTCACGTCAAAAGCTGTAACGCTCTACTGACTGGGAAGATGGCGGTCTATATATTCGCACGCACCACAGAGTTGCCGCCTGCTAATAAGTGCTGTAGTCGGTGCACGGAAGCCGGAGCCAGACGGATACAGAGCTTGTGAGCTTATGACCAGGTCACCGCTGCTTTCACGATCACGAACCATCGTCATCCTGCGTATCAAAAGCCTATAAGCACTAGCCACGAGAGCATTGCTAGTGACGGAAAGGCATTTCCTGACGAACCAGAAGAGTAGGCTGGAAGCTGCAGGTACAAAGATACATGCATGGAAGCACTGATTCTCTGTTCGTCAAAGTTCCTCGTCGGCGAGTGGTGAAGACGCTATGGCCGAAGCTATCGAAGACCGAGAGCTGCTGGGCAAGGTTAATGGCTGAGAGAGGAAAGTCGAGTTATCACAAAGTCATACGACCCGGCTGTGCATGTCGCTAGTGGGCTTGGAAGGGACCAAGGGGTCGGGAGCACAGGCCCTCGCACGTGAAAGAAGCTTTGCTGCACTGCGCGTCTCTTCGGGCCGGGCGCCGGGGTGTTTAGACCATGTGGGGTTGTCGAATGTTTCTTTGGTTGATGACACGAGAATCATCCCCAACATCTGCTTCGATGGTGCGTGCTGTTGCGCGTCTGGGCATGGGAAAGACTGCTGCTTCTCCTGCTGCTGCTGCTGCTGCTGCTGCTGCTGCTACTCCTCCTGCTCCTTCTGCTACCAAAAAGACAACCGGAAAGGTTTTAACATGCCCTCGAAACAGCAAATACGCCCATCGCTTCCAGAATGCCTTGGAAGATCTCGCTCTTCTCGCGAAAGTTGCGGAGGCGCTGAGTGGCTGGTGAGACTTGAGGAACCTCACAACTCGTATCTCGGCTTCTTCGGAGAGGCGCTGCTCGAAGGCTGGCTGGTACGCTTGCCAAGCGGCATCGTCAGAGCCAAGGAAACGCGCTCGGTGCGCAGCGGTCGTTCTAGAGAAGTGTCTCTGCCACAGCTCGGCGATCGCGGCATGCTGTCCCCTGTCCCACGATCGAGGATATGCTACCTTTCCCACTTGCTGCACGTTGACTGAGCAATACTAAGACCTCTTCATTCTGGCGGAGCTGCAACCTCTCCGCCCTCTTGCTCTCCGTCCTCGTCTTCGATCTCGACCGTCTCCTTCCCTCTAGATGCGCGCTTTTTGCGTCGAGTCAGACCATCGTGCCGCGGAGCGCTAATCGCATCCAGAAATGCGTCGTTGTCCATCTGGCTCTTCAGATGCGGCAAGTTGCTCGGATCCATGACCTTGAGCTTGCTTTGGAACTCGTGGTATGCGATATCCAAATCCTCATCCATGTATTCCATCTTCAGCCAAGGCTCCAGCTTCGCATTTTCCAAGAACTTCTTCAGTTTCGCCTCTGTGGAATCCTTATCCTCCTTGTCCTTCACGGTTTTGGAGACAGTCTTGGCAACAGGATCGGGCCCTGGTCCGGCAGCTTCAGCCTGCGCACGAGAGGCAGTGACACGAGCACGTTCTTCTTCGGCGTCGAGGTGGTGAAAGTGAGGGCGCATTTGGACTGTGCCGTGTACTTTGGTCAGGTGCAGCTGATTGCCCTGGAACGCTCCGACAAAGTAGTATGGCTTGCCGAGTTCAGCTTCCGAGTTGTGGCGGATGATCTGTCCGCCGAGTGTCTGCTTATTGAATACCCTCTCGTTCTTCTCGGCGTCTTCAAAGTTCATCAGGTCGTTCTCCAGCTCCAACTCCCGGTCTCCCTGGCCCTTGAGCGCGGAACGGCTTCTTGCGCCTGGCCTCGCGCCAACCAGACCTGAAGCAGGGCCATACGTAACACTCGGGTTGTGCAGCTCCTTGGAGCTTTGCTTCGCATCTGCCCATTTGAGAGCCATGTACTTGTTGAAGTTATGCTTGCTGTTCATGTCCACGTCCATCTCCATGAAACCGGCCTGAGGCTTGATGCGCATGTCCTGAGGCATGGCGCCTCCGCTGCGGTTGTACGGTATACTGCGAGAGCGATTGGGGTATTGCAGAATGTAGACTTGCTCCTCGATGGGCGGCGTGAGAAAGACATCGTACTCGGCTGTGACTGGATCGTCTTCGGCCCTGACCGCTGTAGGCATTGATTGTTAGTGATGAGAGCAAATACCTCGTTGTGAAGGCTAATCAAGGACAAAGACGCGACTTACGCGCCATCATGTCTCGCTGTGTGGGAGTATAGTGTAGGTGTGAGTAGGAGTGGTTGCTTGTGGATCGAGTAAATTTCAAGAGCAACGCGCACGCGCCCAAGAGCTCGTCATCATCGGCGGCGTGGGGAGCTGTTCCGAGAGTCTCACATCGGGAGCTTCACTACACCCTCAACTTCGCTTTCACCCTTTCTGCTCACGTATCTGATGCTTCAGGAGTCGACCTGGAGACATTGACACCAATGTAATCATATCAGTTGCTCGGAATCACCACAATCCTGCCGAGCACTCCTACTATCGAAACACGTATTAGAGCCTTGAGGACGCTCAATTGCCGTGATGGCGTACCTTGCTCCCATTCATCGGCCGTCGAGCGTACGGCATGCCATTAAGATCTCCTTTCTAGCGCCGGGATCAGAAGACTTGATTGTGGCCAAGGCGAACCGATTGGAGATATGGTCCCCCAGCCAGCAACCGAACGATCCTACCCTAGTTCTTCAACACACCAAGGCGATATACGGCAGGGTAACATTACTCCACAAGCTGCGACCGGCAACGAGCTCAGCGGATCACCTATTCGTGGGCACAGATCGATATCACTACTTCACTCTAAGCTGGGACGACGAGAAGAAGGCGCTCACGACGGAGAAGAGCTATGTCGACATTGCAGAGAAAGCGGCGAGAGACAGCCAGACGGGCGACAGAGTCCACATTGACCCTACATCACGCTTCATGACATTGGAGTGTTACGAAGGCGTTGTCAATGTGCTCCCAATCGCACATTCGGGCAAGGGCAAGCGAAGAGCAGCGGATAATGAAGTTGGAGAGCTGGGCGAGCCGATCCCGGTACGGATACCAGAGCTGTATGTGAGGAGTAGCTGCTTTTTGCATCAAAGACAAACTGGAACGAAACAACCCGACCCGCAATTCGCGGTACTGTACGAGGATAGCCAGAGCAGGGTGCGGATCAAGATCAGGAAAGTGAGCTACTCTCCTTCCCTGAGGCCGGGAGATGAACCGGCGACTGCGGATCTGGAGGAAGGCCAGGATGTACAGGATTCGCTAGAGGCCGGGGCGGGAATGATGATACCTCTACCTGCGCCTATGTACGGCCTGTTGGTCATCGGCGAGACGAGCATTTCATATGTCGATGAGTGGAACTTCAGAGTGCAGGAGACAGAACCCCTGGATGATGCGACCGTATTCGTAGCCTGGTGTCCGCTGGACGATCAAAGATACGTTTTAGCCGATGACTACGGCAAGCTGTATCTATTGATGGTGCAACAGAATGGCAACGGGGAATACCAGGGTCATCAGATTGATGTACTTGGTGAGACCAGTAGAGCAAGTACTTTGGTCTACTTGGATGAGGGTCGAGTCTTTGTAGGCAGCCACCAGGGCGACAGCCAGGTCATTCAGATCTCTCCGAAGAACATCGAAGTTGTGCAGACCTTCCCCAACATTGCACCCATTCTGGACTTCACTGTGATGGACATGGGGAACAGGAGCTCCGATGCGCCGGTCAATGAATTCTCCAGCGGGCAAGCTAGGATAGTAACTGGTTCTGGAGCGTTCAAAGATGGCAGTCTGCGATCTGTACGGTCTGGCGTCGGGCTGGAAGACAGAGGCGATCTCGGAAGTCTAGACGCACCCATATCGGCAGTGTTCAGCCTCAGGAGTAGTGCGGCCGCACAATTGATGGATACGCTGGTCGTGAGCTTCGTGGATCACACCCGCATCTTTGTCTTTGATGCAGAAGGAGACGTCGAAGAGAGGGAAGACTACCGCGCCTTCAGCCTCTCCGAAAACACACTGCATGCAGCCAACTTACCAGATGGGAGAGCTGTACAGGTCACAAGTTCTTCTGTATTGCTCACTGATGCTGAAGGCGACATGGTGACCGATACCTGGAAAGCGCCGAATGGAGCCTCGATCACGGCTGTTGCGGTCGACACAGTGAAGGTTCTTGCATCTCTGAATGGCAAAGTTCTTGTAGTGCTGGACCTGTCGCAATCATCGATAAACGTCCAATCGGAACGGACCTTCGGCAGCGATGAGGAGGTATCGTGTATTGCGCTGTCAACATCAATACCAAACGCCTGTGTTGCGGGCTTCTGGAAGGACAGCAGGGTTTCCTTCCTGGATCTGCAATCACTCCAGCCGCTCGCAACGGAACGCGTGGCCGAAGACGTGCTTGCAGTGCCTCGCTCTTTGACCGTAGCCAGTATTCTCAAGGACCAGCCGGCGACACTGTTTGTCGGTCTTGCAGATGGCAACGTAGTCACATACACTATCGAGTCAGAACAGAAGCTGTTTGCGGCAAGGAAGAGCATAATACTGGGCACTCAGCAGGCAAATTTTGCCGTCCTCCCCAGAGCTGATGGCTTGCAGAATGTGTTCGCGACCTGTGAGCACCCGTCACTCATCTACGGATCGGAAGGCCGAATGGTGTACTCGGCCGTCACAGCAGAAAGCGCTACATCCATCTGCTCCTTCAACTCATTTGAGCCGTACTCCAACGCTATCGCAATAGCATCAGGAGACCAACTGAGGGTCGCTGTGGTCGATGAAGAGCGGACAACACACGTACAGGATCTTTTCGTACACGAGACTGTGCGACGTATCGCGTACTCCGCCGACCTCAAGGCTTTTGGGCTGGGCTGTATACAGCGCACTCTCACAACTGTTGGACCCAGTGGCGAGGCGGCGGAAGAAGTCAAAAGCCACTTCAAGCTCGTGGACGAGATCGCCTTCAAAGAACTCGACACTTTCTGTTTCAACGAGGATGAGCTTATCGAGTCCGTCATCCGCTGTAAGCTTGATGATGGTTCTGGCGATGAAGTGGAGCGATTTGTTGTTGGTACCGCATATCTAGACGATCAGGATGCCAATTCGGCTAGGGGACGTATCTTGGTGCTCGAAGTCACAGAAGACCGCAGATTGAAGCTCGTCACGGAGCTCAGCGTCAAAGGCGCATGTCGATGTCTCGCGGTGTGTCAGGGAAAGATTGTGGCGGCTCTTGTCAAGACGGTAAGCCTTTTCCCATTTGTGGTATTAACTCGCACTGTACTGACTACGAGCAGGTTGTCGTCCTCGACTTCGACTACGCCGGCGGTGCACAACCGAGTCTTATCAAGAAAGCCGCCTACCGCACCGCAACCGCTCCCATTGACATGTGCGTCGTCGACAACGTGATCGCTGTGACCGACCTCATGAAATCCATGTCGCTGGTAGAGTACATGCCGGGCCGACAAGGCCTGCCAGACACATTGAGCGAGGTCGCACGCCACTTTGACACTCTCTGGGGCACAGCTGTCGCGAATGTCGCCGAGAACACCTACCTCGAATCCGACGCCGAGGGCAATCTGGTCGTCCTGCAACACGACGTGAACGGTTTCAGCGAAGAAGACCGGAAGCGTCTCCGCGTCACGAGCGAAATGCTCCTGGGAGAAATGGTCAACCGCATCCGCCCCATCGACGTAACACCCACCCCGGGCGCGATCGTCATCCCGCGTGCTTTCCTCGCCACCGTCGAGGGAAGCATCTATCTCTTCGCCCTCATCGCCCCGGGCAAACAAGACCTCCTCATGCGCATGCAGAACAAGATGGCCGACCTCGTCCAGACCCCCGGAAACGTGGCCTTTGCCAAATTCAGGGGTTTCAAGAATCAGGTTCGCGATGAGAGTCATCAGGGACCTAGCCGGTTTGTGGACGGGGAATTGATCGAGAGGTTTCTGGACTGTTCCGAGGAGATTCAGAGGGAGGTTGTCAGGGATCTGAATGTGGAAGTTGAGGATGTGAGGGGTATGGTGGAGAGTTTGCGGAGGATGCACTGATTCCATGAGGGGGTTTGAAGAGTCAGGCTCCTTTGAACAAGGAGGGAAGGTCCAGGACTGGCCCGGTAGGTTCACACAGGACAGGACGTGGGGGCAATTGTTGAGTATTCATGAGAGAATGATAGATAGGAGCTTAGTTAGACGAGTCGCTGCGAAATGCAATGAAAGAAAGATGGAAAAATGAAGATTTGTCTGTCTGGTTGAGGTGTCTCCATGCAATCATGCAAGACCGGTTTTCCCTGTGAAGATCAAGGAAGTTCAGATGATAACTTAAGACTGCCACAACATAAGCCGCTGATGGAAGGAAGGAAGGAGTCGAAAACGGTGTTCGGCATTCAAACGTCCCAGTCTCCACATGTCCATGCGCAAGAGCGCAAGAGAGGCCATGGTTGTCCTCCTCCCTCCTCTTCTATTCGCAGCCAGCCAGCCATACGGAGTCAGTCAGTCGGTTTCGGATGTACGTTGGTCGGTTGGTTGGTTGGTTGCTACATTTGCGCCGCTCATCACCAACCAAAGGGAAACTTTTTCGACGATACATCGACTCTCCTCCAGCTCCGTCTGTCTGTGTCGCAGCCGTGTCCGAGAGTGCTCCGAGAATGAGAATGAGAATGGAAAATCCAGCAGCAGCAACGCATTCGGGTCTTTCTCCGTGAACATTCATTCACATCAAAGTTTTGAACCATCGCGTGCACTCTTCGACTTTTGCGACGCGGGCTGCTGCATGCCCTCTTGTTCTCGACGAGCCATGAGGTGACGCTTCTTGTTTTGGCGCTCCAACAGCATGATCTGATACTGAAAGTCCTGCAGCGCCGGCGGGAGCGAGGGGCCCTGAGTCTTGATCGGCGGCTTCTTTTTGTCGGATTTATCCATGGTAAGGACGATGTGTGTGTGTGTGTGTGTGTGTGTGTGTGTGTGTGTGTGTGTGTGTGTGTGTGTGTGTGTGTGTGTATGTTGGATGTTGGATGTCTGCTGGTGGATTTGTCGAGTGTAGGATGGTGTTGATGGGGAAAGCTCCCATTCCGTCGTCTTATGAGGTTTAGGTAGTGTGGTTGGCGGGGTGGTGGGGTGGCGGGTTGTACGACGTGGTGCAGTGTGCTGTCTGTGCCACCCTTGCGCCCTGCTGCCATCCGCATTCCGGGGCTTCCCGTTATGTCAACAACAGGAAGGCGGCATGTCTAGAAGATTGAATGGTCGATGAGACCATGTCGTGGAACAACTCTCAGAGTAGAGCTGGAGGAAGCTGCGCCTACCTTCTGGAGACAGCAGCGCTGGAGACACGGAGGTATACCCGATGGACTCTGGAAAGCATCCAATCTGTTCCCCCGAAAGTGATGTACTGTTGCACCCGCTACTTATGTGTAGTGTGATCTGATGATCGTCATGCCGTAGGGTTATCTCAAATGGATGATGGAACGCCGTGCCTCCCAATGGTCTATCCTCAAGGCTCGCCGGCCGAGGAGATGCTACCCTGACGCCTGCCCAAGCCGCTCATGCAAACCACGTTACCGGTAGAATTCGCCTCTCTTGACATTCACGCCGTACTCGCCGACGGCCATCCCAAGGTCTTCCATTGTGAGGACAGTCCGGCCCTGGCCACCGCCTGCTCCACCACCTCCGTACCCTGCTCTAGGGCCACCGAGAGGAGCGGCTTTTCCAGCGTCTTTCTTGCCCTTGCCTCCACCCTCACCTTCTCCACTGCCTTGGGCCAAGTTCATGCCAAAGCCAGCAGCACCGCCGAGACCGGTCATAGGATTGTTGGATGTCGTATTCGTGCTCCTGATGCGACTGTATTGATACGCATCGGCGGCGATGTCTGCGATGAACTTTTGAGTGGCGAGGGCTAGGAGACGTGCGAGTCGGCGGTCAGTCTCCGGTGGAGGAGGTAGACCGGCAAGGGTGAGATAGTAGTCGGTGACGGCATCTGGGATCAGAGGAGCATAGTCGTCCATCTTGCCCAGAAACTCGCGTAATGAGGTATCCTTCTTCTGCGGTATGCGCGGCTCGACGACGGCGGGTATGTTGCTCAAGCCGTTCGCTTCAGTGCCAGATGCTGGTGGTGGTGGTGGTGCTGCTGCTGCAGGCGCAGTGGTCGATGAGGTGTCGTTGGCGTTCATCGTGTCTGTGGAGGAGGGCGGAGGTTGAATCTCGGCGTCGAGGTCTCGCTCTTGCTGGTTGTCGAGGACGGCGTCTTCGGCGGTGTTGCTGGTCTGCTCAATGGCTGGTTCTGCGTCGGTCTGCAGTGAGCCTGGGCTGGCCGCGTTGGAAGTTGGATGGTCGGCCATGTTTGCTGCTCACCGGAGCCTGAGGCCCCACTGACACGTGAAGATGGCGGACCCAATTCACGGAGCTCGAAGTCAAAAGGCGCAATCACGGGACAGTGCGTGTGCTTCCTCGATGTTGCTCGATGGTGGTGGGGGGGTGAGGTGGAGGAGTCTGGAGCGATCACCGAGCACCAGCACGTGATGCCCAAGCCGAAGTTATTCCGTGGGCCCCGCCCTTGCTCCTGCGACAACAAGAGATGCGTGAGATATCGCATACCGGGGGAAGGAAAGGAATGCGGCAGACGAATGGATGCATACCTTCAATTACTTACACTCCTCCCACATGTCTCTTGAAGTGCCCCACGTCACGTTGGACAGCGCTGCTGCAGTGATTTGGCAGGCACGACCATCGTGTCGCCGTGACAGGTTTGCCAGGGACTACTGGTAAACTTGGTGAGAGGGAAGCCGCAGCACACCAACGACCACGTACCATCAATCAGATCATACCTTACCTTACGCAACGTCTGGCACATACCGTCGGCCGAACTACAGGAGCTGCATGTGCTCACGGGAGGATGGCTCATCGACCACCAGACCCGAGCCCTAACAGCGACAGACATACTAGCACCGCCCCAGGCCTCCGCCCTCCCGCCCGACCGGAGCCACGGGCATCATCCACAGCCGCTGCATGCACTGATGACCATGTTCGCCTCTTCGGCGGCGGCGGCAGCATTGCATCAGGCGGCCTGCCGGTGCGCTCTTGCGATTGTTGCCAGGTTGAGGGAAGGGCAGCGCAGCGCTGACACGTGAGCTTGTCGCTCTTCGCTACATGTACCGCGCATCCTTTGCCCATCGTATCGTTCGCGAGAGGGCTACGCCCACCACCTCAGTCAACCGACACTAATCAGGGCAAGAGCGAGACTCCGAAAGGATGGCGCCAAGCTTCTTCCGTCCTTGTGCGATTCGCTGCCCAGAGACGCCAGCCATCTCTCCCCGTTGCATCGAGCCTCTTACCCATGGAAGGCATGCTCAACGTGGTCCTATCCTATCCTATCCCAGGGCTGCGAAGGATCGAGGTCGGTGCTGCATATGCCATTCAAATAGGGCTCCGTTGCCAGTACCTCTCCTCATCCACGCGTGAGCAGTATGGGAATCCACATTTGCTGCGCAGTAGACTACCGTGACGATGCTTTTCGCTTGCGATCCGACATATCTAGCCAGTGGCTTGCTGGCTCGATTCCCGCCTGTCCTCCCAAACGGTACAGCGAATGTCGACGAGCATTTGGATGTCGCAAAATCCCAACTATCGCAACAAAGATCGCTTCGAGAAGACGGCGAACGGTAACAACGATGCCCGGTGCGGTTCTCAGTTCGAAGCCTTCTTCGCAATCTCACACCAAAATTGACCTATGAACCAGCAATCCCCGCAGCAACGGGCCGTACAACAACAACAACGATCCGCCCCCGAATCCCCCGGACCGCCAACCTCCGAAGAACATCAACCCTCCACTCGCGATGCGAGAAGAAGAGCAACGCCGACGCCAAGCATGGGGCCAACAACAACCTCAGAAGAACCAACAACAAGAATGGAAACCGTCTCCAAAGCCCGGAGGCCCGTCGATGAACAGTTATTACGATGAATACACCCCCTCGCCGATTCCCACCACGAGTGGCAATCCTCAGGCTTCCTGGAGGACGCTGTCCGATCCCGTCGGCTCCACTGACGCGCTACGAGATTATCAACGCATGCTCCTCCGAGAGCAGCAGAGGCGGAATAAGGAATTCGGGAAAGGGTGGTGAATGGTAGAGAGGGCATTGTGGCGACGTTATTGTACGCACATGGCGTGGTGGCACAGTTTTCCAGAGGCATTTCGCATATACCTCCTAGCAACGTTGATCATCAGCACGTATCAATGCATCATGAGCAGTGCAGGAATGCGACGATGCCTGCCAGATCAAGCCGCACGGACAGTCTCACCACATGGGATGAGATTCGTACACTAGGTAAATATCATAGCTTTTTCACAATCTAAACTAACATTCTATTCCCATTTCAAACCCATCGCTAACTGTCATAACTCACACTAAAAATCCCAAACGCACCGGCTGCTCGACGACTCTGCACCCGTCCCTCCAGATCCACAGAGAGATACTCTCCATTGCAATTCTGGATCGAATACCCCCTCCCCATCCCAAGATCGCGAATCGTATAGCTCTCAACCGCCGCCGCCTCATCACCACCCCGAAAGTACTTCCCCTGCCAACTCCCGCCGGAATTCCGAAACCCATCGCCGGCAGAATTGATCGCCCGACCGTCCACGGCAGAGATGATGGCGAAGGATGATGTCGATGCGGAGCCCTGGAGAAGAATGAAACGCTGCGTCTTGCTGTCATGTTTCGCCGTGCTGGGACTTGCGGTCAGAGAGCCGTTGGCGTTGTGGGTGAGTGCGTATCCGTTCATTTCGAACGTGAGGTAGCGGCCTTCCGTGGGGTTTCCGCGCATGGATTTGAAGCCCTGCTCGGTGGCGAGGGCGGTGGATTCATTCTGCGCGCCGTAGGGAACGACGGGGCGGGGGTTGTCGCCGTAGGTCGCTTGGCAGACGGAGTAGCCGTTCCAGTTACCCTTGGAGTCTGTAGAAGGGTAAGAAGCGTTGGGCATCTGGGGGATGCTGTAGTCTGGGTGCTCGAAATCAAAAGCATTGGTCAGATCGGCCATGTTTCGTCGTCTCCAGGGGTTCATCTCGGCGGAGGTGAAGTTCTTTCCTTTGGCTGCGAGCCATTTCTCCAGGAAGAGGATCTGAGAGCTGTGGTCCGCGGGTTCGACATAGACGCTTCCACCGCGCGTCCACGGAGATATGATGTAGAACGGAAGACGGAAGCCGGGTCCACTATATGTATAGCCGTATTGGCCGTAAGGGTCTTGCATCCATTCGCCTGCGGTGCCGTTCGGGGAGTGGATCGGGACGACGTGGTCGCCCCAGCCGCCGCTTTCATCGTAAGAGATCATGAGAACGGTGTTCTTGTATGATGGAGATTGGGTGACGACATCGACGATCTTCTGCTGGAGCCAGGCGCCGTCTCTGGGCTGGTACGGCTGATGTTCCGACAGCTCTGCAGGACCAACAATGTAGCTCACTTGAGGAAGTTTGCCAGCCGCAGCGTCCTCGTAGAACTTTTCAAGACCATTATAAGCCAGGCCGCGCTTGGCAAGCTGGCTGGAGTTGGACGCTTTCTGGTATTGCTGGAACCAGGCCAGCGGGTTGTCGTCGAAGTTGTCGGAATCCTGATAGACTTGCCAGGTGACATTCATGTCCTGCAGATACTCTGGAGTCGTCTTCCATTTGAGTGGATAGCAGTTCAGATGGTCACCCTCGCAGCCTGGAGTCTCATTGTTGTCGATGTACACTCCGCCCGCGTCTGGAGAGGCCGGAGAGCCAGGTTGAACGTTGATGGTGCCAGATACCCATGAGACTCGATTCGGGTTGGTGGAAGCGATGACGCTCTCCATATACATGTCGCCGACTGTGAAGCCCTCGGCGATGGCGAAATGATTTGGGATATCTCTTCGTTCAAAGTGAGCCCAGGACCAAGGAGTGTTCCCAACCGGCCAATTGTTGTTGGCATCGCCATTCAGAGCGGCATGGTTTGCAGACCAGCCGTTTGATCCAGCCTCCATACACTGAGTGGACTCGTAGGAAGAGCCGCCCATGTAGTTCAAGTACCAAGGCAACAAGCTTGTCGCTTTGGTGGTCAGATTACCAACATTCTGGGCCCAAACTGGAGTATCGCCATTGACTTTGACGTTTGGGTCGTTGAAGTTGCGAACACCTGCAAGTGTCCCAAAATAGTGGTCGAAGGCGCGATTCTCTTGCATCAGCAGGACGACATGCTCGATATCTGCAATGGAGCCGGCGCAAGCAGTGCTAGCCAAGGTCAGAGCGGCCAGCGAAGTCTTTGTCAGAGGGGACATGGGGAAGACCATGCAGGAGATGACGGAAAAGATGAGAAGCGTCAGCAGTATGGATCCTGTCGCCGTCCTGGCCATAACGTGGTGTACGATCTTCAATTGTGGCTCTCCAAGGTGAGCTTGGGTGTGCACCTTTCGCGGCGTTAGCTCTCGCTTCCGTCTCGTTCTTCGCGGTGATCTTGCCGGCACATGTCTTCTCTCGATCAGGCAGTGCGAGGCAGATGGATGCCGGGCGTCCCACGCTGTGCACGCCTTTTGCGAGAGCGTTGCATGCACGTGCCCAATCAACGTCGAAGCATGGTCAAAAATGCACCAGCTACTGCGAGCAAAGCGTAGATCTTGTCTGCAGGGCCCTGCTTGAAGAAGCTTCTGATGCCTGGGCGATGCTACGCTGAACGGAGGGCGTGGGCAATGGTGCTGTAGGCGAATCGGAGGCGGGGACGACGGCATGTGTCGAGCTCTTTTCAGCTCGCATGCAGATAGCGCCGCGATAGAAGTAGATATGGGGCACAGCAGCGCATCTCGGAAACGAATGATTGCTGGCGTAATCCTGCTCTCCCATGCCCATGACAGAGCACAACACGACATCGCGACGACCGGCAACCGGCGACCGGGTGTGTGAAGCTGTGCCACATGTGCGGGAACAGCCTTCCCTGAACAATATATTCTAGATGCATCTTGGAATTGTATCTGTGTCTGTGAGAGAGAGAGAGAGAGAGAGAGAGAGAGAGGCCGAAGAAGAAGAAGAAGAGATTGGAGTTGCACGTCGAGACGCGAAAATGACGCGTGGGAGAAGGCGCCTGCCCGCGGCCGCGAAACTCCTCCTCGCGACTGCCGCCTTCTTGCTCGTGACGGCGGCTTTTCTACTGCGGCACTCTCTCGATCCTCTCTACATCATCATCAAAGGATATCACGGATTTCACGGATATCACGGACACGACGCGGACAGGACGTTCGTGACCGGCCATGACAGATTTGTGCTGCACCCCGACAACCACGCCGACCGCGACGCCTACACCTTCAAGAACCACTGGAGGATAACATCGGGCTACAGACGCCCAGATGGCGTCCTCAAGCGCGTATATCTCGTCAACGATGCTTTCATCGGACCGACCATCGAGGTTCGCCCTGGCGATCGCTTGATCATCACCGTGGAGAACGCCCTCGAAGATGAAGAGACCGTATCCTTGCACTGGCATGGTTTGTCGATGCGTGGCGCCAACGACATGGACGGGGCCGCGGGAATCACGCAGTCTCCCATAGCAGCAGGGGGCTCCTTTACATACGACTTCGTCATCGATAACGATCAGCACGGCACGTTCTGGTGGCACGCCCATGATGGAGTTCAGAGGGCTGATGGTCTTTATGGCGGCCTGGTGATTCACCAAACGGGGCCACGTTCTGCAGTCTTTGAGGAAGAGCGTCTGCTCCTGATTGGCGATTGGTATCACCGCTCCGCAGAAGATGCTCTTCGCTTCTACATGCATCCTGGCGCCTTCGGACTGGAGACCATACCAGACTCAATTCTGCTGAACGGACAAGGGCACTTCAACTGTGCAGATGCTGTGCCTGCTCGCCCGTTGGATTGCACACGTCCAGACTCGCAAAGGGCGATAAACCTACATTCGGCAGACCAGATCTGGAGAGTAGTCAATGTTGGAGCCTACGCAGGATTCAGCTTGTCCATGTCCCAAGGCGTTATGGCCGCGCTCGCTGTCGACGGAGGGCATAGAATCGCAGGAGCGACCTCAAAAACCGTTGGAGTCCTGCATCCAGGAGAGCGTGTAAGCCTAAGGGTGGAGCCATCCTCTCTACATCGGCCCGATGCTGAGGGCTTGTCGATCATGCTGGAAGAGGACGCTTTCAAGTACCAGAATCCGGCATTAACAGCCAAACAAAGCTTCCCTATCTTTTGGAGAGACGGCCTGCTAGACAGCGAGTACTCGCCTCAGGGAGTTTACGAACAATTCGATGTTCAATCTGCTCAGCCACTCGAACACCAGAATCGGGGTCTTCCCCAGCAGGCGAACCAAACAATCGTTCTTTACACCATTACTCAAAAATTGGCCATCTTGGAAAACGAGCCGCACGGCTTCATCAATCATACACGATGGATGCCAAGTCAGACTCCCTTGCGCGAGCTTCAGCGTGAGGAATGGGACGAGTATCAGTTTGTGCCCTTGATCAGGTACAACAAAAGCTCTCCATTGTGGGTCGACGTTGTCCTCAACAATCTGGACGAAGACTCACATCCTTTCCATCTGCATGGTCACGACTTCTGGGTGTTGTCCCAATACTCGTCGCCTTTCAATTGGGGATCGTACAATCCATTCGAAGACGAAGAGCCTCCCGGTGGAAGGTTTGACATTGCTCAAGCAGTCAAGAAAGATACAGTCCATGTTCCGCGCCGCGGCTACGCAATCCTTCGATTCCGGGCAGACAATGGACCAGGCATTTGGATGTTCCACTGCCATGTCTTGTGGCATCAAGCGAGTGGCATGTCTATGGCGTTCGAGGTCAATTGATTACTTGTTTTCGTCCTTATCGCGATATGAATTGCTCCATGAGCATCTTGGATAAAGCGTCCTCCAAGTTCATGTCGCGAACTTCATGTGCAATAGATTGCACTTCGCTAGCGGGAAGAAACTGGCCGATGTCATGCAGTAGTGTGGCGACGACAGTCTCGTCATCTGCAGTGCAGGCTCGGGCGAGATGCGTGGCTTCTAAGGAGTGCGCTAGCCGAGAGACCGGTTCACCAATGTTGTCTCCTTGGTCTTTGGAGTTAAGCAGCTGCACCAGGAACGCTGCTTTCTGTCGAGGGGAGTCCATGGCTAACGGAAGTAGCGAGCTGATAAGTTCACTCCTCAAAATCGACGTCTTTTCCGTTTTACAGTACGCCGTATACGAGAGGCCTTATGGTATACATATCAACATCTGGGTGGGGATTCAGATCCCGCAAAACCAGGAAGAGCTTCCCTGCGCTTTCTTCCAACACACTCTACTCTCAGAGCCAAGGATTATTGCAGAACGAAGTCTGCAGCCTTACGAACCACATCATTCATTTTCAGGATCCAACAGCTTGGGAAATCGACTCTGGAAGCTATAAGCGCCGCCGCGTGGAAGGACCCTGACGTATGTGCCTGCCCCGCGTCGGGAGACTGTCGACCGTGTCATGGGCCCTGGATCCGATCCAGGGGCTAAACGGGTTGACCATGCTGCTGAATCTCAGCAACAAGATCTGGTCTCCAGAACCGGCATCCGAGCCATACGAGAGCTCTCATTATTCCGGATGGATCTTTGGTCTATCACATGACTGGCACTTGTGACACTATGAACATCGCCCAGGAAGAAGGCCCAAACGATTGCCGCAACAACTCAAGCACTTCCAAATCGTGCGCTCGCGCGTCAATTGAGGGCCTACACGGCCGAATGTCTGGTACGTGTACCCCGCTCGACATCACGTGTGAGATGGCGGCTCAGCCAATGCCTGAACAGACCGAAAGAGTGCCGCTGCATTTTGCAGGTAACCCTACCGATAGCGTGTGGTGCCCCACGGGGCAGCTCGCGCTACCTTCCAGCTGGCTCTCGAGATGCGTCTCGAAGGGTCTCGCGCACCCGGTTGGCCGTGTAGCCCCTCATTGACAGGACGACACGAGGGACATCCGATGGGCTATATACATCGAGGTCAGCCGTGGGGCAGACGTAGCTACGACCTTGCAACTCTTCTACTCCCCGGATTCGATATACTGCCACCATTTCGAAACGAAAACCCCCAATACCGCTTCCGTATCGATCCAAGTCCTCTCCATACATGATGGGTTCAGTCGGAGAGCCAGAAGTTCCTTACACGGACGTCCTCCTTGTGGGTGCTGGATTTGCGTCCTTCACCCTCTTGAATAGGCTGCGCAAACTCGGCCTTGGTGTTCGTATCTACGAGAAAGGAGCTGCATCGGGTGGTATCTGGTACTGGAACTGCTACCCTGGAGCCCGTGTCGACTCCGACACTCCAATCTACCAGCTTTTTGATAAGGAGCTGTGGGAGGACTTCACCTACAAGGAGCGCTACCCGGCATGGCCGGAGCTCCGCCGCTACTTCCAGCACGTTGATAAGAAGTGGAATGTGTCCGCACACACGACGTTCAACATGTGCGTGGACAGCGCCGAATTCGATACCAAGACGAACCAATGGTTGGTCGAATGCTCAGACGGAAGCCAAATTACTTGCAAGTGGTTCATTCCTTGCCTCGGATTCGCCTCCAAACACTATTCGCCGCCATTCCCTGGTCTCAGCAACTTCAAGGGCGAGATTTTCCACACTGCCAAATGGCCACAGCACGATGTGAACCTGAAGAACAAGAGGGTCGCAGTCGTCGGAACTGGCGCCTCTGGCATTCAGACAATTCAAGAGCTGGGCCCCAAGGTCAAGAAACTCACCGTTTACCAACGAACTCCGAACATGTGCTTGCCAATGAACCAACGCGTGCTGGACCCTCAGGAAGAGGAGAGGAAGAAGCAGGACGGCACCTATGAGAAACTCATCAACGACACCCGCGGCACATTCGCTGGCTTCACCTACGACTTTGTCGACAAGAAGACCTTCGATGACAGCCCCGAGGAGCGTGAGAAGTTCTACCACAAGCTCATGGTCGAGCAGGGCGGTTTCAGATACTGGCTCAACACTTACAGCGACATGCTGTTCGACGACAAGGCAAACGACGAGGCCTACAACTTCTGGAGACAGCAGGTGCTGAAGCGCGTCAAGAACCCAGAAAAGCAACGTATTCTTGCGCCCGAGAAGAAGCCTCACCCATGGGGCACCAAGCGTCCCAGTTTGGAACAACGCTATTACGAGGTCGTAGACGCCGACAATGTCGAGATTATCGACGTAAACGAGAACCCCATCAATGCCGTCGAGGCTGAAGGACTCGTCACACCCAAGGGTCTGAACGAAATCGACGTTCTCGTCCTTGCCACCGGATTCGATTCCGTCACTGGCTCGCTCGCTCAGCTCGACATCAAGGACGTCAACGGCAAGAACGTCGCGGACCACTGGAAGAACGGCACGAAGACCTCGATGGGAATCGCGATTCCCGGCTTCCCCAACATGTTCTTCCTTTACGGCCCCCAGGCACCCACCGCCTTCTCCAACGGCCCCAGCTGCACGCAGTTCCAAGCCGAATTCGTGGAAGAGGCCTTCAAGGGGATCCTGAAGGACAACATCCAGAGATTCGAGGCTACACAGGAGGCAGAAGATGACTGGGGCAAGAGGATGAATGAGAAGTGTAAGTCTTGACAACCATTTGCAATTGACGATGAAACGAATGCTAAAACGAAAATCTTTCGCAGGGGACGCCACACTCTTCCCCATGGCCAAGTCATGGTACTCTGGTGCCAACATCCCCGGCAAGAAAGTCGAACCCCTGAACTGGGCGGGCGGCATGGTCGAATATGTCGACTCGCTGCACAAGAGCTTGGAGAACAACTACCAGGGATGGAAAGTGGAAAAGGCATAGAGAGCCGTTTTGTTGAAGGTACCACAGTACGGTTCTGTTTTCTCTTGGAACATCTAGCTGGCTGGGTTTTCTATTTCCCATCACATTGGGCGTTTGAGAGAGATCTACTATGCTAGACAAGACAAGATCAAGATGTACAAAGATAACCACAGCAAGCAGATTGCAAAAATTTACATGGAAGACGTCAGGACTTGTTGCTTTTTATTTGAACGGGGCCGAGATCGGGTGTCTGTAGGTGGAGATGTACATACCTTGGTGAGCTTCGCTGGACGTACATGAAGCGGAATTACGTTCTTCCGCCGTCCGCCGAACGGAGCTGTGTCCGCTCCTCAAGGACTTCACTCCCTCGCCGGATCGGGATCGGGATCGGGATCGGGATCGGGATCGGGCAATCTACCCCCGAGGTCACATCGTTTGCGTGTGCTCATCACGGAAACCTGTTACATGATTGCAATGAACATATCTCGAATGAGGCATTGGCGCAATGCTTTTCATACAGATGTTGCAAATGGGCCAAGTCCAACCAGAGCGGCTGTGCGGCGGTGAGGGTGTTGTAAACTCTTACTATTCGACCGGTCTTCCGCCTTGGTTCGCGAACATACTATGTCTGTTCGTGAGACCATTCGACGGGCATTCCACCCTGCGAACATACTATGCCTGGCTCGCTACACAAGTCTTTGAGTCTCGAATTCTCCTCCCGGAGTGCCGCCGGAGCCGGCCATTCCTTCGCTCCCACAGGTTTCACCGGTTCTTCATGCAGCGTCTGCTCCTCCGTCAACTGCCTCTCCGCCCACCACGCCCACATATCCTCCCAGCTCGCACACTTCATTGTAATATTAAAATCCGGCTGCGGCGTCGTCTCCGTCGCTTGCCAGATCAGCGGGTACACGTCCCTCGGCACGCGACACATGAGATCCTGGCGGAGCATGTCGATGCAGTGCATCTGATGATTGCGATAGAACGGATTGAGATTGCCCTGGGGCCAGTAGTAGTCCGCCCACACGGATCGGCGGAGCTCGTCCAGGCAGTGCAGGAGATGGTGTGCGTGGTTCCCCACGACCGTCAGGCTGGAGTTTTTCGTCGGCCAGCGCACCGCGTAGTCGGGATCTTGGCCGAGTTTTGCGAGATCCCCTACGGGTATGACGAGCGGTCTGGAGTCCCAATTGTCCTTCCATAGTTTGTCGACCGCGGGGCTCGGATCGGCGCGCCAGAGAGATGGGGCATCCGTGTGTGTCATTACGTCGAGTTTTATGGTGTGCAGCTGGTAGGGTAGAGTCGAATGGAGCGGAGCTGCAAAGGTTCTCAGATCCACTGGAAAAGCAGTAGGAGAGAGTGGAGTAGTAGTGTCAGGACTTACACCATACTGTGAGGGCCTTGAGATGGTCGAGACTGGACCATGACCAGATGTTCGTCCAGAGGAGCGAAGCGGTATTCGTGATGACGAGAAGGAGGAGCCAGGCAATCCAGTCCGGGCGAAGCCGGAAACCGCGGTGTTGTTGCTGCTGCTCGTGTAGACCTCGCCATTCTGCAAGATTCTGGTCCTCGCTGTCTGACGTAGCGAGCTTCTCGTACTCCACAGCCATGAAGGTCTAGGCTACGTAGGGCGCTGTCCAAGAGCAGCAGAGAGCGACTCTTTGTCAGAGAGTCAAGCTAGGTGACTAGCAGTACAAATATGACTCTTTGGCGTAATATGCGTTGGCAGGTACACCGTCTTCTCCAGGCGTCGGGGGGATCATCGGCTTCTTAAGGTAGCGCTGTAAGGCGTGACTAAACAAGTAAAATGTCATGGAGTATACAACTTCAACGTTCTGCAAGCCTGCTCGTGTTAAGCATGATATCAAGGGGGTTGCTTGTTTTCAATGAGGAGAATCTTGTGCGATACAGGGTGACATCCCAGTCATTGCGTACCATGGGTCCACCTCCTTCTCAAGCGCGCTTCGTGACTTCCTTCCTCTATCCACACTTTCTATATTCGATTGGGTGTGTTGTGGGTCAGTGGAAGAAGGGTCTCTGCAGCGAATAGAAGGCACTATGACTTCAGAATCAAAACATGCCTTCTGTTCCGCATCGAGTCTGTTGGAGATAGCTATGGGTAAAGAAGAAGGTGTGTAGGGTTGAAAGCTACTATCCTTCCCTTCTACGATCTACCGTTGAGCCAGCCCGCTTACGTAGGCATCATGTCCACCACATATGGAATACAACACTACTAAACGTAGATTGGCCAACGCTTTTCCTCCTCCTCCGCCTTCGTCCCAACGTCGACGTCGTCCGGTCTCCCCCCTAATCTTGCGCGTGATAGCTGGGGTCGCGCTTCTCCTGCTCTGCCTTCTCCTCTACCTTTGTCACTTCGACCGGTAGCACCAGTTGTTTCAGGTCGTACGCGGGGTCGCGCTTCTCCTGTACCTTCTCCTCTTCTACCTTCGTCACTTCGACCGGTAGCACCAGTTGTTTCAGGTCGTACGCGGGGTCGCGCTTCTCCTGTACCTTCTCCTCTTCTGCCTTCGTCACTTCGACCGGTAGCACCAGTTGTTTCAGGTCGTACTCGGGGTCGCGCTTCTCCTCCACATGAGCATTCGAGAGATGGTGAGGAGTCTCCGAGTCCAAGTCGTGTCTTGGTATGACCATAGCGGCTACGCTCGCCGCGAAGATGAGAATGAGACTGCGTTTGAGCTGCATAGTGAAATGAAGGCTTGCGTGGAAATGTGTTGTTTAAGTCGTTTGCTTGAACAGTACAACTATAGCTGTCGTCGAAGAGCCAGCTCAATATATACTGCGACTGCAGTATGACCTGCTGTTGAATGTTCGATGCCTACTTTATGTCGTGACATTAGCTTTATCGTTTAGTCGTTGATAGGCAGCTACCCTTACTCGTTGCCTACTACTAACACCCGACCGTCTTGTGCTTTTAAGTATCCCATGCCTACTTTATGTCGTGACATTAGCTTTATCGTTTTAGTCGTTGAGGGGAAGCTACCCTCTTCACTCGTTGTCTACTACTGACACCCAGTCGTTCTAGACCTGGCCTCGGCAGGAGTCGATTCTTACAAGGTGTGTCGAAATCGAGACACAATATAGTTTAGCATAACGGAGCTTTGCGCATTTCGACAGCTAGCGAGGGTGGTCATTGTTGTCACGAGAAGTAAGTGAGAAGTCAAACGAAATCAACGACGAATAGTGTAGCCTGTTCACAGTCACATGGGATGCGGCGAAAAAGGCTGTGTCTACAAAGAGGTTGCTCGACCTCGGAGTCGGACGCCCGAAAGCTCGGACGGGGAACATGGACTATCATGTCTTTCGGTCAAGGCAGGCCCTCGCAAAGGTTGTGTGCCTCGCAATCAGAGTTCGGAGCTCCTCACCGTTTCTCAAGGCCAGCCTAAGCTCCGTGAGAGTGTAGTGGCAAGTCTTTTACAGACACAACTACACACCTCGCGTTGCTAGTCCTTGACTGGCTGGCTGAAGTTATGGCATTACTAAAAGATCCTCTTCTAGCATCTGTCCTGGATGAGGACGATCCTCTTTAGTCAGCTGCCTGTGGCCGTATGTACAGAAGCTGTCGATTCTGGAACTATCATACCTTCAGGATATCACGCCGAAGGAGCTTGGGGTGTCTTCTGTCAACATGACCTGGATTTCTGGAGGAGCGGTTGCTATTGGTCTCGTGTACGACTTGATTGTAGTCTAGAGCACCTCAGTTGCCACCGACAAGGCATGTCGGATCCGAGATATAAGGTGAACTTCGGAGGGAAACTCGCCTTATCGAACCGAATGCTTCCGAGGCCTATTCGACCACCCGACCTTTGGATTCATCTGAACCTCGCAATATTACCTTCACCCATACGCCCCGGTGCGCCTCGCTCCCAGATGGTCAACAGCATGCTTTCCGATCCTCAAAAACCAATTCCGTAGGTGCCAGACAACTGAAAGGTCAGTTCTTCCTTGTTCCATTTCAGGTTGACATTCTCGCCAGTGATGTTCAGATCGTCGTATCGGCACTGAGAAGGACGTCAGTCTGCAATGTAACATCAATGAAGAGGAACTCAGCACTCACCGAGGCCGAAATGTATCCGAACATGCCTCCAAAGTCATCACGAGGAATCTTCTTCAGCTTGAACGCTTTCGCCTTCTCGTCGATGTTGAACATCTTGTTGAAGACCTCGACGTTCGGCACGATGCCCTGGTAGCTCCACTTGGTGCTACCTCTCTTGCATGAAGGCTGCCATTTCATTTGCTTCTTGATCTCCTTGCGGCAGATGTCTCTGGCTTTGGCAGCACGCTCCGCAACCTTTTCGGGCGTCCAGATATCGGCGGCAGCCTTGGCTGCGTTGCCGGATGATTCGGCAAGCGCTTTCGTGTTCTTCTCTTGAAGTTCGTGGAGGGCCTTTTGGAGGATAATGACTATTTCGATGAGCTCCTGATTGGTCATGGATTCCAGCTCATCTTCTGTCAAGGCGGCCTCATCGCAAAGGCGTTGCTTCTTCGCGAAGGCAACTCCGGTTGCGCCGTCGCACTGTCCTGCTGGAAGTCAGCGATGAGTGTTGTCGGATATATGGTATTGCTTACGCTTCGTCGCGGGCATGTTGAGTCCGGTGGTGAAATCGTGGGATGGTCAAAGTTGAGAAGACTTTGATGTTGATGTTGAAGCAGTCAGGAACGCGAACGCGATGGCGCGTTGGAGAAAGCACGACCCCAACAACGCGTGTGCCCAGGATCTCAAATAAGCTCTTGGTTCCGGCTTGTTGTACGTGCACCCGATCACATGTCTTTCGGATCGTGGGTGACGTTTCTCGTGGCAATCGGGCCGGCAAACAACAGTCGGAGAAGATATGGCATACTCTATGCTTGGAATCTTGGATCTTTCCATGCCTGTCCCACATGGAGGAGGAGCGGACCAAGCATGGAGCCGTTTGACCAAAGACATTGACCTCAGCGAGAAGGGCAAGTCTCTGACTAGTTATTATGTTCTGTAGCAGCAAGGGCCACCAGGAGCTGACAGGATGTCCAGGTACGCATTACGATAATTTTCCCGTCCCACTCTCCCACCTCAAGGCGACAGCGCAATTCGACGCGGGGGAGTCTAATTTCGAGGACATGCGCAAGGCCTTGATTAGCAACAGGGTAGCATCTTCCACTTCCAAAGCCCACTCCTCAATCGGAACCAGGCAACATCTCTTTTGTAAGCCCTTGAGTAACCGCAGCATCACCAAAGCACTGCCTTCCAGCCAACCAGCAACTGCTACACCTCATCCAATTGTTTCCAAGAGCCTTCGTGTACTTCGGAGCCTCCTCGGGCTTGTACACCATGCAGACGATTTTTCCCCCATTGCCATCAAATCCGCACCGCCGATAGTTCTGGCAATGGAAGCAAGGTTTCGGGGCAAGCTGTCCAGCATCAGTCTCCTCGATATAACCGACGTGGGACAAGGCTCGCTGGCGCTTGCTTCTGGCCCACAATTCTTCAGTGCGAGTTCATTGCTATACCAGGCATCTGTGCGAGTTGGACGGCGGAGAGGTGCTATGCTGCCTTTTGGATAGGTGAGGTTCTTCTTGTTCTCCTGGATTCTGGCCGTGTATGCAGTCTGGGCAGGAGAGATGCTCGAGGAGCTGGTATACGGAGAAGGCAGGCTTGGTCGAGCGAAATTGCTTGGACCGCCCAATAGTGGGCCCGACCTGCCCAGGACCTGCGAAACTACCCTCGTGTTGCGCTCTCTCGCTATTTCTGCTGCTTGGGGCTCTCCGGGTCCGGGACCGTCCCCGGTAAGATCGATCACCCCCCGCCTCTCCAGACGTGAGCCTTTCATCTTCGGTGCGATCTGCCGCAGAAGTTCTCTGAAATAGCCCTTCGTCAAACCACACTTAAGACCAGCTTCTTTCAGATCGTCCCATTTATCCAGAAAGTAGTTGACGTCTTCGGAGTTGCCGCATCCAAGTTCAAAAGCTTCAAATGTTCTGTCATACGGGTCGGGATGATGGATATCCCCACCACCAGAGCCGTCCACAAGAACATATTCCTCGTAGAATCCGGCATCCTCGTCATCGCTTAAATCATCACCGTCGCTGAACCCAAGCGGATCAGATAGACACTGATCATTTCTCTCACTCTGCGGCATAGAGTGATACATCGAACTCACACCACCACAGTCGCGACATGGAACGGACACTCCATACGTGCATTTATCGCAGATCCCACAATGCCACTCTCTCCAGTCCATGCACTCTTTGCAGGTTGCGCAATGAGTAGTATGCGATATGGACTCCCAACCTCCCTTAGAAGACCTGCAAAAGGACCAGAAGTAGCCATAATGGCCAATTTCAAAGAGGTCCAATTGCAGCAACTTGTTGATATGCGCAGGCATCTCTGCCGGCGTCTTGCCGGCTTTCTCTCTCTTCCACTCCTCTAGTTCGTGGTCGTATTTAAATGCATCATCATTCTCCATCAGTTCCATCCTCAAGTGATCCAGATCGAAAGCTTTCTTTGTGGCACGGTAGGCGAAACATGGATTTGCGAGGGTATTCGCTGGCAGCCCAATTGCTTCGGCGATCCCGTTGAGCCGATTTCTGCATTGCTTCTGAGGGTCGGCTTTGCACCAGCAGACTTGCACTTGCAAGCGCCTTTGCAACCCGTTTTACATGCGCATTTGCCGGGATGCTCGGACGCTCCTCGATATACCTATGCATTCAAAACGTCAGCTCTGCACAATACAGAAATGTTGGTTTCGAGGATTTCTACCTCTGTACGAGGACGTTCAGAGCTTTTCATCTTCCGGGCCTTTTTACGTGCAGCCGCGAGCTCTGTTGGATCAGCCTTGCGTCTCGGCATCTTGATGTGCTTCGCAATTGATGTAATCCCATCGATTGGAGGAAGTAAGAGAAAAAGGAGGAAGTAAGAGAAAGAGGAAGAAGTGGTGATGTTGGAAGTAAAACCTTCGACGCGTTCTCCCCGCGTTTTAGCGCGACGCGAAGATGACGCGCATGTGATTCGCAGGCTAGGGGCGGAGACTAACGGCAGTGCAATGCTTCCCCGTTCCAAGCTTTTGTTTCTTTCCTGAGCTTGTTTCTCCTTCTCAACAATAACATCGCCAGTCTTCGGCCGGATCAGGAGAAGACATCGGGATTTAAAGAACATGCTCAATAATGGAGCTAGTCAACGCAAACATGCCCAAAACCAACGATCTATTCTAGTTATCGCCGCATCGACAACGACAAGACTCCACTCAATACCCCCAATCCCCATTCCTCTTCAAATCCGACACCATCCCCTCTTTCATTCTTAATACCTCACTCTCCATGATCCGAGGCTTAAAACCATGCCCAGGTGGAATATTGGTATCCTTCTAGTTCTCCCCTTCCCCCTCTTCTGAGCGCCTTCTCACAAGCAGCAATACATCTCCCTCGCGTACTTCTCCAGATCATGCGCCCGTACCCAGCGTCCAATCTTCAAGAACCCGATATTCGTCTCACCCTGCTCCTTGGCCAGATCTTGGATAATCGAATGGTACAACTCTTCGCGATTCAGGAAGCCGGTTTGTTGCAAGATGGAGACTCGTCGATGGCGGAGTCTGTTGTTTACTCGTGTGGCCCGTGGGACGCTTGATGGGCTGCCGCATTGATTGAGACACTCTGTGACGCTAATACCGTCTTCGAGGGCTTGGACTGCGCCGTTGCCTGCTGCTAGGAAGAATGCATGAGTGGTATCGCCGAGCTTGAGGATTCGTCCGGATTCTGAGGTCCATTGCTCGATGCGGTCACGCCACATAAGTCGCCAATCGACGACATCAGAGGGCGTCTGTCAGATAAAGTCCAGCACTGCCGGGTCCCAGGATGGAGGACATTTCTCGATTTAAGGAATCATGTTCGCTGGAGAACGGAGGTTCAATGACGGTTACGACGCTCAGATCATCGAGTACATGAAGCCTATTTTCGAAGACCTGTACAAGGATGGCGTGCCCAGTAGTACCATTAGTACTAGGCTCTCGAAGTCCTACCTCATTGATGAGATTTCGGCATACTGTTCTTTGGCTGGTGTACAGACAAGATTGGACGTCGTACTTGTAAAGTCTTTGCGACCCTACTCCTCGTTTCAGGTTTGGTGTTTGCGAGTAAGTATATTCTCACAGAGCCAGGCGGATAGGCGCTAAAAGCTGGTCAGCTGCTGCGCATGGAACAACGCAACTTGGTATGTTCTGGATGATGATTGTGGGTCGCGGCGTTGCAGGATTTGGTGCTGGAGGAGAACATTCCGTTTGTGGCACTGGATCCACTGAAGCATCTGATGAAAGCCTGTACGTTCGACGCAGGCGCGGCGTCCTTGTTACCATAAACGCTGATTCGCCATCGATCTCGGATCTGACGTCGCCGGCTCTGTCGCTCTCATCAGGCTCGCTGCCTACAACTACCGATCCAGCGAAGGCGTCTGGCGCATCTGTTTCGGACTGGGCTTCGTCTTGCCAGTCGTCTTGTTACTCTTCCCACTTTGACTAATTGACAGCACCCAGTACCGCAAGCATGCCATGAAAAAGAAGACCTCGTACTTCATAATCAGACATTACTGGAAGCCAGTGCTCGGAACAAGCTGGACTTGATTCTCTTACGACTTTATCACCTATCCGTTTGGCCTGTGCTCCAGCACCGTTATTCTCAGCTTCACCCGAACGACTCTCTGGTGCGGATTAGCTGCCTTGGTACAGCTGTGAACTGCTTCTATCTGCCCGGCTGCATTATTAGTGGTTTTCTCGTGGGCCGGACCGGAAGAAAGCAGACCATGATTCTCGGATTTGGCTGTTCTCGGCTTTATCCTTGGACGAGCGGGCGGGCCCGATTCAACTAGTCTTATCACTCTCCGTCATCCTCTGCGGCATCTTCAACGCCTTTGGAGAAATGGAACAAGCTGTCGCGACATTTCTCTGTGGCGTTGAGAGCTTTTCCACACCAAGCCGTGGTCACTTGCTCGGTCTCGACGCAGCAGTCGGAAAAACCGGCGCAGCCATTGGCACTCAGGTCTTTACTCCAATTCAAGATTCATCCCGGATGAGTTCAAAGGCATCCAGACAATTTTTCTCACTTGAGCGGCTTTAGCAGCAGTCGGTTGCCTCGTTGCACGTACCCTGATCTCTTAACGAGAGCGCGACCTGGAAGACGAGGGTGCCAGATTCCGAGCATGCTTGGCAGAGCACGGCTTCACAACAGATTTCGGCGAAAGCATCGAGAAAGGGGTCCAGACGGCTCTGTTCAAGACATAGATATGCGTTGCCTCTTGTTTCTTGACGGCTGTAGACATGATCAGTATAGCAAGATGACTCTGTGACTACCATCTCCGGTGTCTTGTTCAGAAGGACACAACCTTTCGTCGGCATTGTTCGTTTGGCATCTTCGAAATGGCCGACATTGAGTGCAGCCCTCAGCGCATTCGGTATCCTCACTGTGACGGTGAGAGAGTGAAAGTTGATGTTGACAAGAGGAACCAGAAGGACGAGGTGAAAAGCCGTGAAAAGTCGCGTCCACATAAAGTTACGCGCTAAGCTAATTAAAGACCCCTGCTAGCGTGCTGGATATGAGTTCGTCTGCTTTGTCCTGCCTTCTCCCACCAACACCAACATCTTCCTCATCAGCAATCCAGCATCATGGCATCGGCAGACTTGACCGAATACGTGACGCTCATATCATCTGACGGGTACAGCTTCGTCGTCCGGAGACCAGCGGCGTGTATCAGCGACGCCATTAAACGCATGCTAGATCCACAGAGTACACTTACGCTTCCTTTCCGGACTATCGGTGCTCACGAACTGACAGGCCGCAGATGGTTTCATGGAATCCAAGACGAACACCTGCAGATTCGATAATATCAAGTGAGACCAGCGATTGTCGGGTCAGGAGAGTTGCTGACGACGACATTGGAACAGCGGCATTATACTCGAGAAAGTCTGCGAGTACCTCTACTACAACGAAAAGCACAAGGACGCCAAGGACGTAGCGGATATGGAACTACCGACAGAGCTGTCTCTGGAGCTGTTGATGGCGGCTGATTACCTCAATGTCTGAAGGGTGAGGTCGAGATCTCGAGACTCGGCGGCTATTAGCCATGTTGACTTTCCTGTCCAGAACGGAATCACAATGATATAGCGTGGCGCTCGGAAGCCCACGTAGTCTTTCACGTGGCTTGACTCCAAGATCATTAAAATTCATTGAGAGAGCGCTCTATCTTTGTCTTTTCCGCAGAAGATGTCCAGAAAGATCGAAAACCCGGGCGTTCGGAATCATTGCCAGGAGACTGTTTGCCTGGTTTATTCGCTGAATCTGACGGTCTGAGGCTGGCATTGGCACTCAGTTTGCTGTTGGATTCGTGAATGCGGTTCGAGGCTGAGATCGTGAGCCCCAGCTGCGGTAGTCTACCAAAGTTATCTGGTAACGTCGAGGTATCAGCTTGAAGCACAAAATATCGCGCTGTTCAAGTCTCTCGTTTCGACATTATATGAAGACCGTTAAGACAGCATGATCTGGCCCGAAGCATGACGACCACGCTCACTGTTCGTGTTCGCTAGGGCTGCCTCTTCGCGGTACATTCTTGAAGGATGCCACGAAGGATCAACAACGCCACGCATCGCATTCCAATGGTTATGAGTCAGATAGGCAATAGGGCTACTATGGCCTTTGCAATCGCCATCATGCAATGGTATGGAGAACAATCGTCATGAAAATATTCGAAAATGAGTTGGGAAATGTTGACGATACATAACGCAAGGCTGTGCAGTAGGATTGGTGAAGTCAACAGATCCGGGCATTGCACTTCCACGCCTGGGACGGCCTAGTTTTGTCTGCCACATGTTGTGGGCGGGAAAGTCTCAGTCCGTGGGGCCGAAGCCGAAACTGTTGGAAAGTCGTCAATGGAAGGCGACATGGCATATCGTTCAGCCGATGGTACCGGTTGACCGGCAAGGAAGGAATGTTTTGTGCTTGTTTCGTAGGCTGCTATCGTACCGAAGACTACGGCGCCATAGATGCGACGGCGCCGCAAGTCTGAAGTTGAAGATTGGAATCTCGGAGCGCCAGTGCCCAACGTGTCCATCGGTGGAGACAATGAAAGATTACAAGAAGCGGCTCGGTACCGAGAGCTCCTTCGCTCAGAGGGGCAGCCGGTCGACAGACCTCGTTCCTTGTGATGTGTCAAACCATCGAAAACCTGCCCTTGTTGGGGAAATGCTCTGCTGTGAATGTCCACAAAGGTAGCAGGATTGCAATGGAAGAACGAAGGTGCAAAAGACACTCCCTCAAAAAACCCCACGTCATATCCGTCAAGGTGGAGATGTTTGGCCAGCATCAAGGATTTGCCATGCTCTTGAGAGAAGAAAGACAGCTTCAATTGCTGGAGCATCTGCCCACTTGCCTCGGCGGCGAGGGTCCATTTCCACAATGACAACGTTTTGTTCGATCTCTTGTGTAGTCCGGGATAGGCGCCCAGAATCTCCAATTTTCGAATTCATCATCAATGAAAGGTCCAGGGGGATCGTACAAGTGCATCGCGATCCCGGTCCCTCAGATCAATCAGAACGGTTGCCATCATCATCAACAAGTAGTGATGCTGCCTCAGATGTTGATGTTCCTGGGACAACAGTCTGATAAGATCAGCATATCAGCCCGTGAGGTGGATGACGGCAGCAGCAGCGCACAGAGCACGACTGTCAAGCACCGCGGGGCGAAGGCATATCCCGGAAGCGGTTTGGGCATCAGGAACGAAGCAAGACGTCATGATTGGTTCGCCAGCCTAGCTCAAGCTCATGAAAGACTTTCACGTGCTTCTTGTCTTCTTTGTGGTACCCGGAGGCACAAGCACCCAAGGGTACCTCCCGGCGGACACTGGAAACTGACTCAGCTCCGAAGGCTTGACAAGCGTGCATCAGCACACACTTTTCAGCGCTGATCGTCGATCAGCACAGTGGCATAGTAGAATTGGTTCACTTGGAATGCCAAGATTGCTTGGCTTGTGCTTTATCGCGACTATATAACCAACAGTATTAAGACTGTGCTGCGCGCTGGGATCACAGATCGAAGAAATGTCAGTCTGAAACTCACGGGACACGGAGCATCTGTTCAGCGGCGACAAGCTTTCTCCAAACCTCCCAGGATGATGGTCCTACAACTCGCTTTTGCTTGCTGCCTTCGTCTCGTTTGTGGTTGTGGTGATTCTGTTGACGCCAAACGTCTCGCCTGTCATGACTCCTCTTCCTCCGCGATTTTTTGACGTCCAAGACATTCGTTGCGATGCGGAAAGCGGCCAAAGCGTTCTACGATATCCCGATGAGACTTTACAAATCACCAAGTCCTTTCGACATCTTGCGCCGTTTCTGTGTCGCCGCCTTCTTGTGCCTTGGACATGAGCTTTTCGGTTCTCTCGGAGGCCAGCTTTTGGGACTTGTTGTCTTCGGCGTATATCAAGGGCAGATTGAACCACAGATGGTATGCCGACGCCGCATGGAAAGACGGGTGGGCGGTCGGATCGGGCTGAAGGCTTCTAGTGCCGCTCCGTAGAAGCGACCAGGCGAGCCGTCATATCTGATGACTGTAAACGAGGCGTGGCCCGGCAGGAGGGCGGTGGATATTGCGAGGCATCTGATCCAACAGTAGAGCGAGCGATAGAAAAGTGTCGGCAGCTTTCTTGCTATGTGTGTTTAGCGAAACCAAATCTTCGATCTGTTTGAGCGCTTATTGGCCATGCTGAATTGTCTTCCTGCTGTACCGGGGCCATCTCATCGAGAAAAGACGCTACCATCTCCTCGGCCTTCTCGAGGTCATCGTGGTATAATCTCCAGGGTGGCAGTTGAAGCTTCTCGGACCCGATGGACTCCAACGCCGGTCCAGACTTCTATCGACACTGTTCATCAGAGGCTTCACTTTCCGCCCTTGACTTGCCAGCTCCAGGCAGGCGAGGATGCTGAGACCAAAGTGCCGTACGACCCGGTGGCGGAAAGAAAGAAAGCGAGGGCGTGATGTAGGAATCGATTAAAAGCATGGAAACAGGCAAAGGGTATCAAAGAAGAGATGGTATAGAAATTGGTCCTGACGAGCTCACCGTATGAGCGCAACCGCTCCCCCAAACGCGGCTCGCATTCCCAACTTCTTTCAGGCCAGCGAATTTGACGTTCGCAAGGTGGCGTCGCTCCAGAAACAATCCGGACTGGTTTCTCGGAGCATCTTCAGACGATTGTTTGCTACGACTCGCGAAAAGCCGGCAGCAAGGAGTATGGTTATCGCATCGGCATCGGGTTCGGGTTCGAGTTCGGGTTCGCGTTCGGTGTGAGCGGCAACCTTACTTTTCTGGGTCATCTCGTCCGAGCTTTTGCTGGGTCAATCATCGTCGTCATCATCATCACCATCATCATCATCACCATCAACAACAACATCATCATGCAGCCCCCGACACCTTCTCTTCACATGTGCAGCTTCTTCATCACATCCATTCCTCGAAATGCCTCTGTCGCCGGGCACTCCCACGCGACGCACGTGACCTCGATCCGCTCATCGGCAGCAGCGGCCATGTGCACCGCGCCTCGATTGGTCCCGTGCGTGTGCAAGCGCTAAGGAGGCCGACCATGTTCGTGAAGCTGACCGAGCCATGTCCGCGTCAAACGATATCACGAGCCGTCACATGCGTCGTCTATACACTTCATCCAACTGAACAACAGTCTTCGCCTGGATGGGTGGAATACCGGGATGCTGTTGTAGAGGAATTGGCTTCGTAGGCCGAGAGGATCCACCGATGCGCCGTGGGAAATGCACAAGCCGCCGAGGCTGCGAAGACCAGGTCTGGAGGCAGGATGGGACGATGGACAGATGGATTGCGTCGCCAACATTCATCTCAAGCCCAAGTAAGGCTCCGAAGGATTAAGTATGTCAGGATGCGCTGTCCGGGGATGAGGGAAACGCGAGGCGTCATGCTGCCGTTCTTCTTCAGCAACGTCTTCCTTCTGCATCAAGACTAGCTCCAGCACGGACCAGGCGTGCGCGCTCGGTTCCTGCATCGGCGGGGGAACATCATCGACGGATTCGACGACCTGGTTGTTGCACGCTGCTAAGACCTCATCGCCTGTCCTCTACCCTCCCGAAATGTAAAACTTGCCCGAATGTCGACATTATACCCACTGTACCATTCACAGAGCTTGAAAGCGATGGCGTTCCCGCCCTCACCTCACATCATCGAGCATAGAGTTTGGCGACGTCTACTGGATTCGGCTACGCTATTATCGCGGGCACTCTCATCGCCCAATCCCCCGATTTACTCAGCGAAAGTGTTTCGCACTGCAGCCATACATGCAGTGCCATGAGTCGCCAGAGCTCTGAGAGAGGAGAAGTTGCTCAGAGCGGAGCGGTTCAAGCCCCGGCCCTGCTGTGTTCCCACGCCCATCTGCGCCGTGGCCATGACTCGCGTCCAGCGAGATCAGCACCGTATGATGATATGGCGCATGTCGTACGAGTCAGAGTCTGGCAACATTGGGCTCCGACACTCTTGGTTCCCGGTGTGTCGATTGAATCGTGGTGGCATCGTGAGATGACGGCCGTGGAGTCATTGGAGCGACATGACGACTGGTAGGACGATGCTAGAGCTGGCGACCCAGCCCGTCCAGATCGAGTGATCGCGATCGTGAAGCATTCTTAAACGGTGACGTCCCGACTCACCAGATTTGCTCATCACACCCTTCTTATCCCCAGCTAGACGCCCTCGATGCTACACCCTCGTGTCTAAATACATGTTTCCTTCCGTTACCAAGCTGAGTCCTATTCCAGAGAATATGGGAATCTTCAACACATCAGACAAGAACAACAACAAAGACAAGAACTCCTCAAACACCTCCACCATCAATAACAGCAGAAACGAATCCTCGATGAATTCCGGCTCGACAACCTCGTCCAACGGTACGTCATCAGCACCAGGAGCCGCTGCAGCCAACCTGAACGCCGCTGCGTCCAATCTGAGTGCCGCTGCCACGAATCTCAACAAGACTGAGAGTTCTTCCGACACAGGCAGCACCAACGCTCGCGGTACGCTGTCCCGTGGCACAAGCAGCGCTGGTGGTCGTCAGGAAGGGGCCCAAGCAGTCCGCCAGGGCAGCCAAAGCACTGTCACAATTCCCGGCAACAAGCAGGGACGTGGCACTTCCTCCGACGACTCTAGCAACGGCAGCTCGGACTTCGACACCATTAGTAGACGTTCAGCAGAGTCCTCCGAGACTGACACAAGCATCTCAGATACGATGAAAATGACCATCCCCGCGGAAGACGACTACAACAAGCCCTCGGGCAACTCCAGTAATAATTCGTCGTCCAACAACACCTCGAGCAACAACAGCTCTTCTGTAGGTCAACAAGGCGGTAACAACCGACAAGCGCCAGGCGGCTTCCCATCAGACGACATTGACCGTGCTTCGTCCAACAACAACAACTCCAACAACAACAGCAGCAACAACAACAACTCCTCGAGACCACCAAGCACCTCTCCAGACGTCAGCCGCAACGCTCGCGGCGGTGTGACAAATGGCCACGCCAACGACAACGGCAACGACAGCATCCCCTCTACTGGAGGACAGAAGATGGGTGGTGGCAACAACGTGAGCAACTCTTCCAACGACAACCGCCGCATGTCCCCTTCTGACCTTGTCAACCAGGCCGAGAAGAATCATCAACGAAATGGTAGTTCTCCCAATGCAAACTATAATGCTGGTTTTAACCGGGATGAAGATTCTCCTCCACGCGGCGGCGGCAACTCCATGGGCAACAATGTAGGTGGCCGCAATGAGTCTCGTGGTGCGCCACAAACATCTCAAAGCATGCGATCTAACTCTCCACCTCGTTCGCAGAATTCCGGCGGCGGCATGGGTGGCGGCATGAACAACAACCGAGGCGGCGGTGGCAACATGCGTCGCGATTCTCCAGAACCACCACCACGCAACGACAACTACGGTGGCGGTCGAGGCGGTAACTCCTACGGTGGAGGTGGCCGTGGTGGAGGAAGGGACTCCTTCGATGAGCCTCCTCGCGGCGGTGGCGGATATGGCGGTAACAGCTTTGGCGGCAACAGCTCGTACGGCAATGACCGTGGTGGTAATGGCGGCAACAGCTCCTACGGCAACGATCGCGGTGGCTATGGCGGCAACGACCGAGGTGGCTCTGGCGGCGGTCGTGACGACTACGGCGGAGGCCGCGGAGGTGGTTATGGAGGTGGAAACTTCTCTGGCGGTGGTGGCTACGGTGGAGGCCGCGATGATTACGGCGGCGGTCGTGGTGGCGGCGGTGGCGGTTACGGTGGAGGCCGCGATGATTACGGCGGCGGTCGTGGTGGCGGCGGTGGCGGTTACGGTGGAGGCCGTGATGACTACGGCGGTGGCCGTGACACCGGCTACGGAGGCGGTCGAGACGACTATGGCAGCAGCCGTGGTGGAGGTGGTGGAGGCTACGGAGGTGGCCGGGATGATTACGGCAGCAGCGGCAACCGTGGAAACAGTGGTGGCGGCGGCGGAGGAGGCTATGGCGGAGGCTATGGTGGTGGCAATGATCGAGGTGGATATGGAGGTGGTGGCAACGACCGCGGAGGATACGGTGGCGGCCGGGGAGGAGGTTATGATTCAGGCCGCGGCGGCGGAGGTGGTGGTGGTGGAGGTGGTTACGACAACGCACAAGCCGCTCGCCAACGTGGAGAAGAAGACGGCATGCGTGACGCCATGCGAGACATGAACCTGAACAAGAACAATGGCCGCGGTGGTGCATCCGACTCGCCTCGCAACAGCATGCCCCAAGGTGGCAAGGCCTCGCCGGCTGGCGGGAACCGCAACAGCCACGGGGGGTTTGGTACCGAGCGCAAGATGGACATGGCATACGACGCTGGATACAAGGATGCCATGGAGAAGCTGAAGAAGAACATGATGTCTCAGTTCGGTGGTAACAACTAAGGCCGTCACCCTTGATGCCGGACAACATTCACCACCGGAGTCTTGCTGGTCGAGTCCTTCATCGCCTGCCCACCTTCTCCGATATGTTTTGTTTTGTTGTGTGTTGTGCGGCATCCGGCGCTGGTGAAGATGGATGGCTGGGCTGTAAGGATTTGGAAATTTGGATGGATGGATGGATGGTTTGGTTGGCTATATCAATGTACTTATAATCTCTTTCCTGTGTTGTGTGCAGACAGATTATTAATGCAATGCTCAATTAAAAAATAATCAACTGTTGCTTCGATGTCTTTAATGTCAAGTCCTCTCCTCCTCGTCCCTCTCCTTGAATATTGAATCGAACCTCTCATCCTCATCCTCATCCTCATCCTCATCCTCATCCTCATCCTCATCCTCATCCTCATCCTCATCCTCATCTTCAACCTTTCCCGCCTGCTGCCTCTCTCTTCTCCACCAACTTCTCGCTCCTCTCCTTAATAATCGCCGCCCGAACCTGTTCATCCGTCATCGGCTTGATGTTGTTGTTCATCTTCTTCGACAATTTGGCGCGAAAGGCTCGAATTTCGGAAATTTTCGGTGGTGGTGGAGGTAATCTGGGTCTTCTTTCCTTTGTCGTCGTAGTGAAGGAGGAGGAGGAGGAGGAGGAGGTGGTTTTGGTTTTGGTGCTGCTGGGACGGAAAGACGGGTGACGTGTGGGTTTGGTTTGGTTTGTGGATTTGGGGGTTTGGGGTATGATGAAGACATTGTCGTAGGTAGACTTCGAGGTTGGTTTGAGGGGTTTTGAGGTGTTGAGTTGTTGAGAAGGAGTTTTGGGTCTTTTTTGAGAGAGAGAGAGAGAGAGAGAGAGAGAGAGAGAGAGAGAGAGAGAGAGAGAGAGAGAGAGAGAGAGAGAGAGAGAGAGAGAGAATGAGAAAGAAGAAGAGGACGACGGGGACCTTTTTCTTTTTTTTTTTTTGGTATGCCACCTGGAGTCTGTCTGTCACATTGGTTCGTGAGTGAGGTGAGGAAGCCAGGATTTTCATGGAATGTCAATGTTGTGTTATTGTTGTGTTATGTTATCTTAGAGCACGATGCGTTGTGATCATCATCATCATCATCATCGTGCTACTTGTAATAATAACAATATTCATCATCATGTGTGTCCGCTTCGTCCTACTCTACGTACCTTTTGGTTTACTAGAGGTGCTTTGATTTTGCGTGGCTGTGCGGCGGGCATGGTCGTCATCTGGTGAGCTGGAATACTTTGGTGTGATAACAAATGTACTTCGTAAAGTCGGTTGATCGCATCGAAACATCCCAAGAGATTCACGAGGATGTTGCAACGTGCGGCACGTCGTCACTCGTGTGCAGCCAGCCCCTTCTTCGTGGGTCGACCAGCCGGATGGATGGTGGGTGGAAGAAAATCGCCTGCATGATCGCACAGAGGTGCTTGGGAAGGAGATAAAGAATGAAGCGTCTTGATGCTAAGTTCTCATTCTCACAGGTGGGTGATGTATGTATCTCTATGCATGCATAAATGAACCCGCGCCCCCCTCTCTCTCTCTCTCTCTCATTCGAGCAACAAGCAGCAGAGATCGCGAGATCCCACCGTCCTCCTCCTCCTCATCATCATCCATCATCTCATCGAGATCTTACATCAAATCCATAAAACCCCCCACCCCCCGGGAAACATATCACAATAAAACACCACAAAACCCGAACATCATCATCCTACTCCTCCCATCTACACCTGCTTCGGCTTCTTAGCCTTAACAACCGTACTCAGATCCACAATCGGCGGCGCGGGGATCGGCAGCTCCATGGTGGGGATCATAATCGCAAAGAGCAAGTACCAACCGAACATGGCGGCGGCCCAGAAACAACCACCGGTGGCGACGAGGAATTGCTCGGCCATGCCCATGGCGCCGACGGCGGAGTACCAGAAAGACGCCGTGGCGAAGCCGAAGCCCATGGTGGCGGCGACGAAGATGAGGAAGAAGAAGAGGTTGGTGCGCAGGGAGCAGATGAGGAAGATGAAGGAGAGGATGGCGAGGGCGAGCGGGTAGAAGCCTAGAGGGGCGCGGAAAGCAAGAGGAGTCAGTATAAGTGGGGTGGGAACGGCGGGGGAGAGGCGGAAAAGGTGGTGGTGGTGGTGGTGGATGGGGAGGAGCATGCATACCGTAAGAAGCGGCATACATGGGCGTCATCATCTGATTCCCCGCGCCGCCAATATAGGGCGTCCCGCTCGTGTAGGCGGAAACACCATTGAAGAAGGGGATAAACGACGTGCCAAAGGTCAAGAAATGGCACCCGTAGCCCATGAAGACGATGAAGGGGAACGTGTTGCCGAGGATCCACTCGCCGACACCCGCGAAGAGGAGCAGCACGCCTCCGAACCAGAGCGTCGCTCCGATCGTGGCCTGGGCGCTGCCTCCGCTGCCTCTCCAGCCCATCAACTCGGCGGAGAGGGGCGTCAGACCGACGGAGAAACCCATGATGGCGAGGGGAGTTGGGTTGGCGAAGGTCTTGCGCAGATCGCCCGAGACATTGTTGCGAGGCGACAGGAAGAGGCGTTCGAATTGCTCGTCGGAGATGGTGTTATTGGTGAGCCTGGTTGGAGAGAAGTGTCAGTGGGGATTGAATTCCAAGCACGTCTCGTCTTTTCCAGCTGCAGTCAAAGAAAACTCACATCTGACGGAGGTTACTGGTGCTGTTATCACCGTGTGTCCGCGCCTTGTCGAGTGCGAAATCGTTCATGTTGTTGGCAGAGCCATTCTCCAAATCCTTTGCATCCGCCATGGTGATTCTAAAGGATGGAGGTGATTCGATGCGTCAAGAAGCAAGAGAGAATCGACGACCAGATCAAGACGATCGCACGAGCTGCACGCGACCGCGACCGCGACGGCGCCCTTGGTCCCGGCGTGTTATGTAGCATCGCAAATAGGCTTTTCGGTAACCCTTACTATGGAGAGCACAACTGTGCAAGCCCACGATGATTCCCCAGATCCGCCCCGGGGGCAACTGGGGAAAGGGAGCCCATCGCAATGGCGCAGAGGTGTGGGGTAGACGAGCCTAACGATCCTGCTAGCCATGTGAGTTGCAGCATGTGAAGCCGGTGTAGCCGCTTAGCATTCCTTCAGAGTTCCAGACAGCCGCTTAGCATGCACGCTTCCACACACAAGCGCTCCCAGCTTTCCTGCATTGGGGACGTTCGCCCGACGGGTTGAGGCGGTTCGTGGCTCTTCGATCTCCATCGAGATCGCGGCAGGTCAGGCGATGTCTGGAATAGATGCTCCCGACATCCACGCGCCATCAGCAGACCATGCTGCCGAAGATGGCTGAAGGACGAGGCATACGAGCGGGGTCGTTGCGGTATGCGCCGGCAGCAGCGATGGTAGCAGTATATGTATCATTCCATGTCGGAAGAGGAAGATGCGTTCGCTAGTCTGTAGGAGGTAGAGCTGCACACTCGACCAGGTGGACCTCCCCGCTGAGTCTTCAGCTTTGCAGTAATCTCATCATGTATGTACGTCCATGACCGTGTTCTCGCTGAGTCGTTGGACACCTCGAACCACCCTTTCTTGCGGCCCGAGGTTGAGAGTATCGCTCGTCTTAAGTAATCCGCAAAGTCAGCAGGCTGCCGTACAGATACATGCCTCCGTAGACCAGACCAACCTTTTCGCGACAGAAGTTTCTCTTGTACCCATCTACCCTTTCGGGCCTCTTCTACATGGATGAACAAAGAAGCTTGTGAATGTCATGTCGCACACTGCTCGATTTGGCTCATACCAAACAGCAAAGCTCCAGTCCAAGCCACCCAGCTCCATCTCGAGGCCGGGTATAGACTCAGCGGACTCCGCCAACAGCAGATGACGCCTTCGCAGCAAGCCTATTACAAGACCAGAAAGCAGCATATCCGACGCCCTCTGCGTACGGCCAGGTGCAGCAACTTTGTCTCAAACCCTCCAAGCCGTCCGGCGAGCCCAGACCTCTTTCGTACCCTGGATCGGTGCAAGCGATCCGACGGTCAACGCCAGCATCACCGGCGGCTCGCAGATCACGAGGCTCGTCAATCGGGATATTGAATTGTTGTACAGCGTAGGTGCAGTAACAGGTCTTGCTGGGGAACATCTCCTAGCCCTTCACGGAGATTCCGAACACGATATGGGTCCGAGGTACGAGCAGTCGCTGTCTGAAGGACTGAAAGACATTGTGGCCGGCTGTTCTGCGTACATGGGCATTGGTTTGGTTTGGTCGACGTGCGAGCCCTGTTCGCAGGCATATTTGCAAGTCCTGAAAGGTGCGGCATCGATGAGGAGTATGTCAATCCGCCGACAGCGTGTCTAGTGGGTAAATGTCCCAGCCAAGGAGTGCCGAGGAATCGGTATAGCGATCCCGAGAGGAGTCTGTTCTTTGATAGCTTCCATCCCTTCAAACAGGTGCAAACTCGGATTGCTCGCCTGTTCCAGGAAAAGTTGAGCGTCTCTTGAGATTGAATTTTTTTTCAACAAGCAGCTCAACTGTATCGCCGTCGCTTCTGCACTCCAGAATCCTTCTTCAGTTCATTAGCAAGCTTATTAATAGACGACATGCCTTCCCGCTTCATGCGGTCATCCAAATACTGGATCGCAGCCTCATTGTCATCGCATTCGCCGCGTTCGACCAGCGCTTTGACTTCCTCAATGACTCGCTTGCGCTGGCTGAAGTACTGACACGAAGCCCCCGGTGCGCCGTATTGCTTCTTCCTCCAATTGCCGCGATGGTGCTCTTCCATCCACACGACCGACGGCCGGCCTTCTTCCGCGAAGCCTTCGAACCACTCTTTCCAGAGCTCGGCGACGGTTACGGTGCTCTCCTTGAGAGTCTGGTATTCGAACGTGGGCATGGGATCCACCGCTCTCGGGGTCCGGGGGGCACTCTCCGAGTCTCGGATGTGCGGAGTGGCGTGGATGTCCGGTGACGAGGCCTCGGAAGGCTGGACTTTGAGATGCGGAACTTCCAGCGGCGGCGGCGGGAGGCGCGATTGGGATGCTGAAGCAGTCGTCGTGGCCGAGTTGGGCGTCAACACCTGGCCTTGCGTCTGCGAAGGTCGCTCGCCGTTGATGGTGGTGAAGGCGCTGGGCCGGAAGTGTGGCACGGGGTTCTGCTGTGGCACATACGGCGATGTGTACGTAGGCTCGGTGGCAGGATGGGAGTTGGGCGCCGCCGCAGTGGTAGAGAGCGGCCGGACGTTGAGATGCTTCCCTCTCCATTCCCGCTCCAGCATCGAATACCCGCAATCATCCCAGAAGCGCCCGTCATGCCACACGTGCTCCCTCAGTCTCGCCTCGGAAACGAAGCCCAATCTCTCATACAACCTCATGGCGTGGTGATTGTACTCATAGCACCATATGCACACCTTATGCAATGCAGCCCGCCGGAAACTCCAATCCAGCGCCCAGCGAATCGCCTCAGTCCCGTAACCCGAATTCCTAAACGGCCGTGCAATGTTAATCCCCAGCGTCGTATTCCGACAATGCCTCTCCCTCGGCGTGTCAGTCAACGTCACCGTCCCGATGGGCGTCATACTCTGCGAAGCACTCCAGGGCGTGGCGGAGGGCGGGAGGCAAACAATCGCCGCCATCAGACATGACTCGAAGAACTCACGGTGTTCCTTCACACTCTTCCTCCCCTGGGGCACAGGGAGCCACGCCGTGGATCGCAACTGGGATTCCGTATCCTGGTGCATGGCGAGCAGGAAAGGGTCATCCGACTCCTCGATTGCGCGGTAGATGAGACGCTCCGACTCGAAGATCTCGCCCATCATCGCAGGTCGGTATATACGGTTTGCGGGATCCTGGGATGTACAACATGGACAGCTTTCAGTTCAATCCGGTGGGATCCTGGTTGCCACGTTGAAGCATGGTTTGGAACCCCTCGCCGCCGCCGCCAGTAGACTTTTGGCGTATCCACGAACAACCCAGGCTAGGAACGTAACGTAACGTCGAGAGGAAGAAAACAGAATGTACTGAGAAAGGGATGATGATGAGAAGAGGAGGGAGTGGGAGTGGGAGTGGGAGTGGGAGTGGGAGTGGAACGAGGGGTTGGTGAGGGAGAGTCGGCAGTAGTGAGCAAGTCGCTGAGGTAAGGGTAGTGAGGCTGAGACGCAACCCCTCGACCGCGACCGGGGAGCCACAGGGCCGAAATGGTGCCGCACATACTGTAACTCCGAAGAAATCACTCATTCACTCACATTCGTCCGCCTCACTCATTCACTCACATTCGTCCGACTCACTCATTCACTCACATTCGTCCGCCTTTCCGTTGCACTATAAGCTACCGCATACCTCGAACACCTGCAACGACATCCGTGGTAGGCTGCAAGAGCGTCTCAGAGCTCATCCCTCTCTTGCGCCTGCGCCTGCGCCTCTGCCCCGACAATGCCAAACTCATACGTGGCAAAATTGACCGCAGGCAGCGTATCAACGCCATAGACCTGATACTCGTCCTGTCCCCATTGCGGGTTATTGATCCCATCGATCCAACCCTGCGGCTCCACCACAATACACCCATGCAGCTCATACCGACTCTCGGCGCCCCCGTTGTCCTGGCGCTGTCCTGCCTTCGCAGCGATACTCCCATTGAACCAATTACAGCTGAAGATTTCCAGATTCTGCTGTGTCGTGCGGACGTCCATCTGGATCCTCGTATCGGGGGAAGACATGCGGAGGACAACGAGTTCTGTATCTTCCGGGGAAGAATACCGTGGTCGATCGAGGATGAAGGCGTTGTTGTAGCCGGTACAATTGACTCCACAGCTATTCTTCGGGCCGTTGAAGATTTGCGAGCCGATGAGTCGAGGGGTGGTGAAGTCCAGGAAAGTCCCCGCGACCGTACCGATCGTCCCGTTGGGGACCTGACTGGTCTCCACCTGTGGATATCGTTTGGCGTAGGGCATGTACAGTGTATTGTCGTAGACCCTCTGCGCCTGTTGGTTGACGAAAGCGCCGAGATTCCAATAGATGTGGTTGCTCAGCATAATCGGCGTCGTCTGATCCAGCGGAATGGATACCAATCGACTGGTCCATCGCGGCTTCCCGGCGACGGCACAGGAGACGCTGTACGTCGCATAGTTGATGACATTGCCCGGAAAGCCCTCGAATGCCTGGTCGTAGAAAGCGAACGTGATGGTGTTGGACGAATGCTGAACGATAGTCCAGTTCCTCCGATCGTACCCGACAGTGCCTCCGTGCAGTGTACTCGTATTCCCACTATTCTTGGGGATATGAAACGTCTCTCCGCCGAGTTCGAAGGTTCCATTCTTGATGCGGTTGGCATATCGACCGACAACACCGCCCATGTACGAGTGAGGGCCCGCTGTATCGCGAACATACTCCTCTCCAGTATCATAGCCCATGATCACGTCTCGAGGGATTCCATTTCCATCGTTGACCCAGAGATTCGTTAGTCGAGCACCGTATGGCATGAAGCTTGCCGTGATGCCAGCGGCGCTGATGTTGTATCGCTCGAATGCATCTCCAGAGAAGACTGGGAAAGGTGTGGATGTGTTATTCGCGGTAATTTGAGGCGCTGAAAACAGCACGAGCGTGCAAAACCAAAGCAGCTTCATGTCGAAAAATCTGTTCCCATTATCTTGACTTCACTGTCGTGGTGTATTGAAGTGCTTTCCAGTATGTGAAGGAGGTTGGGCGACGGTAGCACGGACTGGGGAGGCACCCAGCTTCGGAAAAGATCGACAGGCACACAGCACGCCATCGCAGAACGTGCAACGATCCGGTTTCATCTACGACACATGGGTATCTGAAGAGTAATGCTGCACTTCTCTGGTCACTGACCAGCCTCAGGTCACTCTTCGTCTTCATCCTCATCCTCATCCTCATCCACATCCTCCATGCCCATGTCTTCCATCTCATCAATGAGCTGTTCCATCGGAATCTCAAAACCGTCGTCCTCGCCATCCGTTTCCATGTCATCGCCCTTACTCTGCTGTACGTTGTGGTTCCTATACATGTTCAGGCCTTGTCGCAGCTCTGGGTCAGCTTCAAGATCTTGCAAGAACTGTTCGTAGTCGATCTCGTCCCTGTCAGCATCCTGTTTCCTGGGCTTCATGTCGCTCTCCTCGCGAGCCATGCGTCTCAGCTTCCAGTTGCGGGCATTGGCGCCTCGCTTCTTGCGGCGCTCAAAGTGCTTCTTGACCAGGATGACGTCTGGTATTTGGCCCGAGTATTGCTTGGACTCTTCGATCGCTTCAAAGTTCGGGTTGTTGAACTGGGTTCCAGTGAGGTGATAGCCCATAGCAGTGTCGCCCGCGTTCAGGATGCTGCCAAGATGTGTCCGGATGTTGTATGTCGTGTCGTTGACGCCGAGATCAGATGCGCGAGCGACGGTGGCATCCGCAAGGAGGAAGCGGCCTTTCTGCGGTCCGATGGGCTCGATATCCATAACCACAAACTCGACAAGCTCTTGAACATCTGCCAAAGGCGCAAAAGGCGTTCTCCAGTAGATGGGCGTGCTGAGATCTGCGAATTGTAATGTGTTGGGGTCCAGAAAGTTCACGGAAGTGCCAATGCGATAGCAGATGCACAGGGGCGAGATGTTACCAATCTGCTTGGCCAACTTGATCGGTAGCGCAACCAGGTCGTCTTTGCAAATCGGTACCAGTTCGCATGAGAATGAAAACTTATACGACTTTGACGAGGTGTGCACATCCATGGAAATCAACTCTTGGCTCTTCTTCGTCCGCACCGGCGTGACGGAATGCAGAAAGTCTACAAACTTCTCCGCATGATTCTTCTGCGCGAAGTAGAAGTCTATGCCATTCGGCACTTCCTTGATGTTGATCGTCTCCTTGTGCGCTCCCTGCTTCAGGATGAGCTGTTCGAGGTAGAGGAAGGTTCGCTTGTGAGGGACCTTTTGTCGGACCTGCACGACGGCTCGCCATGTGTTGTGCGTGTATGACTTCTGGCAATCGGGGCATTGCTTGTACTGCTGAACGAACTCGACATCGAAGGTCTGCTGTAATATCGTGCCTTGCGATGCTTCGGACTGCACGGTGATCTTGACCTTTATCCGTCTCGAGTGCGGCTCGGTCCAGATGAAGGAGGCGTCTATTATCCGGGTCTTGTTCAGGCCTCTGAGCTTCCGCAGACACAATGCAAGCAGTTCTCTGGACTCTGGCGCAGCAACAACCCACGAACTAGGCGGAGAGTGCCATCTGTCGCAGTCTCGACACATGTGAAGCACGCCATCTCTTTCAATTCCAGATGTGATATCAGATGTGAGTCTCAGGCAGTCCGAGCAGAGAGCGCCGGCCGCCTGAGTGCCATCGATCGGGGCGCCACAGTTGTAGCAGAGGACTGTCGCGGCAGTGGTAGGGCGGTGTTCGGGGAGAGGGACAGAGTCGATGTCCATCGACATGGTGGGCAGATTTCTGTTTTGGACTTCAGAAGGCGAATTGCTGGAGAGGATTGCGATTTCGAGAAAGTCGCAGAGAAAATTGTGTTTGGAGCGCGGTGATGAAGATGTCTTCGAAAGCCTTGACGCCACACTCGAAATCGAGGCGGCTCGGTGCGGCTAGAAATCGATACCAGGAAGCTCACCGATTGGCCGCATCTGCCTCAAAGACCACAGGCCTCTCCATCGGAACGACTGCCACAGAACTGAGACAAATGGGTTGATGTGGTTGAGTATCAAACACCTCAAATATTATTGCTTCTGGCTACACTACAAACAAAACAATTCGTGATCTCTCATAATGACCTGGTCATTCAATCCATCACTTCATGCCATCAAGATAACTCATACTCATGTTGTGGGACCTGGCCAAACACAAAACCCATCTGTCAATCTGTTGCGAGAAGACAATATTTCGTTGGGGTGGTTGATTGAGGAGGAGGAGGGAGGGGTGCCAATATCGTGGTACCCCGACATGTCGTCGATCGATACTGCCAGTAAGTCATCATGACAAACAGCTTGGTGTCCAAAGCGACTGCGGCGTATCCAGAATGGCTGACGCAAAGTGTTGATGTGCCGGTACATTCAGTGATGCCATGATGTTGATGCGAGCAATAGTGCCTTGCAACGGTCGGTGGAGTGACAGCTTACTCGCTGCCGTTGTGTCCGCCCTTGCGCCAGATATCACGCCAGCGACGCTTGTCCGGTGGGCTGCTTGAGTCGAAATTTGGAGCACCAGTCGCGCCCTCGTTGGCTTTGCCAGGGCTACCAGAGACCTTGATGCCGACTTTGCCAGCAATGTGCTCGATTTTGGCTTTGGTAGGCGACTGAGTCTTGCCCGGAGTACCAGCCTTACGTGCGCTGTTCTGGCGACGCGGGCTTTTGGCAGGAGACAAATTCGGCGACATTGGAGGCGGTGGCGAAGTTGGAGGGTCGCTCATCCTATCCAGCGAGCCTTCTCTGAAGCGGCTGGAAAGCTGAGGGTTGTCGGCATTGGAGGCGACGGTAGTGGTACGCTGCGGCGGGTTGGCGCCTACAGAGGAGAGTGGATCAGTCATCTGGCCAGGTAAGCGTGGAGTGGGGGCGATCTCGTGCGTACCATCGAACTGTGCGTTGGCGAAGTAGCCAGTCGCGAGGCCAGCGGCGTGCGCAACCGAGCTCTCCGTCTTCCACTCAGTTGGGGTCATGATACGACTGCCTGGCCACTGGCGATACATCGTGGCGTCCAGGCTGGTGATACTAGTGATACGCTTGTCGGTATTTGGGGCGCTGTTGGACGGAATGCTGCTGGATGCGATACTCATGGTGCTGAGGGAGGGCGACGCAGGCTGCCCCGTCAAGTGGAGGTACGAGGTGGTGCTTTGCTGCTTGTTGTCGACGTGGCCATCGGACATGACGCGCTGTTGGTCGGCGTTCGAGCTCGTGCGAAGGGGCAAATGGTAGCTGGCAATACGAGTCGTAGTGGTCGGGCCCAGGTGCGTAGGACCCTGCTGACTCTTCTGCCAGGCACCCAAGTTCAAAGGAGCCTCGGAAACGTGTGGACCGTCGGGCGCGGGTGTCAGAACCGCGTTCTTATTCTGCGGCGCAAACACAGCCTGCTTCAGACAATCCATGCTGTTGGTAGATTTCTCGAACGGTGGACGAGGGCCACTGGAAGCATTTTCAGCCAGCTGCGTGCGGCCGGAGGAGTGTGACGGAATTGCTGGACTCGGACGACGTGAGACCGACTTGTATGGGCTGCCTGTAGCTTGAGCTGTCTTGGTGGAGGAATTGTTGGCCTCTTCGGACTTCAGCATGCCTGCACAGTATCCGTCCATGAAGGAGGCAGAGTGCGCGGCTGAAACGGCTTTGCGCTGCAAACCAGCTTGATAGCCCTGAATCCAGTCGCGTGGCTTCTGAGTGAAGTCAATGGTGTCTTCAGGCTCGTTGGTGACCTCGAGCTCGTCCTGGAGGACCCGGATCTTCTCTGGCGATGTAAAAGACTGCTTCATCACTTGCTCGGGATGCTCTTGAACAAAGTACCATTCGCGCTTGCTCTTTGGACTGATGTTATCGGCCTCGCGGTTGGGAACATCAATCCGGCTGGGAGGCGCGACAACAGATGCCCGGCTGACACCAGCCCCCTCAGCATGTACCGGGGTTCCAGGTGGTGCTGCAGGAGCCTTGAAGCCGCAGGTCTGGGGAGTGTAGTCCTTGGTCGCTTGCATCGAAGACTGGTTGTTCTGACCTGGAGTCGTGGGAGAAACATCGCGCTCGGCAGTTGACGACTCCGGGTTGGCGTTCTCCTTGTCTTCGGACTGATCTGTACGGCCCTGATATACGTATTGCCGAGTTGAGTACTCGCGGGTGTTACGAGGAAAAAAGTCGGCAGTATCAAAGCTAGAGATGCTGGAGCTCTGCAAGTGCGCAGCTCTCTTGGTAGGACTAATCGTGTCGTCGGTAGCATTCGAAGTCTTGTGGCTCTGGGATGGCGGTTGCAGCTGATGAAGGGGAGACAGTGGCGTAGGTACTCTGTCCCTGATCTGCTTGCTCGTGGTGTTGTCGCCTAGAGCCGGCCTGGACACAGCTGAAGCTGGTTTGTATGCTGGACTCATCGGGTTCAGGTTCGACTTCAAGTTCGGCGCTGGCTTACTGTCGGGAGCACGAATGGACAATGCACGTGACCGATTCGGTGAGTCGCCCTGCTGCTCGTCTGAGCCATCGTTCTGCGCAATGTTGCCTTCGACGGTGGGCAGTGCGACGACAAGGCTGTTCACGGTCGGATGCTGGTAGGCAGACATTGGAGGCAGCATGGAGCCATCGAAGGGCGGCGGTGGCACGAACATGTTCTGCGGCGGCATGGGCCATGGCTGGGCACCGTAGACTTCCTCTGGGGATGCCTCGGGCTGCACGCCATATTGACCGCCAATCGATGGACCGCCACCGTAGAATTGACCGTATGCAGGTGGGGCTGGACCCGAGCCTGGAGGAATTTGCATCAAACCTGGTGCTTGACGCTGTTGCAAGAAAGGTGGTAAACGGGTGCGCGGCGAAATGGAATTTCGCTTGGCCATGGCGCGTGGTGAAGTCGGAGCGTTCGGAGGTGGACGATTCTTCAGCTCTTTGATGGTCTTGTGAAGCTTGCCAGTTTGGACAGTCAGCTGCCGGCGCTTGTCGTAGAGGGACTGCCTGGCGGAACTTGACATGTTCTTGCCGTGCGCGGCGTCCGTCTTGTTGACTTCTTTCAGCTCATTGTCAAGCTTGGTGTACTCTTGCTCCAGTGCGGCGATCTGCACCTCCACTGGAGGCTCTTCTGGTGCAATGCCATTGGGGCGAGCGGGCGGCTGTGGTTGCGACGCAGCGTTTCTGAAAGATGAGTTGGCCGAACCAAGAGAAGAGCGTGGCAGGGTGACGTTGGGTGCCTCCATGTGCAAGCGGAAAGCGCCATCAACCTCGTCGAGTGGATGCACAATACCGTCGACAATCTGACAAAAGTTCCCGTGAATGTCCTGCACGATTGATCCATTCTTCGTTGCCTCGGTGGATTCTATCCACTGGTTGGGCTGTCCCGGATGGTGGTTGGGGGCGAACTTGACAAGGCCGCCATTGGCCTTGATGGCGCTGTAGCCATAGCGTGGGTGACAAAGCGGAGACTGCTCGGACGGGACGATGCGGCCACCGGCTGTGACGCGCACGTGAGTGGGTGATCCGTGCGCCTTGACAATAGCTTCCGCCTTTTTCTTCTTGATGGAAGGCGTTGGTGAGCGGCCGATCTTGAATGGGCCTTGCCGCGGGAATTGGTTGTTTGGCTGAATCTCGCCAAGGACGTGACCAGCAGCAATCGGGTTGAGGCTGGTAGACTGCCGGGAGATGTCGTGAGGAACCGCCGCAACATTCTCGTTGTGTGAGTGGTTTGATGGCACACGTAGGCTGTTGTTCGTCGTGCGAGAGCGGGTCGAGCGCGCAGTGAAGGACTTCGAACCGCGAAGGACGTGCTCTGCATGTCGACGCTCGGTCAGCCAAAATTGCGTATCATCAGTGGACTCATTGTCGGACGCATCATCAGACGAGTCAGCGATGAGACTCTCAAGAAACCGGTGGTTGACTTCTGCCGGAGTGGGAGAAGCCATGCTTGCTGGTGTGCGGGTGTAGTGTGCAAGAAGGAAAAGCGATGGTGGAAGTGGAGGGAGTGTGGAAGGCAAAGGAAGCCCTTAGGCACAAGTGAAATTTTGAAACACCAGAGACCCACGCCAAGGAACCTTGTTGTCGTGACAATGGCATTGTTGGGGGAAAGCGCAGCAAGGCGTAGGGGATGAGACATTAGCTTACCTTTGACAATCTCAGCGTCTTCCCCCTCATGCTCCTCGATGGCCTCGTGGAGTTTTGGCTGAGACTGAGACCCTCGAAGGCGATGTAATTCTTCTGCCGAGTAGACCTTTCGAGTCACCTTGAGGCCCGTCATCTTGTCGCTCCTCCGCTGGGATGACCGTTTGGGGGAGGCGCGGCAGTTTGCCGGGCTGGGGCGGGTATGCAGGAAAGCGGGCCGTGGGCGGCGACGGCGTTTGTGTTTGCGATTGAGCGATTCTGCTCCGAGATCAATCAGCATTATGAGTTGGACTCAGTCATCTGAGAGCAACGCACCACTTCGGGGAAGCCCAGAGTATCCAGGGAATCCAGAGATCCAGGGGAGGCCGGCTGCGAGCAGGTTGGCGCGTTGCGGATTTCTCGAGTCGTCGAGTAGCGAGCGGAATGGAGATTATGAAGAAGCTGGGAATGGCGGGGTTGTAATGGGAGCGGTTTGCGAGACGAAAGAAGACAAAAGAGTGTAGTTGTGGTGATGAACGAAAGGGGACGGAGTAGGAGAGGAGGGAAGACAGGAAGACCTCGCCTGTTTGCACTGCCTCCTCCACAGCCCCCGTATGACTTTGCAATGTTCGCAAGAACAGTCGGGATTCAGAGCAAGAGTTGATGGTATGCGCCGGTCGGCACGGTGGTTGCCATATCAGGCGGACGCGCAGGCGCAAGGCAGACGCGACAGGGAGGAAGGTGAACCCAGGAGGTACCTCCCGGACGCACTTGCATCACATATGACTTTCTCGGCGATGTTGACGTTCTCTGCTCGAGCCTCAGTAGTATCTGTAGGGGATGGATTTTGTACATACTCTGATCATGGCCCGTGGGCCGACATGGTACAATTGGCATCAGGCGTGCCTTCTTGTTGCGCCCAGGCAAAACCCATTCTAACGCCATCTCCATTCCTCCCATGATGCCACTCCCAACGCCAATGCATGCAAAGCACAGTGTGAAGGGTAAGCAGTTCTCTACTTGTTCTTTGTCTGCTTGTATGTGAAACGCTTCCGAGTTCTGCGAATGTGATCAGCAACGTGCATAGCTCGAGAGCATCTCTTCCAAACATACGGCGCGAATTCTCCTAGCTTGTGTCCAACCATGTCCTCCGTTATCCGCACGTCGTTGTAGGTTTTGCCATTGTGCACCTGGAAGACTAGGCCCAGGAAGTTTGGTAGAATAGTCGCGCTGCGCGCCTGTGTCTTGATGGGCGGCGTTCTTTCACCAGGCTTCGGCCGTACTATCGGGAGACTTCGGATCGCGTTAGTACGGACACCAGAGAGTAGTAGAGCGAGTATCGAAGGAGGCTCGAAGGGACTGTACGTACGGGACAATGTGCGGTCCTATCCAAGGCGATCAGCGACCTCGTTGCATTCGATCAAGACTGTCAGACTTCACTCACCTTTCCAGACAGACCGCGCGAACAGCGCATTGGTGGCCCTCATCGCATCAGCGTCCAGTCGACAGTGTGAGTGAGGAAGACAAACATTCACAAGCGGATCACGAAGTCACGAAGTGAGGTTGAAGCGGCGGAAGTCACCACCGACGGATCAATTTCGGCACGGCTGAAGGTCAGGTGACAGCGCGACGCGACAAGGCAGCGATCCAATCACTCTCTTCGTCTTATACTATACTCGCTTCAAGACAAGACATTCACTTCCGACTTCCATCTCCGTCTGCCTTCCAGAGTCGCTGCATTATATATAAAGTGCCTTTCCTCGTTATGCTTGCGTTCTTCTCTCCTCCTTCCCGCTCTCCTACGCGCACCCCTCTCTAACAGCATCGCCACCATGCCGCGTGCACCAGAACACCGTATGGAAGCACAGCACAAGCCCACGCCCACACTAATCAACGACACAGCCGCCGATACCATCCGGATCCTCATCTCGACCGACAATCATGTCGGCTACAACGAGCGCGATCCCGTCCGCGGCGACGACAGCTGGAAGTCTTTCGACGAGGTCATGTCCCTGGCCAAGGAGCGAGATGTCGACATGATCTTGCTGGCTGGCGATCTCTTCCACGAAAACAAGCCGTCTCGGAAATCCATGTATCAGGTCATGCGTAGCCTTCGCGCCAACTGCTATGGTGACAAGCCGTGCGAGCTGGAGATGCTGAGCGACGGTAGCGAGCATTTTGCTGGAGCCTTCAACCACGTCAACTACGATGACGAAGACATCAATGTCGCGATTCCAGTCTTCTCCATCCACGGCAATCATGACGATCCTTCCGGAGAAGGTCACCTGGCCGCCCTTGACATTCTCGCCATGTCCGGCCTGTTGAACTACTATGGCCGCACGCCGGAAGCCGACAACATCGAGATCAAACCGGTACTCCTCAAGAAGGGCAAGACGAAGCTTGCCCTCTACGGTATGAGCAATGTCCGCGACGAGCGTCTCTTCCGCACTTTCCGAGACGGCAAAGTCAAGTTCTTTCAGCCAAGCCCCGACTCTGGAGACTGGTTCAACATCATGAGTGTTCACCAGAATCACCATGCCTACACCCCGAGCTCGTACCTGCCAGAGCAATTCCTTCCCAATTTCATGGATCTCATTGTCTGGGGCCATGAACACGAGTGCAAGATCGATCCCCAAATCAACCCAGAAATGGGCTTCAAGGTGATGCAGCCTGGATCTTCGGTCGCCACCTCGCTTTGCCCGGGAGAGGCCGTGCCCAAACATGTCGCAATCCTCTCGGTCACGGAGAACAACTACAATGTCGAGCCCGTTCGATTGAAAACGGTGCGGCCGTTTGTCTACAAAGAAATCGCGCTCAAGGACTACGACGAAATGCAAGAGATTGCATTCATGAACGACAACAAGACCAGAGTCCACCAATTTCTGACTTCTCAGGTTGACGAGCTGATCGACCAAGCTCAACAAGAGTGGTACGACGTGCAGCAGGAAAATGGCGGGGTGATGGACGAGGATGAGGAGCCACCGAAACCGATCATCCGTCTACGCGTCGAATGCACAGCACCGAATGGCGGCAAGTTTGACACGGAGAATCCGCAGCGCTTCTCTGGCCGCTTCGCCGACAGAGTCGCAAACCCAGTAGATGTCGTACAGTTCCATCGCAAACGCAACGCAACAAGAGCTACCAAGAATCAACCGGACTTGCCCGACGAAGAAGTCATTGCACAGATCACCATCGACAGCGTCAAAGTCGACGAGCTGGTCAAGGAATTTCTCACAGCGCAATCGCTCACCATCCTCCCTCAGAACAGATTCAGCGATGCTGTCAATCAGTACGTGGAGAAGGACGATCGGCACGCCATGGAAGAATTCCTGTCCGACAGTCTGAAACTGCAGCGCGACAGTCTTCTTCACACCGGTGATGGCGACAGGGATCAAGAGGACGATGACCTTCCAGACGACGATGTGATGGCTGAGACGATTGAGAACAACCGAATCCGTCAAGAGGACGCTCACGCTAGGGGCGAGCTCAAACTTAGGCGGAAGAAGGGAAACATTCGGCCGAAGCCGAACGGGTGGGACTCTGACGAGAATGGGCCCTGGGAGGAGAGCGCAATGTCTATCATGGTGGAAGATGACGGCGAGGGCCAAGATGGCGAGGACGATGATGGCGCCAGTTTCGCTTCAGGTGCGCGGCCTGCCCGTGGCCGAGGCAGCCGCGGTGGCAGAGGTGGTAGGACTGCAGCAGGCACCACACGGAAGACGGCCGCTACGACGAAGAAAGCGCCAGCCAAGAACACAGCGGGTCGCGGCAAACAAAAGCAACCTTCCGACGATGAGGATGAAGACGACGATATCATCATGCTCGACGACGACGACGACGACGAGGACGAGAGTCAGAGTCTCTTTGTCAGTCAATCCGTGGCCGCCTCTTCACGCTCTCGCACTCAGCAACTTGACTCCCCCACGAAGAAGCCCGCTCCGAAGACGACTCGAGGCCGAGGAGGCTCGGCCGCCGCCGCTGCTAATGGTAGAGGCAAGCAGACGCAGCTTAGCTTCGGCGGCAGCCAAGCGACGGGCACAGCGAGGACAAATGGCACTGGCAGGGCAGCGGCTCCCAAAACAGCGCCGTCGCGGCGTCTCCAACCTAGTGATGACGAGATCTCCGACGACGATGCCTTCGAACCGCCCCCGGCCGCACAACGGAGCGCGAGGACCGGTCGACGGTGATTTGCTAGGAGATGTGCTTATGACTGAGTGTGTGTTCGGGTCCTGTATGGTCATTAGATTAGCGTGGCGCTTGGGGGAAGGGAAAACCGCTTCTGGCTCTGCGAGATACAGCATCACAGCAGGGCGTTCAAATACAAGGCATCATTCTGTCTCTGATGTTCCATTCTGCTGAACTAACAATAGTCATGGCTAACGAGCTGCTACCTCTTATGGAAGCGGAGTCGAAGCTTTAGCACGCTGATCCTCTGCAGTAGTACTTCAACCAACTTAAGCTACTGGTGTGCTGTGCCTCTCTACACTCGACGGGACGTTGCTTTCAATAGCAATGAAACCCCGACTGATAATCGAATGCCACAAATCAAAGCGCGTTGCGGTTCTGACATCCCTGTCTTCACACGGCTCTCTTTCAGCATCACACACTGTGACACTCGCTCGAAAACTTGTGAGAAGCAAGTCTGAAAGGAAAGAGGTAACAAGACATGGGCTCTGGACGAGTATATACAACAGTATCAAACGCACATGTACTTCTACTATCATACGCCTTTTGCCATGCCCCCCCAAAAAAATATATAGTACTTTTGCACCCCGACTCCTTACCACCCGCCCCCAAGCCCAAGCCCAACTCAACAATTAACTCTTACACGCACACACACACACACACACACACAGGCAAAATCGATACATTTTTAGAACGCCTCATTCATCTCACCTCCTTCATCTTCCGATACATCCAATTCGAAGTCTTGATGGACGGGGCATCAAAGGCCTTCGTTCCCAATTCGGCCACGTACAAGAAGAGCGGGATACTCAGAGCAACACAGAACAAGAAGTTAGGTTCGAGACCAGCGTAGCCTCCATCGGGGAAAGGCCACCAGGGGGCATCGTGCCATTTGTTGTACAGATGTCCGAATTTGACAAAGGAGTCGAGGTCGATGGGGGATTTGACGCCGGTGAGGTAGAAGACGCGCTCGGAGAAGATGCCGATCATGGGGCCGTGGATGAGGTAGAGGGCGAAGGAGTGTCGGCCGAGGTCTAGGCGTGTTACTATGAAGACTCAGATTGGTTGGCTGGGTAGGACTTACATTGCGCAGTGTTAGTCTCGAAGATCCATCGTACCCAGGGGATTTCCTTGACGCCGACGACAGTAAACCACGCGGCCCAAATGAGATAATACCAGCGGTAATGGGTGTTATTGGGAGGTCCATCCTTATATGAACCCGGGATTAACCGGTTGAGAGTTTTCCAGCCATAGCATTCCCCAAGCAATTCTTCTCGCGGTTTGCCGTCTGACGAAGGCTGGCATGCAAGATACAACCCAATCAGCAGTGTTAGGTGGAGGACGAACATGCGTAATCTCGGTCTCCTGATGAAGAAGTTCCGGAGTCCATCCCAAGGCAATCGAACTTGGCCGCTCTCCGCAAGCAAATCCAGCTCCGAGGTCAACATGCCGCAAAAGAAGCAAGAATACCAGCCGCCAGGCGTCCAGAAGACCAGGTAGAATAACTTTGCGCAAGTGAGGAGTACCCTCGATCTCGTCGCCATCTGATGCGTAGCGAAAAGCCACACGAATAGCCATAGGGACCCTCTCAGCTCGACAGGGATGGTCCATGTATGGAAATTATACCAGGTGAACAGCAGTTGGAATCGGTGATAGAACAAGAACAGACACATGTCCCCAAACCAGTTATAAAGCTCCCAGACAATATTACTCTTGTAAAACGGGAACGGCACCGGCAGCGCAATAATGTGTCCCATGACCACGGCAAGGAAGAGGGTACTCAGCGCGACCGGAATGAAGAGCCGTCCAGGTCGTCGAACGATCGCCGAACACACCGCCTCCACAAAATCATCCTTCCTCCCCTCGTGAAGCAGTGTGATGAGTCGCCTTGGCACCACATATCCCGATATGACGAAGAAGAGCATGACGGAATAATGGCCTCCAGTAAAGGGGATCCTCAGAATGGGCAGCGCGGCAGGACTGGTGTTCAGTTGTCCATTGGGTAATCTATCACCATAGCACAACTCCATGTCTGTGTGAGTGTACACGGTAAGATGCATGATGCACACGGTGAGAGCCGCGCCCCCACGCAGGCCATCCAGCCACGCGGTGTTGCCTTTTCTCGGAGCGGCCGCTTTCTTTCGTTGCAAGAATTCCGGCTTCAAAAATTCGACGGTGGCCGAGAGAGCGTTTCTGACGGCTGGAGAGGAGGGTAGTCGCCGCCAGAGAGCGCCTAGACGGGTTCTCGGGGGCTCCAATTTCTCCTGGTCCATGTTGTGATTGCCATTGGCCAACAGCGGGAATTCCTGGTCCCGCATCGTGCCTGTAGCTGTGGTAATTATCGTGGGAATCCAGAGATGGACCTTATCATTTTTGAGTATGTCGAGCGTTGCCTAGTGGGGGCGAGATGATGACAAGTCGATGGGATGTACAGTACAGTTGTGCAGTGGAGGTTTTCGGAGTATCGAGCGAGCGTTGCAGCAGGGAGAGCTACGAGCAATGATGCAGCTGGCCACGAATCCGTCTCGCGTACGAGCCAATCATAACAGTTCCTCGTCGCCTCGGCCGCTAGCGACCCCGCTAGTCGGATCTCGGATGATCTCGTGCCGTAAATCACGTGACACCGCGTATACCTCGGCACCGCAGTGAATCTCGACCTCAACATCAACATCAACATCAACATCAACATCAATATCAACATCAATATCAACAACACCTTCTTCATCTACGTCGCAAACCTGAAATCCAACCTCTTGGCTCCCTCGTCCGTGGTATGCGCGGAGTAATCCGCCTGTTCCTCCCCACTCATCTTCGCCCAAGCCCTCTGCCTCTTCTCGTTCCTCGCGACATAGTAGTACTTGACCACCCACAAAAGCACCACATTAAAACAACAGATGCCCAGCAGAATCTTATTCCCGCGAATGTAGAACGGCCGATCATTCTCGCGGTAGATGTTCACGCCGATGATGTTCCCCGCCTGCACAAACATGTTGTACAACGCAGCCGAGACCGCTCTGGTGCGCACCGAATTGGAGTTCCTGGAATTCCAGGCGACGAGGATGGCGTGGCAGTAAGGGTAGGAGAGCAGGCCTGTCAGGAGGGCGTATCGGACCCAGTCGGAGGCACTGCTTCCCAGAGCGACGAGAGCTGCGAGCCAGGGGAGGATCCAGATGTTGGAGAGGCTGGACATGAAGCCGCGTTCGTTCAGCCGTTCTGACACCCATGAGATGAGGAGGAGCTGGCCATTGTTAGGACGTTTCTCATGCTGTGGGATCAGAGATGCTCACATTGACTCCGAACAGGAATTGCGATGGGATCGTGAGCAGATTCGCTTCGAGCGTGCTATAACCCATCTGTCGCAGAATATACGACAAGTAATTTGCCGGAGGCGCGGGCGGGATATAGTTCATAAGACCTTTTTGGCGAGTCAGCAACTACCAGCCTCAACTCATCATCCACCAAGCCATGGATTGGAGACGGGAAAAACTTCTTACCAACCAGGTACAGCGGCCACAGATCGAAATCCTTGAGCGCTTTCCAAAACCGTGCGAAATCCACGGCTTGCCGATTATTCATGTCGCCCTTGGACGGATCGTCCCTCAACAAGCGATTGACGAGAATCTTCTCCTCGCGCTCCGAAAACCAGCCTTGCCTCCCCCTCAGCCAGCCCGAAGTCTGCGAGATACTCGCGGGCATGAGACCCCAAGACGCGAGACCGATGACGGCCGTGATCGACCCTTCGATCAGGAACAGCCACTGCCACCCGGACCAGCCCTGCAAGCCTCTCATCTGCAGCACCCCCGACGCGATGAAGGAGCCCACAATCTGCGTCACGCTCAGAACGGTCCAGAACCAGGACAGCCGGATCGGGAGTTCCTGGCTCTTATACCAATACGTGATATAGAGCACCGTATCCGGGATGAAACCCCCCATCAGCAACCCCAGCAGACACCGACAGACGTAATAGCCCGTGATATTCGTCAACCCCGCCTGGGCCGCGGAGACGACGGACCAGGCACAGATGATGAACGGGATCCAGATATCGGGGCCCAGTTTCTTGGAGATCAGACCCGAGGGCAGTTCGGCCGCCAGGAAGGAGACGAGAAGGATGGTCTGTCCGTTGTTGTAATCGTCCGTGTCCATCCCGAGTTCTTCCAGCATGTTGTCGCTTATCGCTTGTCAAGAATCAGCCCACAAACGCCAAATTTTCCATATTTCCCCCATCATCCATCACTTGTTTTTCTTTTTTTTTTTTTTTGCCCAACTCACCGCGATTGATATTCTTCCGATTCAAATCCAGCGCGAAGAACATGACCCAGCACCATAACATGATTCGAAAATCGACCTGAAATCAAATCAACATCCTCCCTCTCCCACCCCCTCAGTAGTCCAACACTTGTACACACACACACAGGAGATCGAAGAAAAAAGGGATCCACATACCTTCCTCACCAACCCCCTCTCCTCCTCCGCCGTCCAGCTACATTCCGGATCAAAGCGATGCCGACCCTCATACTCAGCCTCGTCATAAATCCCTTGCCAGTGCGCCGCGACCGCCGGGTCCGAGAAGACGTGCTCGCGACGATTCGAACCGTAATGATGATGGCCCGGAAGATTTTCCAGGTCGGAAGACGGGGTAGAAGAGACGTCTTCGCGTTCGGAGACGGGTGGGATCGTCGGCTTGTCGCGATCTGTAGGGGACATGGTGGATTGATGATGATGATGATGATGATGATTGATGAAGAAGGAGGAGGAGGAGGAGGAGGAGGAGGCGAGGGAGGAGGAGGAGGAGGAGGAGGAGGAGGAGGAGGAGGAGGAGAAGGATGAGAAGGATGAGAAGGGAGTTCTTTCCATCTAATTGAGCGGCGTCGGCGGCGTCTTGGTATCTTTATCAATTCCCTGGGAAAATGCCATGGCCGTCAGCAGGACATGCAGACCAACCAACCAACCATCCAACCATCCATCCACTAGAGGACGGCCAATCCAAACCTCGCCCGAAAGTGGCGCTTCGACCGACGTTGTTGAACTTGGCAGTCAGGGGTGCGGACAGTATAAAATGGGATGTCGCCATTTCCGCCAAGCTTCCACAATAATGCCAGACCATGATAAAAACATCGCGGACCTGGGGGCTTCGGAAATGGTAATAGATAAAGGTCTCATCATCATCATCATCATCGCCTATTGATTCGATTCAGTAGTCCAGAGTACCATAGATTCAACTGTACATCTTTTTTACAACAACTCATAGATGGCCGGGCTGGCGGCCTATGACCATTCCCTTTTTTTTATAATCCAGCGATCCCTTTCAGAGCCTTGAACCCGCCGCCCTTCTGCTTTTCCGCCTTCGAAGAGCCTCCCTTGTCTCGATCCTTCTCCTTCTCATTAGGCTTCATCTTGATATTCTGCGCACCACCTATTCCACAAAGAACAAATTAGCCTCTCATCCCCAATTTCTCATGACAGATTGTCTGGTCACTCACCTCGCCCATACACCCTCACCTCACTATTCGCCGCAATCTTCTCCCTCTCCCGCTCTCGCCTTTCCCCACTATTCCCACTCGAAATACTCCTCTTATCCGCCCTCAGCGGCACAGTCACGTTATACCCAAAGGCCCCACCTCCCGCGCCAGATCTTGAGCTCATGACACTGTGCGCCGAAGAGGCAGGCTTCCACGTCAACCCCGCTCCATTGTGAAGCACAGCTTCGCTTCGTTGCGGAGAGCCAGGCGGGACCGCATTCGCGATGAGGTCGCGCGTGCTGTCATACCGTCGTGGCGTGGGATCGCTGGTACTGATGCGGCTATAAGCTGCCACTTCCGGGGCAGCATCATACTCGCTGTCGATACCGTAGACACTTTCGAGGACCCCTCCGCGGTTCACGCTGATACCGCCGCTCGTGATGGTCGAGTTTCGTAGGACGCTGCCGCTTCTCGCCAGTCCTTCTGTGCCGTACGCGCTTCCTTGGAGACCCTCTAGCTGACTTTTGATCGATTGGTACTCGAGCTCCAGATCCATGTGCTTTTCCAACAGGCGGGAATGCGTTTTCTTGAGTTGCGCCAGCCTCGACTGCGCATCCGCGAGAGCTTGTCGTAAGGCATGAGTGTCGTTCGAGGGTGATGCTGATGGCCGATCGTATGGGCCACCAGAACCCATGCGCGCTTCAAGTTCCGCAATCCTGTCCGTGTACACGCGCTTCGTCCGCTCGCGATCCTGCTCATGCCGCTGAAGTCGCAAATGCAGGGTATCCTTCTCGCTCTGCGCTATCTCCAACTCGCGTTTTGCATGCTCATAATCGAATTCTCGAAGCTCATACTCTCGAACCTTGCGCTGCGCCTCCTGCAGTTGAGATTGAAGCCTACGCATCTGATCCACGTCGCGTCGCATGATCTCCAGTTCGTGTTTTTGGTTGGATTCACGAGCCTCCGCGGCGGAAAGTAAGTCGCGGTGATGCTTCATCTCTGCACGCAGCCTCTTCAATTCTTCGGCATCGTTGACCCAGACCTCTTGCTCCTTCTTCATCTTGTTAAAGCGTTCCTGCATGTTCGTCTCGAGGTTGTTGGCCTGTTTGCGCGTCAGGTTAGAGTCCTTGATCGTGGCTTCGCGCGCAATACGGGCCTGCTCCAACTCCTTCTTGAGAGCACGATTCGCATTGATCAAGTTCAGCGTCTCCGCTTCGACAGTGGCGTCCTTGACGTTCTTCCGCATCAATTGACTGATGTGCTGCGAGTATTGAGCTTTGTGCCACCTCTCAAAGTTCAAGTCGGTTTGTAGCGCCGTCAGTTTCTGTTGAAGGTACTCTAGATTCGTCAGGGGCTCTTTCTTCTCCCGATGAAAGCCGCTTCCAGGTAGCGGGAATTCATCAAGCAGAGGCGAAGCCTTCGTTGTTGCTTGCGAACCCCTGGATCGCAGTCGTGGAGCCCCCTCACCGTGTTCATCGTTGGGCCTCAGGATAGGACTCTCTGGATCCGCCGGGACCGCAGTGGATAAGGTATCGCGCCAGCTGTGGCCAGAGCGCAGGCTCATCTGGCTGATTGCAGGCGATATCGAGCCGTTGTTGCTCGAGGGTATAGGAGGTAGTGGTGGTATCTCCGGTAACTTGCCGGTCGGTGGTGGACCAGGACTAAGGAGTGACGGCTTCGCATTGATGGCGAGTCCGTGACACTCGGCGACCACGTCCGAGGGGTCCAACTTGGGCCATTTCGGGTCGATCAGCTCTTCTTCGGGCGTCATGTTGTAAAAGTTCGGATGGAGTATATGAGCCTGCCGGAACTGATCACTCCTACTCCGGATGACTGCTTGGGCAAGATCGAAGTCATCAGCGCCCGGAAAGTTAAGGAGCTTGAGATACTTGCGCGGCTTCCTGATGTAGCTCATGAAGTTCAGCGGATAGATACCGTAGAGGCAGGTGAAATATGTCATCAGCTCAGGGGTCGCCGGCTCCAGTATGCCATCTGACGGTATGCACTTCTCCCATTTGGAGTCAATACCAACGTCTCCGCGATCGTACTCATCGTCGGAGATTCGGTCGTCCGTGACCAGCTTCTTCTGGGCTTCGGTACTCAAGGGGCTGAACTTCTCCCAGCATAGCAGTCTGGTGTAGATCAAGAACAGCCTTGGCAGTCGTGACTTCAACGAGCTCGGAAGGTGTGGAAGGAGCATGATCAAGGACGTGAGTGCCACAGACAGCACGGTGGTGGATGTATCATTCATCAAGCACTTCAGCAGGTCGTCGACGAGCGGAGTGTGCGTGACCAGGTACAAGTGGGGTGCTTGAACCTGGAGGAAAGAGCTCAGCAAGGTGAGGCCTGGGAGACGGGTGGCAGCTCGCACGATCAAATCGTCGAGGCGGTGGAAGAGAGGTCTAGGCATCTTCCTACCGAAGAAGATGAGAGCCGTCTCGACCTGCTTGGCGATTTGAGAATTCTCGGGAGCGACGAATTGGTGATCTGGAGTGATGCCACGAGTTCGAGCGAGATAGACATCGAGTAGGTCACCGTAGATGCGAGCAGAGGTTCGTGCTCGCTCTTGAGCATTGTCGGCAGTCTCGTCGTATATCATGACTCCCGCAAGGAATTCGCATGCATCGTCCAATGCCGTCTTCTCGGTGTCCAGCGCTGTGAGGCAGGGCTTGACCACGGCTTCGTACCATTCCAGAATGTCATCCTCTTCCACAATGGCCGGGCGCAGCTCTCTGAGCACGCCGACAAAAGCACCCGACTTCCGAGGACTGCCGGAGACATACTTGTGCCAGAAGTGCTTGAGCTCTTGATTGACGCGACGGGCGTCCTCTTCGTCGACAGAATCGTCGTACTCGTCGATGAAGGCTTGTAGCGTACGGCGGCGCTCGGCGGGGAGCGAGGGTGGGACGTTGGGAGCGGCGAAGTGGGCGTGTAAAGCTTTTGTGGCATCTCGGATTGATCTGCGGGGGAGGTGAGGTCAGTGGAAGGACTTCACTCGTGTATGGTGGACAAGGGATTGGAGTGAGGTGGGTGGGGAGTAAAGACATGAGTCGCGCATTGTCGGAGAAGGGCAGCGATCTAGGGTATTGGCAGTGTAGCTGGGAGACCTCACTCTTACGTACCTTGGATTGGCAGCCATGACCGCCAAAGCAACGGCGCGGCGCGAGGCACCGTCGAGGTGCTAAGATATGTCCAAGTCAAAGCAGCAGCAGCAGCAGCAGCAGCCCGCCGGGAAGGGTCAGTCGCTGAAGGTGAGCGGCATGCTATTCGATTCGACGACTGAGATGGCTCTGTGCGTGAGATGTGTGTCCGTAGGATTAGGATGGCGATGGCGATGGCGATGGCGATGGCGATGGCGATGGCGATGGCGATGGCAATGGCAATAGTCGAGGAGATGTGGGAGCAAGTCGGAGGGAGAATGCGGCGGATGCGTCAAGAGGGGTGGGGTGAGGGAGGGAGCGGGAGGCAGAGATTGATTGCATGTGAAGGCGGATGGAAGGGCGCGGGATTGCTGTGTATACCTACCGCGCGTAGACCTACCTGCAAGCAAACTTTTGTGCAGCAGCAGCGACTGCAGTCAGCCAAGCTACATGTACCTATTCCCTATTCCCCGCGTACCTCATGCGTCTCCGCGTCCGCGTCTGCGGCACGGCGCCCACGCGCATGGCAGTGGATTCACCGGATTGGTGGTGAGCACAGCACGTGGTGAGGGTCGAGAGTGATACTGTGATACTGTACACCCACACCGATAACTGAGATAAGCGCACACACCTAGACATCACATGCTCATCACATGCTCGTCACCTGCGCATCGATGCCATCATCATCACATCACGGGAGAAGGCGAGCAACCTTGAGGAGACGGCCGGGCCCCGCCGCTGCGCTCCGCTCCGCTCCCCGTCGAGCGGCATTACCCGCCTGCCATTGCACAATTGGACTTCATCGCGATACATGTCCAGCGCCGGAGATGCTGGAGCATCATCGTCTTTCTCGGGCCCAGCATACATTACATACATTCTGCTTATCTCTGCAGTTTGTGCTTCGGATCTCCGTGCTTTTTCCGCCCCGAGGACGACTGGAGTTAGAGAGCCTCACGGCATTAAGGCCTATTTTATTGGAACAGACGACCCTCTATGTCTCCACTGTGGACGATGCCTTGATGCGCAAGCAACATTGCCAATCGCGCGAATATGATATCACAACACCGATCTCGCAAGAAGCTCGGCGAATCTCCAACAACACTGTCCTCGCAGCTGTGCAGGACAATCGCGAAGCTGTACTTGACCATCTTCCCAGCCTCTGACAAGCCACAGCGTCGACTCCACCAGCCAGGCTCCTTCGCGTCAAATCCCATCACGGTGAGAACTGCTGTGGTGGTCAAGATCGGCAGGCACACCTTCTTTCATCCTTGCGACTACACGTACCGTCCTGCATGGGATTGCGTTGCTGCTGGCTCATGCTTGGCCTGGCACTATGGATAAGGCTCTTGAAGGATGCGACGAACTTTGACTTTGCGCGTCTTGGATCGTTGACCGTCGACCGTCGCCGTACACAATGCACAGGCAGGATAAAAGAACCGGACGAAAAAGCACCTGCTGAAACGCAACGTATGCTCGCGTTTTAGGCTTCCTTTTTTTTTTGGGGTCGACGCGCGTCCTATGCGTTCTATGCGCAGTTACATCGTCTCGTCTCGTCTCGTCTCGTCTGATAATCGAACGAGATACCTTACCTTCCCTTATTTTCTTCTCCTCGGCATGCAAAACCGGTGATAGTGATAATGAATGATAGTACTATGCTCATCAGGATGGCGCATCCTCTTTTTGGCAGCTTTGATGTGATATCGATACATACACAGCCAAAACTCTATATCTCCCACCAAAATTCTTCTGAAATAGGAAGAGAGAGAGAGAGAGAGAGAGAGTGAGAGTGAGAGAGGGAAACAGAGAAAGACCCGCTATGCCTATGCCGGGTCGCATGTGAAGATGCGTCGCTGCTGCTCCCCTCCTCCCCTGCATATGTCTCACCATTCGCTCCCCCCCCGAGCATCTGCGAGCGAAACTCTAATGATAGACCCATGTCGCTGCGGCGCGGGAGACCCAAACATCTCTTCGAATGTCCCAGTACGAATACATCCCGCGACCTATCTACAGGACGGGACCCTCTTTTGTAGACCACGAGGAACTATCTATCATGTACAAAGCTTGGTTTCAAAAAGGAACACTGGAGTTATCAGGTGAAATCTTCTTCTCTGATTGGATGCACACACACACACACACACACACACACACACACACACACACACACACACACACACACACACACACACACAGACGTCCAAAAGCTGGAATCCCGTGCTTTCACGGCTCCTACTGCCTACCAAGAAAGATGGAAAGCTCTACTAAAACGACTTCATCAGCGAGCGCCAAAAGTATTGCGTCGGATACAGTATCTATCATACACCCGTGCTTCTCATCCAGCCTCAGGATTCCCTCGACCTTGCAATGCTAATGCTATCCGGTCTCGTCAAACAGCACAATCAACCACCCCCATCCCACCCTCCCCTCTTCCCCCCTCCTCCTCCTCCTCCTCCTCCTCCTCCTCCTCCTCCTCCTCCTCCTCCTCCTCCCCATCAACCCGACAATCACACCCAAACCTCGCCCGGAACTTAAAAGCCGCCAACCCATCCAACATCTCCAGCGCCTGGTTCGCAACCCGCAACCGCGCATACCGTCCACTCTTGCCCCCGCTATGCGCCACGACGCGATCGTGAATCATGACGACGGCCACGACGCCCTTGCGATCTTCCTCGCTCCCCGGAACCGAGGGTAATTCCCGACACATCAATCTGTAATCCATGCACCCCAGGGTACTCTGCATGAGGTTGTGGAGGTGCGTGCACGGGTGGTTGTTGGCGAAGGAGTCGTAGATGGTCATGTCTTCGAAATACCAGAGGACGTGTGCGTCGAAGAAGGTCTGCACGTCGCGGTAGTTGAAGTCGGAATCGATGAACATGGCCCCGATGTACGCCTCGACAATGTCCGGGAGGCATTTGGGAGGGTCGGAGACGGTGGTCCAGTAATCCCTCGCGCCGTGCGCGACGCGCTTAGCTTCGAGCAACTCGGTCGCGTAGTCCTGGATCTGATGTTGGAGGAGAGAATGATGATGGCGGAGATGTTTGTGGAACCCCAGATTGACGCACAGAGCTCCGAGGAATTTGTTGGACACCATGGCCATTTTGTGTTCCGTGAGCCATTGGGGGTCTTTGTCGGGGTATTTGTAGAAGAGGTAGGTGATGCTTGCCATGTCCAGGAGTGCGTCGCCGAGGAATTCCAGGCGCTGGTAGTTGGGGACGCGCTCTTGCATGAAAGGGACCGAAGGGTGCAGGAAAGCGGAACAGGCCAGACGAGGGTAGATGAAGTGGTAGGCGTGTTCTGCTTCGAGCTTTGCGGCGAGGTCTTTCTGCGCCGCTGTCACGTCGGCGGTTTGGTATTTGGGCTTCTGGTATGCGGCTCTGTAGTCTTCCCACCTCTGCATCTTGTGGTCCGGACTATTGACAAGCGTGGTAGTCGCACGTACCGCTGCCTCCCAGTCATCTGGTTGCCACTTCCCAGGCTTGTCGTGAGTTAGGAAAGCCGCTCCGATCAAAGCTTCACAGACATCTGCAATTGTCTTCTCTCCAAGGCGATGGTCTTTGGCTTCGTGATACATCTCCTTCTCTTGACCTCTAACGACACCGGTACCTGAAAGAAGCTTCATACCTTCGGGATACCATGTTCGACGATTGAAGGACTGGCTGCGAATGTACTCGTAGAGCTTGAGTTGCAGAGCCGTCTCGAACAAGTTCTTGTTGCAAAGCATCTGCATGCGGCGCACGTGAAATTCAAACTCGTCCTCGTTGGGGTTCATGATGAATGTCGAGATGGTCGTAGCAGTCTTCAGGAAGGTGTCGCCAATGAACTCCAGTCGCTCGTAGTTCTCGCCCATACCACGTTGAAAGTTGAGCCGCTCTTCTTGCTCGCATTCCCCTTGATTGTCCGAATCTTTGGTGAATGAGGCCAAGGCCCAGGCGGGATCGCAGTCGACATCGATCGATTTGCATCCCTCAATACTAATGAGGTATGACTCGAACCGATGGATGATCGCTGGCCATACAAAGCAAGCAGTCGCAATACCTGTCGACAACGGAGAGAGTCGCAACGGTTGAGGACAGAGATATGCCCTCGTGATCTGCTGGACTTCCTTCTGCTCAGCAGGGGCAAGCATGTTGCGGCGACTTAAGACTTTCTCAGCCTCCATAACAGGCTGATCACGTAGCCAGAAGGACTCTCTTGCCTCTCGAGCCTTCTTCCATAGGCTATTGCTGTAATCCAAGATGGTACCGCTGTGTTTGGATTTCGCTACAGCATCTGGAATGGGGTCGGTGGCTTTGCGTGTCGGATCAACGCCCTTCGAAAAGAACTTGCGACTGCCGTCGTACGGGTCTACGATAAAGCGATCTTCCATAAAATGGTGCGGCATCTCTGGCGTCCATTTGTATTCGCCATGTTGGTAAACCTCGTCTACTTGGTTCCAGTCTATAACAGACTCAGGCGCTTCTCGTCGAAGCAATTCGTTGTGCACCTCGACGCCGAGAGAAAATGGCAGCGACGCTGGTGCTAGCCAGTAGGACATTTTCGAAGCATCCTCTTCGTAGCCCTTGCTGAAGACATCATCGAAGATCCGCAGGGTGAACTTGGTGAACTTCTCGAGACGATTTGCCGGGAGCTGAAGAGGAGTCTGCAAGCTCGCCGACACGACCGGTGTCCCGCGCCCATCATTCAGAAAGACCGGGAAAGGCGGAAATTGAGGCATCGGCGTTCTCGTCAGGAGTGCAAACGGTTGATGCTTTCGCTCCAGACCCTGCGGAAAGTCCACCACAGTGACAAACACCTCCCCTGGCAGGATCCCTCTACCTTCGGCCCACACACTCGGTTTGATGCGCACGGCATATCCTTCAGTCTTCTTCGAATTGACCGCGAGAAGGGCATTGCGCATGGCTGGCAGACTCTTCTGATACACTGGAAGGAAGTGTCCGTTGATGTAGTTCTTCTTCCGAAGTTCAATACAAGCATCGAAGGCTGCAGAACGCTTAGCAAGCATCTTCTTGGAGTGGGCTCGGCCGATGATAGAGCGCACAGGAGCATTGCCGGGTAGGATGACTTCTGCAATGAACTTCTGCCCTTGGCTGGATATGATGTAGGTAGGATGCTGCGGCTCATCACTGTCTGCGGGTACGGCCGAGACGAAATGTGCCAGTATACTAAGAGCGTTTCCGTAATTCAGCTTCGCTCCCGTAGCAGGCTCGATATAGACGCGGAGATTCTTCTCCTTTTCCATCAAGAGCTCAACGCTATCGTTCAATCCTTGAAGATTGCGATCTTCAGGGAGCATGTTACAAAACTTCCTCATCGAAGCCTCTTGGTAGCGTACCTCATTCAGTCTTTGCTCATGTACGCTATTGCCGTTCTCGATCATGTGAATGAAGTTGGAATTCTGATTGCGAGCTCTGCCACGCGATTGAACGTACTGGATCAGGGTGTTGTAGATGTCAAAACGAATTACCAGATTGCAGTCCGGAACGTCCAAGCCTTCTTCGGCAACCGAAGTTGCAAACAAGCAGTTGAGCTCGCCTTTGCGGAACTTCAGAAGTGTGAGGACCTGCTGTCTAAAGGAGAATTTGACCTCGTCCACACATCCGGTGCTGCCACCAACGAGAAAGTCGCCTCGCATGTATTTGGTGCCAATCCTCTGGAAAAGGCAAGCCAGAAGGCGTGCTGTGTGTCTCTTGTCCACAAACACGATGGCTCTGTGCTTCGACTGGCGTTCGAACTGCATTCTCAGGTAGTTCCGCAACTGCAGCGCCTTAGGAGAAAGATCTGTCTCGACGTCAATGTTCGCAAGAGCGGATATGCCCTCTTGTTGAACGTATTCGATCGCCTCGCGAAGCTCTTTGAGGGCACTATCCAGCTCTTGGACATCCTCATTTACTCGACGAGCGTAGAACTTCTTTTCGATGGCCATTTCGTAATTCATAGACTTTTCGGGAGACAAAGATCGCATCAGAGAACAGTCGGCACACCAGCGACCCAGGTGACGAGCTACTTCAGTAGCACGCTGAAAGACGCCTTCGAAGGCATGTATGTGGCTGTAGCGAGCCTTGACGGCTTGCAGAAGATTCGTTTCAAAGCCTTTCTGTGGCAGTGCAGGATATCGCAAGACACTTTCAGTCGGTCGCTTGATGTTGTCTGTCAGGCTCATATGATTCGTGGTGGCAATCCGAGAGTCCAGCAAGGATTCCAGCTCCGATGCAGCCTGCACAACATCGGTCTTCGCATCGATCGGGCTTGCTGTCATGCCAAAGATGCGTGGTCGGTCAGCTTTGGCCTCCGTGAGGTAGAAGTCCTTGATGATCCTGAGAGTTGTCAGCGTGAACAAGAAAGGTGGGACAGAGAGGCAAAGACCTGGCGTAAGGATGATTCTTCTTGGCATGATGAGCCTCGTCAAGGATGAGCAGGTTGATCTGCTTCATGGATAGGAAGCTCCGGGATAGACATTGGTTCAAAACCTCGGCCGTGCAAACGATGATCTTGTTCTCATGGAAAGTCTTCAGCCAGTTGGCTGCGCTCCAGCGGTCAACACCATCCGCGCCACATAGACGGGCAATGTTGTGATCGAGGTTGTTCTCCAGCACAGAGAATTGTTGATAGACCAGAGTAACGGAGTCAACCAGGAAAAAAGAGACCTTAGCCGGCTCTCCCCTCTCTCGTCTCTCAAGCTCCTCGTCGACGACGGCACGTAAGAGCAGAACGGCAATGAGTGTCTTTCCCGAACCAGTGTCGAGGACAGCGATGGTGTTCTGCTTCCTGGCCCGCTCGAACAGCTCGTTTTGATACTCGCGCGGGTTGCTGACGATCTTGGATTCTCTCTGTTGTTGGGCTAGGAGCGATTGCACGGAATGCTGCTCGTCTGCTTCTTCCTTGGAGTGGCCACGCTTGTTCTTCGGTTTGAGAGCCTCGCGACCGGCATCGCTGGTCAGCCAGACTTCGAGAATGGCCTTCTGGACACGCCGCTTTTCGCCCAGAGTTGTAGGAGCACCGGTCTGAGGTGCATCGTCATCCGAATCGAGTCCGTCGTCGCGATCAGATGCATACACGTCCACGGCCACGGGTACTGGAGGCCCAGACTCTGGCGCGCCCATCGTCGCTGACCTTCTCCAGTGCGTTGTTGGTCAGTAGGGGGGAAATTGGTGTTGTGTCTGTGTTAGCTAGGGTAGCAAAACAAGCACCAAATGTGCCCTTGAAGCAAAGGAGACGGCGGCAGAGACAGATGCCAGCGACGCATGTGATTGCGAGTTTGGCCCGCCTGGAGCCTGGAGCGTGTCGCGTGCAGCGCGTTTGTCTTTCCGTTCAAAAGATGGATGCAAGGTAAATGCACTTCTCGTCTCCATGCAAGTACCCGCTGTCTCCCCGCCGTCTCCCCTACGGCTTGCCAAACATCACTTCAGGACATTACGGCATGTTGCAACACACATCCAAGCGAAACACATTCAGACAAGACTTGACATCAAACAAGCCTGCAGCATGGCGGAAGAACAGCGATCCCTCCGCTCAGTACACCACGACGCCGAAGCAAAACGCCAGACGATCATAAACAGCCTGGACAGCAACTCAGCTTCCTTCCAGGACAACCTTCTCGCCGCCATCCAACTCTACGAACAGTGCATCCACATCGCCGATCAAATCTCCCTCTTCAGCCCCAACGAATCTCTCGAAGATATAGGGACAGCAGATCTCGAATACTTGCTGCTCAACTACCGTGTCGCAGAGCTCGTACTCAGAATCAACGGCCAGGAACAGCGCAAGGCGAGTCTCCAGCGAGCTCAGAGGAGCTATGAGAAGTACTTGAAACGGCTGGACAGCTACGATCTCTTGTCCAAGGAAGACGCGAACCTATTCGAGCAATGGCAAGAATCTGCAGACACCTTCTCCACAGCGTCCACCACCGACCCGGCTTCGAGGCGAGATGCGAAGATAAGACGTTTCAAAGAAGAGAAAGCCCTGAAGCAGAAATTGGAATATCTCCGACAGAATCCCAAAGCGCTGCAGGACGATGATGGAGCAGCACGACAGCTGAGGCTCGCGCACATTGCGTATTGTACACACCAGGCCTTTGCCTCTCTGGAATCGATCGCGCAGGAACTGCACATCCTGTCCATGGCACCTACCCATCCACCGCCCGACCAGCGCCAGCAAACCTACGACAGCCGCGAACGCAACGGGCGATATGCCGATGGCTACAGCGAGCGTCTAGATGCACCTGTGTCACACCTATCAGCAGGCATGCGCGGCCCACTCCTCGACACTTCCGGCAAACCTCTGCGCCCCTTTACGCTCACCAGCAAACGTCAGGATTTCCGAGACGGCGTCTTCCGACCCGACCACAGCCTACCAACCATGAGTATAGATGAGTACCTGGAAGAGGAGAGAAGGCGCGGAGGCATGATTGACGGAGGCGGTGCACAGAGCCAAGTGCAGCCCGTGGTCGACGAGGACGACATGGATGCAGCAGACCGAGAAACGATGAAAGCGAGAGAGTGGGATGAATACGTGGAAGCGAATCCGAAGGGAAGTGGAAATACCCTGAACAGAGGATGAAATGTGCACCGCACTCCCACTGCGAACGAGCACGAATTCACGAAGACTACGACGTAAAAAGCCCAACTTTTCAAGTCAGCACTCCCCCTTCTCATGCCTGCGGTTCAACATGCACATGCCAATGCATATCACCTCCTCCATCATCACCACTTGCATCTCGCTTCTGCACGGCTTGCAGCTCCGCCGGCATCATCTCCATCCCTTCGCCCAAATGGATGTGAACATGTCCCTCCCGAGCATCTGCGCGAGCATCCCTCTTTTCAACTTGCGTCCCAATATTGGCACCTCCACCGATGTGAATATGATAGTGCAGCTCGCGCTGCCCTGAGACAGGTGCCTAGTGAAAGGGGTGGAAGTCAGATAGAGTGGACAAGAAAAGTTTGGAATCTGGGAGGAAGACTCACAGCAACCGCGGCTGTCAGGAGGAGGGAAAGAAGCGGGAGGAGGGTAGACTTCATATTTGCTGAGAAATGGCTGTTCGGCTGAAGTATTCAGACTTGAAACTCCATGCTGTTTCCAGTCCATCACTTACTCATATATGCTTTCCTCTCCTTCGTGGTCAGTGACGTGTTCTGTCCCTCCACACGCACAATTGTGCGGCGTGAGGTTGGGATGACTTGGCATCTTGCTACACATCCCCACGTTGTGAACGGAAGTAGAACGCTCGGCGGTTTCAAGTGACAGTACACGGCGTCGCGCACTTACAGCACAGGTTTCTCGAAGTGCTTCCTTGGCGCCTCTTGTCGTGTGGACATGTACAATGCTATATGGTGAACCTGAGTGGGTATGCAAATCAGCTAACAGGGATTCGAAACCATCTCCAATCTCTGAACCCGACGATCTTCCAAAGGGCAGCTCTCACACCGAGGCCGTCTTCTTCAGTCCATCCCTTCCGAGTCTTTCTTCTCCGTCCTGTACCAACTCGTACGCAGGCCGGTATTTCACCTCCCCACCCTCCGCACTTGCCACAGCCAACGCAGGATTAGGATGCGTGTCATCCGTCCCTCCCAGGCTCGTGTAACCCATATCGTATAACTCACAATACTCCACTCCCACTTCCCTGATGAAACTCCATATATCCGCATAATGCCAGTCGATGACCGGATGGATCCTCGTAAACGAAGGCCAGTCATCTGTCGTGGGGTCAAAGTGGGTGAGGGAGGCTCCATGCGGATCTGTGCGGCGGGTTCCGACGAAGATGGCTTTCACCGTGGGATAATCGTGGAGGTAGGAGGCAAAGGCTTCTTTCATGGGTTTGTGGTATCGTGCGAGGGAGAGGTGGTACTTTTGCGAAGAGGAAGCGACGAAGGAGGTTACGGCGGGGAAAGGGTTGGGTGAGACGATGTAGACCGATCGGAGGGTTGGTGGCAGTTGGAAGAGTTTTTGGTGCGCGGTGTCTGCGTTGGCATGTGAGACTTCGTGGTCGTTTGCGCGATCGCTGGTGTTGGCATCTTCAATCAGAGGAGGTGGTTGTTGGCCTTGGGAGTGGGTGTGCAATGCCGCGAGGTAGAGGATGAGGAGAACTAAGCAGTCCTTGCCGCCGTTGTAGGAGAAGGAGATCTCGTCTAGGCTTTTACTCAAATCCGTCAGCCATTTCTTCTTGGTACGCATGCCTGACCTATACGCTACTCACGTATATCGCTGCAGCGCATCTCCAAGGACCCGTAGACTGATCCTCGTCTGCCGCTGCACTTCTCGTATCCTCTCTGTCCGTGGCTCTCTCTTCAGCAGATCGTAGACCTTGCCATGTACTCTTGCGCACTGCTCGGGCAGCGCTTGTGTGGGTGCGACATCCTCTCTGATCGGGCCGTTGCTGACAGTTGAAGGGGCGGTGGGTGTAGTCGCCGAGGCTTCCTCATGGCTATGAGCTGTTGTCATCACCGACGCGGTCTTCCAGCATGTAGACTGTACAGTAAAGAGACGATTAGTGGGGCGCAGGGGCAACGAAAGACATGTCCGACTGAGCAGGCGTGAAGTGGCATGGAGCATTGATCTCTCAGTTCACAGCAGATGCCAATATCGGTCTGCCGTGGATGAGATGACATCGTGCGGTCCAGCAGACTTCAGCCTCATGCGGGGTGCCCGGGTCCCGTGGAAATTGATGGAACATTCATAGAACTTTGATGAATCTGTTGCCTATGGCTACTTATATGATTGCAATCTTCAGACGGCTATAGTTATCGACAACGGCCTCAAATGATCCATCTTGCTCTGGTTTTGTATCGGTGAGAAGAGTAGCACGAGTACAGTGGGGGTTGCGCGGATAAATTATTTTCCGCCAGACTAGCGTTGCGGCTCTGGCACATGAATCTTGTCTGAACGTGACCAACGAACTTGCGAACATCGTTCATCTCAACACCGTCCACAGCGTCCAAGATGCCAGCTTCCGAAACAGACTCAGAGGCCTCTTTCCACTCCATCGAAAATGACGACCAGCATCAAGCCTCAACCTGGGCTCCCGCCAACTCCGAACAACCAACCTCCACCAAACCCATCCCCATAGAACGCTTCCCACCCGAAGAAGAAGCCACCCTCAAGGCCGAGACCAACTCCTTGAAAGGCTCCGGAAACACCTTCTTCGGCTGCGGCTCCTACGAAAACGCAATCCAAACATACGACAAAGCTCTTTCTTCGTGTCCCAACTATCTGGACTACGAACTTGCGGTGTTGAGAAGTAACATCGCAGCCTGCCATCTCAAACTCGAAGAATGGAAAGAAGCTGTCACGAGCGCGGAAAAAGGCATCGATAATCTTGAACGTCTGGAACCGCTGCCGAGACCGCCCCCAAAGCCTGCGAAAGGAGAAACCGCCAAGGAAGAGGTTGAGGATGATGGGGTGGAAGAAGTCGACGAGGAGGTGGAGGAACGGATACAGCGATTACAAGATTCAGGGAGGTCATTGGATGAAGTTCGAAAGCTTCAAGTCAAACTTCTCTTGCGAAGGGCCAAGGCAAAGACAGAATTGGATGGTTGGGCAAACCTTCAGGCAGCTCAGGAAGACTACAATACTCTACTGTCTCCCACGGTGCTACCATGTCTATCGACAACGGATAGAAGATCGATACAAGACGCTGTCACAAAGTTGGGACCAAGATTGAATGCGGCCAAAGACAGAGAAATGGCAGAGATGATGGACAAGCTGAAAGGGTTTGGGAATACCATGTTGAAACCGTTTGGATTGAGCACGGAGAATTTCCAGTTCGTGCAGGATGAGAAGACGGGCGGTTACAGCATGAACTTCGACCAGAATCCAGGCAAGAAATAGATACCACATCGCAGTGATACAGCCGAGACCACCGAATGGAAGTTCCTGAGCATGCTTCAATCGTTTTGCAGTATAGGTTGTCGTGTGTCACGTCCATGTTACAAGTAGAGTGGCATCAGCCCGCTGCCCTATTATCGTCGCAGGTGCTAGACGTCAATTTACATGAGTTATATCATCATGGCGGCCTAGCGTTGACGGATCGAATGTCTTTCCAGCGCTCGACACCGTTGACTGGAAGCTCGCGACCTGGTTCGACGCGGGTTTCTTTCAAGATCCCAACATGCTGGCGATTGCTTACTCCACCTCTTCGATCTTCTTGCCGTCCTTTGCACCGGCCGCTGCGTCCTCGTCGCCCTCGAGCTCTGGCATCTCCTCGTCATCCTCATCATCGCCCTCATCGTCTCCCTCTTCGCCGCCAAGGCCGCCCATTCCTGCGCCGCCGAGCTTGCTGAAGTCGATGCCGCCTGGTAAACGTTAGTCCACTGTTCGCAATCCTCTTACTGTTAGAAGGTGCTATTGTGTACTCACCAAAGCCGCCATCGCCTCCCATTCCGCCCATACCACCCATGCCACCCATGCCTTCCATGCCACCCATTCCGCCCATACGGCTCATGTAGTCATCGTCGTCTGGCTGGGCATCCTGCTCGTCCTCGTCGACCCACTGCACTCCAAATCAGTCACGATTCCAACAAGAACACCACACGCGTATTCATTCCTACCTTGTCGAAGTCGGTCTTCAAGAAGTGCACCTTCTGCTTGTCCTTCAGCAACCGCGGCCAGAACTCCTCCTCCAATTCCTTCTTCTGCAGCACCATCTCCACTGCTCTTGGGGAGTGGTTGATCTTCGAAGCCGACGGGTCGATCTCCTTGTAGAACTCGAGTTCGACGTGGTAGTCGCTCTTCTTGGACTCGGAATAGCCGGTGAAGGTGAGCTTGGTAGGCTGGACATCGAGCTTGATTTTCTTAGGATCTATGTCGGGCACGTTGATTGCGAGGAAGATGTGGTTCTTTTCTGCCTCGGTCTTCGAGGAGCGTTGCGCCCAGGTCACTATGACACACAAATGTCAGGATGCGAAGCAAGGAAATTTTGAGTTATGCTTGGATGGTGTACCTTCGGGTGTGATTTGCTTGCCGCCAAATTCCTTGACGTCGGTCGTGTTCTTTGGTTGCTCCATCTTTGCGGTGTTGCGATTCGCTTGGGAGTGTATTGCGGTGCTATGACTTGACTTGGCAGCTGTTTTGTTCAAGAGGAAAAGTCGTCTTGAAGCAGTGTTTGCGCAGTGGAATCAATCCGAAAGTGGTAGAATCGTTAAATTGAGGCCGCTCTGTCCAGGCTCAGGCAAGTTCGATATTCGCTTTCACGAATTGGTTTGCTCTTGCGATCAAAACGCTTGTATCAACAAGACCTTGGATGCGATTGCTGGCGTTCTGTGGTGTAGTAAGTTGTTTGCTTGGTTGAAGGCTCAGATTTCGTTCGACAGCACCCAATTCCCAGCCTCGTGGGGTTGAAGCTAGGGCCAATTCTCGAACGTCACTCCCCGCCAAGGCAACGACTTCGACTTCACTTGCGCTTCTCTATCACATGCCCCTTCCATCTCCCAACAATGACCTACGCCTCGTCTAACGACCTCCCATACTGTCGATGACAAACCTACACTCCATATTTGGCGACTGCGAAAATGGACAACGTGCGCAAATTCTTCTACGGCCCAACGCCAGAGGAACAAGTACACCTGCCTAATGAGCAAGTCCTCGATTTCCGTTTAGCTGATTTTATTCTTCATAGAAAAGGAAATGCACTGCGCTCATGCGACAGAATACTCGAAAGCTTGATCGCGATATCCAAAACCTGAAACAACTCGAATCAAAAACTCGCTCGCTTATCCTCCAAGCCTCCAAGCGCGCCCAACGAAATCCGTCACAAGCCCAACAGGCGTCACAAGAAACCCGGATATTCGCGAAGGAGCTCATACGAGTACGAAAACAAGCTGCGCGACTGAACACATCAAAAGCGACCTTACAATCGGTGGGTATGCAAGTAAACGAAGCGTTCGCTATGAAAAAGATAGAAGGGAGCATCAAGAATAGCACAGGCATTATGAAAGATGTGAACACTTTGGTGCGTTTACCGGAGCTTACGGGTACGATGAGGGAGTTGTCACAAGAGCTGGTAAAGGCAGGAATCATTGAGGAGATGGTGGGAGACTCGATGCCCAACAACGAGTTGTTAGAAGGGGAAGATGAGGAGGCGGAGACTGAGGTTGACAAAGTCTTGGGAGAGGTGCTGAAGGACAGAGTACAGACTCCTGGTACACAGTTACCGAGTGAGCCGCTTGGGCCTGTCGAAGCGCAACCGGAAGCTGGGGAAGAAGGACTGGATTCGGAGGAGATGTTGGCGCAGATGAGAGGAAGGTTGGAGGCACTGAAGAGCTGATCATGGGGGTTGAGAATGATATATGTGATTGTACGATCAGGGTGGACATGATATTACGACTGCGAGGCGCTTGGAGTTTTCGAAGTTGGGACATTGGACACTGCGCATTAACCGGGAGATGAGAATTGAGTGCAGCAAGCAACCACTCAAGCGACCATCCGCCGCACTCAAACGGATTGAGCGCCCAACAACAATTTCTGTGTCGCCTAGCCTTCGAAGTCACCTCGTATCCACGCCTCCCTAGTATGACTGCACATCAGCAAGCTTCTCGTTCCCTCCACCAGCCGCTCGACCCAACCCGCGCGGCTCGAACGAACTTACAGCGCCCGTCTCCTGGTGGTCTGAGAATATTGTTCGCCGCAACGCAGTTCGCATGTGCTGCATCCAGGAGGGACACAGGTCATACAGAAAACGTCTCAATCGCCTCTGCTTTCAAGTCATAATTACCACTCGATAGCTCCCGTCTGAGGGTATCCGCCGCATCGCCATCCGGAAAGAAGTGAAGCGGAGCGTTCCGGTCTAAGATCCTCAAGAGAAGCTCATAGCCATTCGGTAGCTTGTCCGCACGCTGCAATGAGAAGCGCTTGAGTAAAACGATACTCTCACGGCCTATGAGCTGAAGGCGCTCCCGCAAGAGATCAATGTCAGGTAAGGCAGAGGCAGTATCCTGAGAGTAATACGCCACCAGAGTCTTCACGCTGTAGTCGATTCCTAGAGATCTTTTCGGATCTGCTTACAAACTCGGGTAATTGCCAGGGTCTGGCTGTCGACGCAACGTACTGGTCGCCAAAAGTCGTATTGCCTGCTCTGAAACTGTATGTAGACTTCATCCGCTCTTTTGATTTCCTTGTCTGGTTTAAAGACGTACTAGTAGATCTTGTTGCGAAGCTCACCGGAGATTGACGTTTGATAAGTCTTGTTTCTGAGCTGCAGAGGGGAGAAAGTGCATGAGGTAGAGGTGCTCTGAATAATGCCGGTCGCTGCTGTCGCTCGGGGATGCGCGTTCTGTGACGGTCGCCTTCGTATACTAACTGCTGCTTAAGAGGTGCTCTGAATTGTTGCTCTATGCTCTGAATACGTCGCTACAGCGACTTGTATTTTCAACCGTGGGTTACTGCGCTATACCTTTTACGGCCATTCACATGCCAGCGCGAGGCGAGGCCATGAAGACGGCTTCAAATTTTCATTGAAATCGCGGACACGGGACCAGCCGACGCCGGCCGGTCCAAGCTCCGAAACAAAGGAGTCCATGAAAATTACTTGAATGGTGAACAACAGTGGAACATCAAAACAAACCCAACCAAAACAACACCTCGCAGAACAAACCACATCAGCCGCAAATATAGCCAACGAGATAAAAGTCAGCGGCGAGAGATACACCGTAACGTCATCGATTCTGCCGCCTCCATGGCAGGATCCGAAGCAATCGCGCAAGACGCGCAGCCTTACAGCGGCCTGAAGGGAAAGTTGAACGATGGCTTGCTTGCAGGCCTCGAGGGCATGGGCTACCAGTATGTTCAATACCATGCGTCTGATGATGATTTGTCTTACACCACTTTAGGTACATGACCCCAGTACAGCAGAAAGTCCTGTCGCAGCTGCCTACCTTCCAGTCAGACTGCCTCGTACAAGCCAAGACAGGTACCGGAAAGACAATCGCGTTCCTCTTACCAGCACTACACACCCTCTTGTCATCTCCACCACTACCGCGCGGTCAAGTTGGTATCCTGATCGTATCGCCAACTCGAGAACTTGCCCTGCAGATTGCTAAGGAATGCAATTCTGTGACGGCAAAGCTTCAACAGTCACTTGAGTGCCACACCGCATATGGTGGAACTTCTCGTGACCGAGACTTGAAGAAGTTTATTAGTGGTGACCCAAAGATTGTGGTCGCCACTCCTGGCAGGCTGAACGACCTGCTTTCGGAGGACCAGGTTGCGAGCAAGTTCTGGTCGATACGCACTCTCATCTTGGACGAAGCAGACCAGATGCTCGAGGCGGGCTTCCTGGTTGCAATCAACGACATTCTCTCAAGACTGCCTCCAAAGTCGGACGGATGGCAGGGCATGTGCTTCAGCGCCACGGTTCCGAAGAAGATCGAAGGTGTGTTGCACAAAGTGTTGAAGAACGACTTCACTCGACTGTCTACCATTGACCCAAACGAGACCCCCACGATCGACCGCGTGCCTCAATACTCGGTCGTCGTTCCTTCGGTGAGAGAGACCTTCACGACGCTACGAGTCCTGCTACAGAAGGAGTACGCGCTGCAACCACAAAACTTCAAAGTCATCGTTTTTGGCGCCACAGCAAACGGCGTAGCGCTCATGCATGCACTCTTCTCCAACCTGATCGGAAACAACAGCCAGATGAAAGTATTTCAGCTGCAATCGCGTCTTTCGCAAAATGCCAGAACGCGAACGACAGAAGAATTCAAGGCAGCTCCGGCCGGCATCATGTTCGCTAGCGATGTTATCGGCCGCGGGATGGATTTCCCAAACGTCAGCTTGGTCGTGCAAGTCGGCCTGCCATCTAGCGGCGATCAGTACGTCCACCGCGTTGGTAGAACAGCTCGTGCAGGGAACGAAGGCCGAGCTGTAGTCCTACTCACTCGACGTGAAAGCTTCTTCTTGAAAGTCAACAAGAACCTTCCAATCACGCCCTACCCAGAAGAATTGAGCAATGCAGCAGCGGCCGAGCACGATGAAGTCCAGACAGCGTTTTACGGAATCGACGAAACCGTCAAAGCAAAGGCATACCAAGCGTGGCTTGGCTTTCACAAGACGTCTATGAAGCAGCTCCAGCTCAATAGCCAAGGACTTGTCCAGGAAGGGAATGAGTATGCCGCTAGCATGGGCTGTCCCGAACCTCCAGTCATTGATAGGCAGGTCGTTGGCAAGATGGGTCTGAAGGGCGTGCCCGGCCTAAACGTCGGCAGCGTGCAAGGAGGAGGTCCCTCGCGCGGCCGGGGCGGTGCCGGTGGTGGCGGCTCAAGAATGCAGCAGAACACTGGCGGAGAGCAGGGTGGGAGCAGCAATCGGGGCCGCGCAAACTATCGAGGTGGAAACGGTCGGCGTGGTCGTGGACATGGACGTGGAAGAGGAGGCGGAGGTGGAGGAAATTGACGGCATCGTTGTTGTGTCTTCGGTCGCTTGACCGACGGCTCTGAACGAATATTGACTGCCAAGAAAGATGCGTGTGCGGACTAGATTGCCGCTCGGCGGTTTGCGAGAAGGATACTCGAATCAATGGCTGGATATTACGGGGGGAGAGAGTGCAAGAATGCTGAAACGAAACTAGAAGATGAAAAGGACCAAACTGGTCCAGAGTAAGAGGGAATTGTAACTGCTTTAGATCGGTCGATAGACCTAGAATGATACCCCAGCTGAACATTCACAGGGGTCCGCGATCCAAAAAGTGAAAAGTCATTTCAGGACCAGAATTTCGGGATCAGATCGATCTCGAACATGCGAAGATTTTCAGACCGGGAACGCCCTACACTAATCAAAGCTCGAACCTAGTCCTCTCTATGTCCTCTCGCGCATGTGGCTCACAAAGCGACGCCCTTAGAAACGCTTCTTGACTTTTGCTCACGGATGACAGACTTCGGCGGCCCGATAATGATCTCTCGCGCCGTAGCAGGATATGCCCCGAGCAGGCATCGCAGACTTTCACATCGAAGACACAACTCTTTGAACAACGCTGCGGCCATTAATCCTGGGAACAAGTCGTGTCCATAGGATAACACATATCTCGTATACAAGCAGCTAGCAAAAAAGAAGCGAAAGAGAAAGCCCGTTCTGATAATGTCATATCGGTGAGGCGGTTAACAGCTGCTTGCGGTGCTGGTGCGGCGGATGTTGGGCAGTTGGAAGGTGTTACGAGTAAAGAGATGACGAGGCAGGCGGTGAGCGACCTGGCGCCTATGTCTCTTTTGTTGGATTCGGTGGAACAAGGTGTGATACTTGTTATTACTACTGGGAATACAAACGCAGTTCACATTTAGGTTGATGATCCTTTCGTTCGCGTATTTTGGTGCCGGCATTTGTGGCGACGATGGAGATGTTAGTGACGCCGAGGACGGAGAATATCATGGTGATACTAGAGGATGTCAGGCCCAAGAGGATATTTGATGTTTGTGAGTTGCAGGAGAAGATTGAGATTGAACAGGCGGCGGATGGATCAATGGAGGGGGCTTGACAAGTCTCATTTGAGTCTTTCCGTGCGAGATGATAGCGCTAGGTCAATGTGCCAACTCTTGACACGCCGAGCCTACTAAGTCTTCTCAAGTGCTTCCACTTCTACATCCGTCGGCTACTCCGTCTCTTCGCGAGCAACCTGAGATTGCGCCGCAGCGTTCTTTGTGTCCCACGGGTGCCAAACTTTCCATTCCACGTCTCCTCCAGCGTCGTGGCTCTCATGCTCGGCATCATCGTCCTCTTCTTGAATCATGTAGCTCGGAAGATGCGGCACCTGACCTTCCGGAACTTGCGCGCTGCTTGCTAGCTGCTTAATATCCGATGTGGTAAGCTTGGGATGGTGGATAGACACCAGCCTGCCTGTGTACGCAACTCTCGTTCCCGCGCGCTCAAGTGGCTCGGCCATTTTCTTCTGCAGTGCTTTCAAGTCTGAATAGGGTCTTCCGCACTCCGGCCAGAGATGCTTGGGAATATGTCCACTGCTCTGGTCATATGCTTTCTTGACGAAGTCCTTGCCGTGGTCGCTGATCATCTGTTGGAGAGGTCCGACAGCGGCATGCAGCCACGACGAAGCCGGCAATGTACCCTTGCTATCGTAATGCTCGGCGTCCACCAGTATCTTCCATGTGATCTGCGACAAAGCGGTGATGTGGCTGGGGAGCTTCTCTTTCAGGGCACCGGCAATTTGTGTAAGTACTTTCTCGCATTCGAGGAAGAACTCATAGTACTCAAAGTTCAAGAGCGGCTCTTCGCGGATGAGACTTTTCTTGAATATGCTGAGAAGCTCTTGCGGAGTGAATGTCTCGCGCTCCTGGGATGCCTTTGCGGATCGCGACGTTCCAGCTTCATGGGCTTCTTCTGAAGCCATCTGATGGAGAAGGACCTCAATCATCTTTCCCGTGGAAACACCGTTGCGTTTTCTCGTACATCCTAGCCACTCATCGATAAACTTTGCACCCACCTGGATGTACTTTAGGCTTCCCGTGAAGACGTTCGTTGTCAACTTTTTATTGAAGCGCAAATTAAACTTGGTGTTCAGACCAAGAACTGCTTCAAAAGCTATAGTGTACTGGCGCACCTTGCAAGTACTAGTGAGCTTCGGTACCAAGGGCCCGACCTCTGTCTGTGATGCAATGAGGAATTCCATGTCTTGCCAATCGAGTGACAGCAGTCCGATACGACGAGCGACCTTGTAGAGGTAGGCCATGCAATGAAGGCTGAGTGATCGCTCATTCGACCCGTGGCAAGCGCGATTCCTCATCATCCACGCCTTCATCCCAAAGGCAGTAGCACCAGCGTACACAGGCAATTTACGTTCCAAGCCTGTAGCGAACGCGTTCTGCGATTTCAAATTCGCCGACCGTTGTCGGAAGAAGGCGGGCGAAGAACAATCGCCTCGATCCCACCCGTCAGTCTCCAGCTCCATCATTCGCGCTGCTCTGTCCAGGTCTTTCAGGACGGCTGAATGCACATCCCTTGGCTGGCGAACCTTCTGTGTCTCGAGCAAGGTCTGGAATTTGGCAAGTGAGTCCTTAGCTAGCTTGAGACCTGTCGGGTTGTCCGGTCCCAGAATGTCGAATACGTCCATGTACATTGCAAAGGAGACTACCGCCCAGGTTCGGCAACGGTCAAGACACCCCAACTGCGTTACGAGTTCGTCGAGGCGACCAGAGTCTTCATAGCTCAGCCAAGCGAAGGAAAATCTCCCCACGCTGTTCAAGATGACTTCACCAAACTTGTGGTACGGAATATAGTGCTCCTCGTACAATGACCGAGGCTGCATGGGGTTTCCAGTATTATGGTTCTTGAAGTTGAGGTCCCATCGGGCGGAGTTCGTTAGATGTAGATCCATGAGATGAGCGGCGGCCGGACAGAGTAGCTCGAGCGCGTTAGAGGGCCATTCCTGTTTCCGCTTTGGAGAGTAATCCGTACTGTGGCTGATGAAGGAGAGGACCACTTTCTCCTCGAAGTACATAACATCGCTTCGCTTCACATCCAGAAAGACCAGGATCTTGTCGTACTCATCGAACAGAGGATTGAGGGCGCCGAATTCATCGTCAGCACATCTGACTAGCCCAAAAGCCGCCTCTGTGATGATGCTCGCCGCGTCAAAACTCATTTTTCCTTGGACATATTCAATCCATGTTTGATGAACAAGCTTACGCACGCTGTACAAGTCTTCAAGGTGGCACCAAAGCGCAAATTCCAAGTCTTCGTTCTGCTTTTCGAGCTTGAACTCAATGTGCGAAATATTAATTCGAGCATGCGTGGCTGAGGCTGTGGTGGCAGTGCCACTATCAGCGTCGAACTTGGTATCTTCTAGGTCCAGACATTCGAAGACGTTTTCGAGGTCTGTCGTATTTGCATTATTTCCCCTCTTGCCACTCTTGTTGCCTTTCTTCTTGCCGGCTGCTTTCGCTGTCTTCTCCTCTGTGAACTCTGGTCGCGTGGTTTGCGTCAATTCGAGAAGGCGGAGGATCCTCCGAAGAACACCAATGAAGTGTTGATGGCCATGATCAGACTGGCTTATTTCCTGGCTCTGTGCGATCGAGTCTGCCGCATGCTCGTCTGCAGACAGCTGGCGTAGGCGGATGACTTCTCGAACAAGGTCGAGGACCTCACTTGGAACATAAACGGGAGGTCTGACCGCGGCGATTGCTTCTGCAAACAACAGCGTCTGAGCAGTGCTCAGCTCTATTGACTTGAGTGCTTTCTCCCTCTGCGAACTGGAACGTGATAAGGAGCGTACGATCAGAGTGATGTCGCAGCACTGATTGGCTTTCCGCGCGAGCCACTCCACGAGCCTGTCTGTACCTTGCTTGTAGCGCGCGTATCTCCCGGTGAAGGAGACGCTTGACGCCATTCTGGATGCGCAGTGGATGAACAATTCTCGATGTGTGTGCTGCACGACTCGCGGTGTCGTCGATGGAGTATCTCATTCTTTGGGCCGTATGTAGCGTGGTGGATGTGGTAACACAGCTTCATTCGAGGATTTGTTGGTGACTCGGAGCAGAATGCGTACTTGAGGTGCGGCGGTCGGTCTTAAGAAGGATGTTCGGGTAATGTTCGGGAGCTTGTGAATGGCCGAATTCACCTTCCCTCAGCCTGAGGCGGCACATCGAGTGATGTGCACCACGCAAATGTTTTGAATGAAGAGTCTGAGTCATCTCGGGCACTTGCAAGAAGCCTGGACGTGTAGTGGTGTTCAAATCCTTGCCCGACTTGGTCCTCAGAGACGCGACAACCCGTGTCTGCAGCTTCAGGGAGTACGCCCGCCAGGCTTGAGAGAAGGCCATGGGCGTGACGAGAATGCATCTTCACACGAGCATTAGCGAGTAACGGTATCAGACAAAGAAATATCAACAGCCAGCTCAGTTTCCGTTGATACGCATGTTGAATGTGGAAAGGAAAGGAGGTGAGGTTCGCTTACAGGCAAACGAGCGCAGCCGATACCGAATACGAGCAAACACGCTTTACGCGGCCCCCCCCCCCCCCCTTTAGAATCACGCGTGTCGAAATTTGGCCTTCCGATTTGGATAACGGATTACGTAGGGGGGACAGATGCTCAGTACCACGCGTTCTTGCACGTATCTTTCCAGCAAGAGCAAAACGTGATACATCGTCAGCGCTATATACGAGCCTGCAGGCTACACGTTTTCTGCATATCTCCACAAACGGGTATCATCTCACCTACGGAGCCGAAAAGCAACGCGTGTTCGTCCACAATTAACTCCATCAATGCAATTTAAATCGCAGCGCTATGCAGGCGAAACGCACCGTCCTCAAAGTTCATTCAATTTCGTATTCGCGTTCTCTCACTTGAATTGAATCAAGAGCCGCCCATGCTGCGTAGCTTTTCCTGTTCCTCTTCCGTCAGGGCGTTGAAGACTTGGGCGAATTCAGGCTTCTGGGCTTGCTCCTGGAAAAAATTGAGTAGGTAGGCTTGAGTCTCATCGTCCTTGCCGCGTGAGTAGTTGCCAGAGTAGTCAGCACCGAAAGCCATCAACTGAGATTTGGTCATGCCTGTCCCGAGGTCCAGAAAGTCATTGTCGTCATCCTCCCAGCTACCGTCGTCTTCGTCGCCGTCGTCCACGTCTGCGGCATTGGAAGCGTCGATATTGCGCGAAGTGCCGGAAGCTGAAAGCAGCTCTTCGACCAAGACTTTGATGATCTTGAGCTGTGCCGAGATGATAGTGTACTGATCGGGTTGCTGCTTAGCGCGAGAGCGGGTCAAGATGCGATCAGATTTTGGCATGATCATGTCGCCCTTGACATGGATCTCAGCTATGCGCGGGTCGCCAAGTTCATAGAGTTTGGACAAAGCAACGACACTGTCTCTGTTAGCTACGTAATGGATCTGAGAGATGGATGTATACTGACTTCTTTCTGATGTCATCGTAGCCGGCAAAGTTGATCGAGTTCTCCAGCCACTTGCTAATCACAACCTGTAAGCCGCTCTGATCGCCAATCTGAACATCGGCGAGGAACCCGACGACTTCCTGTGCTGAGATCAAAGATAGACGAGCGAAGACGAGGATCAGGCTCTGGATGAACGCGGCTTGCGTAGCAGTTGCCAAGCGTACTGCAACGGCCTGGAGAAGCTGCATCAGATATGGACCGAGCCTGTCGGAACCTGCCTTCTCGACTAGCTCTGCAGCGAGACCACCAACTTCAGCAGCACCGTTGTCGTCAACAGCTGGGTTGAGCAGTCTATCAATGATGATGAGTACCACTTCGAGACCATGTTTGCCGGCCTGATCTTGGAAGCTGAAGATTTGCTCAGGATCGTGATGCAGCATGTGCTTCATCGCCGATGTGGCAGACTTCAAAAGCTCGTCGTCCTCCGAGCCCAGCAGTAGCCGATTCAAGCGTGGCACCACGGTGTTCACGAAGCCCGGTGGCAGCGGAGAAGAGCCATGCTCTGCTAGGACTGCAAGAAGCTCTGCAGCTAAGTTTGCCAGGGCGCTTTCCTCGGTGAGAGTAGCGACGTCGAATGCGCCCGTCAGTGACGGTAATACCTTTGTCGTAAGCTGAGCGAACGTTTCAGCGCCAGCCGCCGAGGTTTGATCTGCAATTTCTTCGAAAGTCTCGGTGACCAAAAGGGCGATCTGGAAATTCGACGCACCACGACTTGCAACTGTAAACAGCAGATCGAGCCCACCACCCGACAATACGGTCCTGACATCTAGCAAAATGGCGTCGCGTAGAGTTTCAATGATGGTAATGAGCAAATCATCGCTGTCAGCGAGGTCGCTCAAGTCCTGGGTGTTGAGGAAGTTGGACAGTGAGTTGATAATGTCGGATTGCCGGGACAATGTAATTGAGGTGGGCAGTGACGCAAAATAGTACTGCAATGCGCGAATGCATGAGACCTTGACAATCTCTGAGTCGTCGTTGTTGATCGCCTGTAGGGAAGCTTCCATGAAGGAGGTTGCAACGGGCTGCAGAGCGTCGCCTGAGGTGCGTGTCAAGCTGGCGGCTACGAGGTATCCTCGAGCTCTGAGGAATACTGGCTGTTCCTGCATAGCATGCTGAATGAAATCGACATAGCCGTTTGCTGAATCGGAGCCTATCTCCTTCTCGACGTCCTGGAAGTCGCCAAGTAGCTGACTGAGCAAGTAGAGAGCGGCCTCCTTAGCCTTCCAACCTGCGTTCTCGTTGTATAGCGTGCGAGTGTAGGCGAGCAGACCTTCAACCGTGGCATTTGTAAGCCACTCGCCAAGTTTGATGACTAGATCCCCACATGCAGAGCGAGGAGTGTAGTTCGCCGTGACGTTGACCTCTTCCGACAGAAAGACGTTCACGTCGATGTCCCAGAGACCCTCCTCTTCGTTGGTGATCTGCGCGTATGCAACCGCGATCTTCATGACCTCTGTCATCCACGGTCCACTGCCGGACTGCGATTGGAGCTGCTGTTCAAGTTCTTTGCGGACAGGAGGTGCGCGCAAACAAGCTTGTAGGAAGTCGAGTTCCTCGAGAACCAGGAAGTCAAGAGTGTATGGCAAGCCATCAGCATCTTCCAACCGCCCTTGGACATCCTGCTCAATGTACATGTGTTGGTATTGTGCCTGCAAGGTGGAGAGTTCCTGCCATGTGGCCGAAAATAAAGCTGGACTATGCGGTGACAACATTTGCGCGAAGAGTGTACGAACCCGCATGAGTGCCTTGACGACCTGCAGTTTGAGTGTGATGTGACCACGATAGACTTCCACGGCCCCATCGTTGCTCGACTCCTGGCCTTCGGCAGGTGCGGCTGGAAGAGGCGACTTCAAGACATTGATGAAAAATGGGACCCAGCCAGCGAGTGCCTCTTCTGCAAAGCTTTTGACTGCAGCCTTGTGGTCTTCCATAACCATCTCCAGAGTATCGAGGCACGACCGGAAGACCAGGACCGCCAAAGCCCGCAAGTTTGTTCTGCGGTTATCATTGATGGCAACGTCGAAGACCACCTTGACTAGATCTCGGGCGACTTTGAAAAATTGTTCTTCGTTGAAGCAATCGTCCACCAGCTCGTTCAAGACCTTGAGAGCTCCATGAAGTTGGGCATCTGTTCCGGTTGCCACAACGTTCAGCACGGTCGGAAGTAGATCAGGCCAGTCCTCTGGAAAATCTGCCGTTGCTATCTTGCTAACCACGAGGCTCGCGGCAGCCTTGACCTTCCTCTCGCCCTGTCCGCCAAGGGCCAGATCCAGTAGGCCCTGTCGAATCTGCGCCTTCTTGGTTCCATCTGCATACAGCTGGCCGTCGAATTCGTCGAATTGAGGAGACCAGGTTGCGAGCACGAACGTCTTCAGATATAGCAGCGCAGCCTGGCGGATATTGAGTGGCACATGCTCATGAGCGCCGATTGAGACCAGACCCGGTGGAAAGTCTGGATTGCCGTAGAGCTGCTTGAGCTGCCATTCCGCATCCTTTCGCGGACCCTCGCCCGCGGATTGCGTTTCGGTCAACAGCCTGACCAGCTGCTCCTCCATAGCGGCGGAAGTGGCTGCTGCTCTAGCGTAGCGAGGCTTGATGTGACATAAGACGTCTGTCGGCTGCTGCAATTTCCAACGCCAACACCGCCAATGCTCTGCGGGAGTACAGTCCGCGTGCCAGCTCCCTGCTGTCCGTATGAACCTTGACGTGCCTTCCAATTTTCACGCTCTCTCCTCCCCGCTGCTGTGCTCGCGCTGCTTGCCCGTGCGAGGGGCGTCTGCTCTCCGGCTCACCCTGAATGAATTGTTTGATGAAATATGATTGTCTCTGCAGGATGCGATGTGCGATAGTGCGTTGTAGAGGGTGTCGTTGGGTTCTGCCGAATCGTGAGATGTGTTGGAGATTTTGTTTCGTGACAGAAGCGAAACCGAAGCCCGCGCGTTAGTCATCACTTACGTAACCGCCAAGCCTCACCTTCGCGTCGACCTACTAAACATCCCGCGTTGGACCTGCACTTCACTTCACTTCACTTCACTTTACTTGGATCAAACTGCTATGAGCAGCATCTCAATGCATGCACGTGATGGGTGACGAGACGTCCACGTTCCGCACCTTTATCGCAGGCTTCACGGACTTCCTCACTGTTGCCATTCACACCATCCTGTACGAGCGAGGCATATACCCAGAAACGTCCTTTCTGTCGGCCCGGAAGTTCAATTTTGCCGTCCGCCAGAATCGGCATCCCAAAGTCTGCGAGTGGATCGATGACGCAGTAACGGCTGTGGAGAACGAGCTGTACAAAAGCACCGTCGAGCATGTTGTAGTCGTGATTTACGACAAGCACAACAAGCCCCGTGAACGCTTCATATTTGACGTGTCGCGCTTTCCCATGGTACCTCTGGCTGATATGGACGTGCCTCTGGAACGTGTCAACGCCGACGGCTTGAAAGATACCATTCTCCCATTTGTCGACATGGAAGAGGAATTTCGAGCAACAATGAGTCGGCTGTCGAACTGCAGCGCAGATATGTCGCCTTTGCCCAAAGGCTGCACTTTCACAGTGGCTATCGAACTAAAAGGCGAAGGCCAAGCCCCGGTGGAACATCCGCAGGCTTGGGTTCCAACTGAAGGTCAAGCAGATCCCCAAGCGCGCACGAAGGGCCAGGAGCTTCAAACAACGCCAGTGCGCGCTGTTGCTGCTGGCGAGATGATGTTCGAATGCTGGATTGAAGAGATCGCGGACCAAAACTCAGGGGATAAAGATGCACCGACTTGAGCAGAGTTGCTCGCGGCTGGAAAGCATTGAACTTGAAACAACTGCGGCATCGAAGATCGCGTAAACTCTTCTTCGCGAAGTGGCGCCTTCCATCTGCTCTGCAGGTGCCTTGGCGTCGACTCTCGTTCGATGACACTCAACACCGACAGATTTCCATCCAAGCTCCTCGAACAGCTTGGGAGCGTCAGCATTGCTTCCCCATACTTCTGCCACAAGAGCGGCATTCTGTGAAATCTTGAGTCGCTTCAAGCCTCATCTGGCAAACGATTGCGCATGATATGGTTCGCAGTGGGCTGCATTGATCGCAGCTTGCATTACAGCCTTCGCAGAGCAGACGCTGTCGGCGCAAATCGGTCCCACTCGTATGCCGCCTGAACAGCGACAGAGAATCGCCCAGGCAAGAAGGTGTCCTTATCCTAATTTCTACAGAGTCGCGGCGGTCACAAGAGCTACTGCCTTAAGATCTTTACGTTCGAAAATGTGCTCATCGCTCCAGATGGCCTCTCAAACCCAGTGTATTTCAGCTCGTGCTGAGGAGGGACCCTTTGGAACAGTGCGAATTTTCACGATTCGAGATTCGGTGGGATCGAGCAATACATGTTCGGTGTCCAGACTGCGGGTCATGATCCTCATTGTAGCGAGCGGCGAGGACAAAGTTTCGCCTTTCATCTGGAGGACTTGGTCAATTACGTCGTCAGGGCTTAAAGAAAGATAGAGCTTATATGGCTGCTTCTGCTGCACTACGCCGTCAACTTCCACGGTGCGTATTCCGTGGCAGCCTTGGATCGCTCTCGACCTAGATCTTTGCCGCGACGTCTCTCGTCAATGATGAACGTTGACTCTCATTCTGTCGAGTCGGAACAGATGACCGCGGCGGCGACGTGTACCACCGGACTTCCGATGGACTTCTCGAGCAGCAAGACCGTTCCACTTCCTGTGATGGATTCATGTACGAGTAAAGATCGTAGTATTCGCGATTCTAAAGCCCTCGTCAGCTTCACAAATCTTGCTTCATGGACTTTTTGACTCGGCCACAAACCAGCCCAGTTCTCGCATGTCCTCCACCAAACATGACGGAACTCATCTGTGCTTTTCGCTGGGCGAATTTCGTACTCATTATCCGACCTGAATATAGGACCTAGCTGGATGCCATGTCTCGTTCTTGAGCTTACTTTCGTTCAAGAGACACAGTGACAAGACCCGGACCAGCTGGTATATCACCACGGCGCAAAGTGTGTGCTTATGTCATTGTCTGACTTAATATGCATGAAGTCACTCCTTCGGCTCTCGAAGGATCAACGTCGCGATACTAGCAGATATTCGAATTTGTGACTCGATTTGTCACGGCAACTTTCCATCGACCAGAATTGCTAGAGATCCACGACCCGATACAATGCGACAAATTTTGGGGTTTCTTGCGACACAGCATGGATAGCTTGGACGAAATCGCCCAAAAGCCCTGATAGACGAAAACTACAGAGGTTGGCAATCGTTGCGTACGATCACACTCAGTTTCTCAAGTCTGGAAGAGAAGGAGGACATCCCATTGCCTCTCCAGGCATTGTCAATCTGGTGTAACATGCTTCAAAAGAGATTGCTATGCACGTGAAAGATGCTGAATGGAGGCAATGCTGAATGAAGGTAACGCTGAATGCTTCTTGCGATCCTGACCCATTACGTCAGGAGCTGCAGCTTTATTCAAGATGTAATTGCATTGATCGTCTGTTGATAAGAGCCCAAGTCTTGTACTCACCCTACATTCACATCCAGAGACTTCACAACTTTGGCACGAACATGTATCTCGGCCTCGAAAAGAAAGTCGTCCTCGTCACCGGTAGGTGTTGCTTGCTCATCACACGATCAGCTATCTGACCTTCTCTAGGCGGAACCAAAGGCATTGGGCGGTCCATTGTGAAAGCCTTCCTCCACGAAGGTTCTACGGTGCATTTTTGCTCGAGAACAGCTTCAGATGTCCAGGCTGCGAATGAGACTTATGCCAAAGAATTTCCAGATGCAAAAGCCTTCGGTGCGGCCGTAGATGTCTCGAGGAACGAGGAATTGGAGGAATGGGTCCAAGGGATTGTGAAGGAGAGTAGTAGGATTGACGTTGTTGTGGCCAATGTTAGTGCCATGGCTATTGAGGTCAGTAATTCGATCGCGTTGAGATTGGGTAGGACAACTGATATTGTGGAAGGACAATGTTGAGAACTGGAACGCCGCTTTCCAAACGGACATGATGGGAACCTACAATCTCATCCAAGCAGCGCTGCCGCATCTCGAAAAGACGAAGGGCAACATTGTGAACATCAATTCTGTTAGCGGTCGTGATGTCGACTTCACCGGCGCAGGTCCGTATGGAACGTTGAAAGTGAGCCTCACCTCGTAACATCCCGCTCCTGTGTGCTTCTGTCACTCGCCACTGACATGGCCTCCAAGGCCGCTCTCATCCGCTACACAGCCGGTCTCGCGCAACAGCTCGCTCCGAAAGGTATCCGGGCCAACACACTGTCCCCGGGAAACATCTACATCCAAGACGGAGTTTGGGGCGGCGCCGAACGCAACATGCCGGAGTTCTTCCATTCGCAATGGGACAAGAATCCGATGGGAAGAATGGGTCGATCTGAAGAAGTTGCTGATTCTGTGGTCTTTTTGGCCAGTCAACGGGCAAGTTTTATCAGTGGGGCGAATTTGATCGTGGACGGTGCACTCTGCAAAGGCGTGCAATTTTGAGTGAGTGATGGATTGATGAATGGGAGGACGACTGAAATGCCTAGAACACCAGTCTGCCACGCGACGTTGCTGGAGGCGATGCTTTGAAATTTACACCGCAACGGTATTGGCAACGGCTTTCCCCAACTCGTTGCCGAGAACCGTGCCGCCGTCTCGAACGAGAAGACAATCTGGAACAGTCATTATCAGACTCCGGCCAATCGGTCTTGGTCACTTATCCTGCAAACTATCATCTTCTCTTTGCATGCGACAGCTTCGGCATCATGTGAAGCCATCTGAGATCCTCTCCCTGGTTTAAATTTTTACTCACAGCACGCTGTGATGCGCAGGATCGGCATTCGATCATCTCTCTACCAACGGTCGACATTTCTCGAAGGCCGTTGAGATAGGAGAACAAACACCACTGTGCCATGGTATACATGAACCATCCATCCTGGCAACACGCCGTTCTAGCCCTCCCTCGTGGTCTTCAACCCCCGGTCACTCGTTTATAAAACAACACAATCTTTCAATTCTTCGCCTCTCAGCATGTTCTTCGCAACGATTCTGACCGCCCTGGTCGCGGCAACAGCAACAAATGCCGTCCGCGACTCTCGTTCTCGTCTTCACCGGCAATCCAAACGCGACGTCGACTTCGTGGACATGGTCGTGACACACCACAACATCCACCGCGCAAATCATTCCGCTACACCCATCTTCTACCACTACGACATGTCCAACACCGCGCGAAAAATCGCCCAGAGTTGCAACTTCTCTCACAACATGTACGTACATTCCACTCCGACCCATCCCAAATCCCCCTGCCCTCTCACTAACTCTTTGACAGGGAGATGGACGGTGGCGGCTACGGCCAAAACATCGCAGCCGGAGTCCCCTGGCAAAACATCTCCGCCGTGATCACTGATCTCTGGTATAACAACGAAGTCGAATACTTCAACGGCCAATACGGAAAGCAGACCCCGGACACGAGCCAGTTCGAGAAGTTCGGTCATTTCAGCCAGATGGTTTGGAACGCGACGACGCATGTGGGTTGCTATACCCAGCACTGTCCGAATGGAGTCGTCAATGCCGAAGGCACAAACGATTTCACCGTGTGCAACTATTTGGGTGCCGGTAAGTTTGGATGAATATCGTTGTTGGTCAAAGAGTGGAGTCGACTGACGTTTTGCGGTGATATAGGCAACGTGGACGGCGAGTGGGCGGACAATGTCATGGAGCCTGAGGGACACCCAACCTACCAGTGGAATTATGGCATGAATAGCACCAACTGAATCATGAAGTGAAGGATTAGAAGCGTCGACGAAGAATTTGCCCAGCATGCTTTGGTCGATTCTTCCGAAGACCACGTGAGCAGCATAATAACCAAATCGTTCTCGCGAGATAGCCTAGCCCCAAGTGCCTCCACCGCCTCTGCCTTGCCTACGCTGCGCGCTAAGCCGCCAGTCATCCTCACCTGCAAATCTGTTGTGGAGAGGCTGAATCCGCTCGTCTCGCTTCCTCTTACTCATGCCCATGCCGTCCTTGCCCGCGACCTTGAAAAACGTGGGAGCTGCCTCTACCAACCACTTCGGTTCAATGGCCGTCACGTTATGCATGTATTCCCTTGTCGTCTCGACCAGGGAATGGTAAATGACATGCTCTGCTGCCTTTCCGAAGAGAGCAGATGCGGGATGCATGTAGACTGGAGTACCCTCAACCAGTGTTTTGTAGCCCTCCTGCGGGTCCTTTCGCGCTGAGTTGCGGAAGAAGCCCGAGCAAAGAGATTGCCGAACACGCATGGTATCACGGCCACAGGATACAACCTTTAACCTGTGTCGGTCAAGGATCTGCACCAGCTGTTTGCGTACGTCCTCTGCCCGTTTCATCGACCGGGGTTGGATGAAGTTCTCAAAACACCAGGGATCACTTTTGCCGGCATTCTTCCACCCATTGTACACATTCAGAAGCGTGAGATGGTCTCCTGCGGGATCGTGGAAGCGGGCCTTCTTCTGATCGGCTTGCTGTTGCTTGTCTTTAGGTCGGTGGAACACGGTCTGCACGGCCGAGATCATTGCAACAATTGACAACATCTCGTCGCTGCAGCCGAGATCGACGGACATGATGAGAGACTTTGCAAGCGCAGGGTCCATGGGGAAGTCAGCCATGCGACGCCCAAGTCGTGTAAGCAGGCCTTCGTCATCGAGAGCCGAGAGGGCATAAAGCTCTTCCAAAGCCGTAAGCATGGTATTAGTAGGTGGAGGATCCATAAAATCAAATCCGAGAAGATCATTGATTCCCATTGCTTTTAGCATGAGAATTGTGTTAGACAGATTCTGTCGCTGAATCTCGGGGATGGTGGTCGGCAACATCTCGCTCTGGAACGCATTCTCAGTATAAAGTCTAAAGCACTTTCCAGGGCCCGTTCTGCCAGCGCGTCCCGCGCGCTGTTTAGCCTGGGCCTGCGAGATTGGCGTGACTTGGAGTCTGTCCATGCCCAGCTTCGCATCGTATGCAGTCTGCTTGACGAAACCCGGATCGACGACGAAGTAGATTCCGTCGATTGTGATACTTGTTTCGGCAATGTTGGTCGCAATGACGACCTTTCTGCTACCTGAGGGCGAGGGTTCGAAGATACGGCTAGCGATCTCAGACGGCAGGGCACCGTAGATTGGCAGAATTATCAGTTCCGGCACAGCAGGGCCGAGAGCTTTCATGCGTTCGTGAAGAATTTCGCAAGATGTATCAATCTCCTCTTTTCCTGTCAAGAAGAGGAGGATATCGCCAGGCTTCTCCTTCAGGTGAATCTCCATGACGCACGTAAGTGCAGAATCTAGATAATCGCTTTCGGGCTCTCTGCTGTACATGATCTCCACGGGGAAGGTCCTTCCTGGAATTGAGAGAATCGGACACTCGTTGAAGTACTCAGAGAACTTCTGTGCGTCCAGGGTAGCTGAAGTGACGATAAGCTTCATGTCCGGCCTCCGCTTCAGCGTCTTTTTGAGTAGGCCAAACAAAACATCGGTAGCGATTGTCCGCTCGTGAGCTTCGTCCAACATGATCACGCTATATTTGTTAAGTTCGGGATCCAGAAGGATCTCACGCTGCATTATCCCGTCGGTCATGTACTTGATCTTGGTCTTGTCGGAAGTCTTGTCCTCAAACCGGATTGTGTATCCGACTTCTTCTCCGAGCCGGCAGCCAACCTCGTCGCTAACTCTGGCCGCAACAGACATCGCGGCTACACGTCGAGGCTGTGTGCATCCGATCATGCCATTGTTGGCAAGGCCATCTTCAGCCAAGTATTGCGTAAGTTGAGTGGTTTTGCCTGAACCAGTATCGCCGATCACAATGAGAAGCTGATACTGGCGTACGGCATCCAAAAACTGCTTGCGCATCTTGAAAGCCGGAAGAGATTCCCGCTGCTCCTTGATGGAGAGACTGGTCCTCTTACCCAGCTCTGCCTTGCCTGAGGCCACCTTCTTCCATTCTGGCATCTCCAGAGCGCCAGCGGAGCTATTCTGCTTCGGTTGTCGTAAATCAGAAGCAAATCGCCGTTCGCTAGGGTTGATCATAGGATCATTCCACTCCTGACCGAGATCAGTCTTTGCTGCTTCCTTCGCAGCTTTGTCCTGTGCCTCCTGCTGCCGCAAGTCTCTCCTCTCTTTCGCCAAAACGTCGCCTTGCATGGCTGCACGGTTCATACTACCGTCAGGCGCCTTGATGACTCGGATCGGGGACAATTCAAGAGATTGTTTCGTTTGACCGGCTAAGAAAGGCGGCTCCTCCTCGCGCACCTCGATATCGACGTCTTCCTCCTCTTCCATTGTTTCTCCATTGACTGCAGTGTTGTAGTCCTCGTCAAGATCCGGATAGTCCGCTGCCTTTATGACGCCCGAGGCAATCAACTGGCGGATTTCCCATCGTTCGGGGCTTGTCATACGCTTCCGTTGCCTTCTTCGATCTGCAGCGGTTTCAATGACAGGAACCGGGTTCTCCAATGGATTTGAGCCATTGAGACCAACAGCATTTGCTCCAGTGCCTTGCAATCGTCTGCCCGGGTTGAGATCCTGGCCCGTCTGTTGATCCACCTCCATCATGCTGAGAGATATGCGCTTATCCTGGACTTTCATGACCTTTACTTTCACTTCTTGATTTCGCGATACCAAGTCGCTCGGGTGGTTGACCTTGTGATCTGCCATCGCCGACACGTGTACCAATCCATCGACCTTTCCCTTGACCCCCAAGAGATTCACGAAGACACCGAATTCCTTGACACCAGTAACCCGTCCATCGTAGACCTTGTAAAGCACAGGCTCGTCGTCGAGCTCTGGAGTGGGCGCGCGATCAAACGAATCTCTCCTGCTTCTTCGCTTTGGACTTCGGCTGCCCTTTCTGCGTCTTCCATCTCTCCCAGAACGGTCCGAAGGCCTGTATGATCGCGTTCTGCCATACTCATCCTCAAACAGATAATCGTCATTCCTTCTCTTCGGGCTCCTAGACCTCGATCGCGACTTCCTTCTCTTGACCGAGCGTTCATGAACCTTCTCCAGCGCAGGCTCCGGTTCCATGCTCCTTTTCCTCCCATTCGTAGCGCCTCCACCGGCCATGCTCTCCAGAAATGCGAACGTGTCGTCCATGGCACCATCCTCTACCCGCTTATCCGGTATTGCCAAACCTCTGAACTTCTCACTTTTACTCTGTTGTGTGGGAGGGCTGGATTCCTTTCCATTGGCATTGCCGTTTCCCCGGTGTCTTGGATGCATCGTCCTGATGAGCCGATCGATACTCTCGGCCAGCACCTTCGGAAAATCAAACCCGGCGCATCTTTCCACGAACTCTTCTCGATTTGCGCACTCGGCATGCTGGGCGATGACGAACTCGGCTATGGTTTTGTCAGAAACTCCCATGTGGTTGTCAATTTCGCTTGTGACTTTCGAGACCAGCGAAAGAATCTCGAGCTGCTCGAGATCGTCCATATTGGCGATCAGTGCTTAGTTGGAAAGGAAGTGTCGCGGTAGAAGAACATGGTGATGAGAAGGCATCTCGAACATGAATCGCAGCAGGATGAGTACGGCGCCAGCGCGAGTCATGCCGCGGGCCGAGCCGCCTCCGATCCCGAGCTTGGTACTGGTCCGTGCTTCCACTTGCACTGAATGGCATGTGAATGGCTCTATGTCGCCCACGATGTCATTGAGTCGCTATCATATTGGAGTCATTGACAATACGCGACATGGCGAGTCCAACATAGACTTTACGGCCCATCTCCGGTTCATATCTCCATTGCCCCAGGCCGCCAATGGAGCAACATCATCTTCGCGGGAGTTCGACCGGCAAACGCTTTAGCAATCTGCTGCAACAACAGTCATCCTTACTGGCTGATGCTCCTGCTTGGTATAACAGGCATCTGTTGGTCACGACAAAGCCGTCCCATGGGCATAATCTCACAATGCGAACGCTACGTGCACCAGAGGAGAACAAGGTGCTGCGGCTGAGACCGCTGCAGCCCTTGCACATACTACAGCGACGCTCAGACATGTGAGGCCCGAGGAACATGCACCAGTTCCAGGTTCTCGTTGGTCTGAACAACAGTCGGAAGTATGACAGTACGGGTAGCGACTTCCACGCGGGAACCCAGGAGAGCTGAACGCCACAGCCGTCGCATCACTCCAACCTCGTACCCGGAATATATGTTTAGGTACAGGACATACGACTCTGCGATGTCATGTACTACATAAGTATTCCGTAGTGAGAGAACGAGGCTGTGCAATAAGCAGGCACCCATCACGACTGGCGAATGATCTTGTCTGCTGGCATGTCTCCGTAGGCAGCTCTGTTGTTCCTTCTGCTACTACCAAAGACCTTCCGATACTACGCAGTTTCGCTCTTGGCCGTTTGCTTTGCGCGATTGATCATGATAGGAAAGTAAATCGTGTAGGACGGGAAGCCTGAGGGAGGTGCTACGCTCATACAAGACTGCGTATAAAGGCCAAGTATAATTCTTTCACTACTCAAGACTTGAACATTCGCTCCATCTACCCACCCCTTGCCAAGTTCAATTCGCAGACCACTCTATTCCACGCTCCCACTTATCGACGCACACAGAGACATGAAGTCTTTTTCCCTCGCCGCAGCTGCCTTCGCCGGCGCTGCCACAGCTCGTATCGTCGGCATGGCCGCTCCAGCACAAATCGCTCCAATTCAGCAAATCAACGTTACTCTCATCACGCAAGATTACATCCAAAGCGTCCAAGACCTCTCTTGTGCCTTCGCGCTGACCAGCGAGCTCGACGGCGGCGGAGACCTGGGGACCGTGTATCTCGGCTCCTTCTATCTCGGACCAGGCAAGTACAACCACAACACAATGCAGGCACCAAGGAACCGCTAACGATTCTGCCATCGAAGAGAAATCCAACGTCCTCGACAATCTCACCTTCACCCTCACCATGCCAGACGAGACCACGACCAAAGACAAGAAATACATCACCGGCATCGTCAATTCCCTCTACGGTGTCTCCAACACCGCCGCGACCATTGAATTCGCCGTCCCCGTGTCTACTGATGGCGATGCGAATCAGGAAAACAGCGATATCATCGGCACACCGGGCAATTGCTTCGCTTCTGACACTTCCAAGGCCAAGCGCGACGATTCCTGCTTTCCGACTACCACCACCACTTCTATCCAATCCTGCCTCAGCCTGGCAAACAGCCTGGTCAACGACGTCTACCAGAACAACTCGCAGTCCGGCTCTCAGGATCTCGGAGAGCTTCAAGGCCATCTGGGCGATGTGTTCAGGGCCGTGGATGTGTCTTCCAAGGGAGAAGTCGCTTGCGGAAACCCTTCAACTCCGCCTTCTTGGCCTAGCAATCTCACGCCGGCAGATAGCCAAGCGAGAGCCATTGACATTTTGAGGAACGCACAGGATGGACTGAACGCTCTGCAGGGTGATGTGAACGAGTGCGGGACCGATCAGGCGTTCCAGGTCGTTTGTACGGTGATGAAGTTTGTGGATATGTTGGAGGAGTTTCCCTGGTGAGCTCTCGACGGCGAAATGAGACGCGACACAACGCCACGCGCAACAGCACGCGCATGATGTATATAGATTGTACACGGGTATCTGGTAGTTCCGAATGATGCTGCTGAAAATCGCCCGCGTGCCTTTTCCTCTAGCTCTTTCATACAACAGCCGCGGAATGATCCAGCTGCTCTAGGACTCCTTCGACATCTCAGGAGCCGTACCGAAGAGCCGCTTGCGTTCAATCGCCCTTGGCATCCATAGGAGGCACGGTCTCCGCTCGAGGCACTGGGATAACCTGGAAATGTCTTCGAGTACCACAACATGTGCCTCCTGATCTTTTGCAAAAGCTGTCTGGCCTCCACAGAGAGCAAAAGCCTCTTCAAGTCACGTCAAGCTTCTTCTGCTCCGCGAGCAATTGCTGCTCCGTCTCCACCTCAGCCAGCAATTTATCCGTCGGCTTCACCTTCACTTTCACCGCGGCTGTAGCCACACTCGTGCTCGTCGGCAACGGCATCGGATACCTGTCCGGATCGTCCGTGACGTCGGCAATTACCTCCGCCATGATCTTCGCCTGATCCGCTCGCGCGGGATACGTCTCGTCTGCAAAGCGCACATCAATCCCGGGTAAACAGAAGAGATCGTCTGTCTTGCCTAGACTGATGACGCGCTCGCGAGAAGCGTCGGCGCCTTGACAACCTCCTATTGCTGCGCGGAAGTAAGGCACGTACTTGTCCCTCACATCACTGAGAGCGAAGGGTTGGATGAGATCGCCTTCATGTGTGAGATGGGGGAGAGACATGGTATCTTGTAGTTCGCCGTTGAAGGGGAGCATTTTATGCAATGCCATTGTATCTCGAGTGGTGTCAGCTTCGATATGGTCTACCAGGACGGGCGCTTCAGCTGATAAGACGAAAGGCTCTTCTTCCAAGCGATCTGTCTGCGCAGGCGCTTGCGGCGCTTCGGGATCGATCGGTGGCCTTGCAAACTCTTCGGGTATCTGAGCCAGCTCATTGTGAATCGTGACGAAGGGGAATGCAGGATGTAGCATGCTCCAACCTCTGGCTCTCGTAAGCTCCAGTAGAAATTCCACCCAAGCAGGCTCTGTCTCTGGAACCAGCTTTTCTGTTTTGCTCTTCTTGCCACTATGCGACGCCTGTGTCCGCTTCGTGAGGAAGTCGTGGAAAACGGTCCACCTGTCGCCAAAGATAAGATTCGCGGTAGAAGACGTTGCTTGGTACAAGAAGGGCGCAGCCGCTGCTGGGTCATTGGCAGTATCATCGGCATATTTGTTGGATCCCATATCCGAGATACTGGGACGCTTGAGCGCGGTATTGTTATTCAAGTGTGTCGTAGGCACGTCCAACGAGATGCCGAGTAGTTCGTGTCCACCCGACGTTCCCCAAGCTGCATAATGATACTCCAAGATGGCGAAGTGCAAATATTGCGCGTATAGGGGATTGAGCTCCACTTGTGGTGAGAGCATCAAGATGTGGTCATCTTGTGGGTTGCTCGGATAGAATGATTCTGCAAACCGGATTGAAGCCTGCTCCGAAGTTATTTGAGAAGACGGAATCCGGTGTCGTATGCTGAGAGAGTCGGCTTGCATCGGACCTTTTCTCGGCGGCCACTGGAAGTCAGACAGGTATTTGCTCAACGCCGGCTCGACCTTGGACGGGAGTTCGATTGTGAGCTTTGGCACCTTCAGACCATGATAGTCTGCATTGTACATGCTTTGCAGCAGTCGAATTAGACTACCAGAAGTGCCGGGCGGCGCATGAATGACAATTTCGACATTCGGTTTGAACCAGCTCGCGAGACTGCCGGCTTCAAGTCTCGTTATCCACAGGAATTGCTCGTATCTTCCGCCCGGGACTTCAATTAACGATTTACCAAACTCCTTCGCTTTAGTGCGCATAGCCTTGGTGAAGAAGGCATCCTCTCTAGCGCTATCGTCCATGATCACGACCTGCGGATGCATGAAGTCGTTGATGTGGTTCATGGCGCCTTTTGTAGCTGATTCGGCGCGAGCATCGCTGCTGTAGTCGGCATAGTCGCCCCGCGCATCGTGGAAATAGACCTTACATTCGCCCTCATCTACGCCATTCAGCGCCAAGATTTCTTCCAGAGCAAGTGTACTGCGTCCGAAGATTGCCAGATGGACATGAGTTCGGTCTACTTTAGCCATCTCGCAAGCCATTGGCATGAGATTCGCCGCGCTCTTGAGCGACGATGCTGCCCATAGAACGTTGCGATTTTGCGCCAGATTTCCATACGTCCGCGAGATCTTATGTAGGCTCTGCGCGAGCTTGTAGAAGCGCACGATTCCATTGTAGTAATGTTTGGAAGCCTCCTCATTTTCTTTGCTCTTGTCTCGCGGAGGTGCGCCGGCCGGCTCTTGATGTGCCACGGCAGCATATGGATCATAGGATGGCTGTGTATTGCCCGCAGCATGTCGTCCTCCCGTGTTGATGCGTATCGATATGATGTCCGTCGGTAGCTGCTGAGTGAACATGTAAATCACAAAGATCACGCCCGCGACGAGAAGGAGTCGTCTCTTGCGCCATCGCCAGGGCAGGATACTCGAAAGCGATGCCGTCGAAGAGGAATGGCGCGGTTTGAAGTCATCGTCGCGCTTGCCGAGTTCCTCGTCTTTGGTCACGAGGCGAGAGCGCGCAGACATGCTGCGATTCGGGGAGGAAGGGCGTGTTCGCGGACGGAGGCTTGCTCCTAACATCGAGTAGGCGGCTCGAGCATTGGCGACATGACAAGTGAACCTTTCCGCGTCCCCGCTGCTCTCCGACGCAATCCCGGTCACCGTCTGTGGTCTGTGACGGCCCGAAGATTGAGTGAGATTGTTGCTGGACATGTGTCTCACGCACGAGTGATGGACTTGGACTTGGCCTTGGCCTTGGCATCCACGGGCGATCGCCGACAGGGTCCAGAGTCCGCACTCCCGAACCTTGTTTTAGCCCTGCCAGATCAAAACACTTTCTCTCACCTATCTATTGCCTGAACTATACACCGACATCTCTCGTGGTACAGATTGTTCGACGTGCTGCATACGCTATTGAATCTTTTCCTGTCTCCTTCGCCAAAATGCCCATCATGGACACCAGCGCGGGATGGAGATCCTTCGTATCATGATAGATTGATGGATTGTTCGGGCTGTTAATACCGATCATTCCTGTCGCATCCGAGCTCCTGGTGACGCTGCTCTTAGGCGATGCATGTCCTTCGAGGTAGTCCACGTAGATTCGCGAATCATCTCTTGGCCAAAGCTGCTCGCAGAACAGCCTCACACCGCCCTCTCATCCCATCCCATTCCCGAAGCTGGTCATCAGGATCGGCAAAGCGCATTGCCTTGAACACCGACATTGCCAGCTCAACGCACTCCTGCTCCACTGCTACCGCAGGCTCCTCAACTTCCATGTCTACGAGGTTCATGCCAACCATTTCTCTTGCACCTCGAACGTCGGCGGCAAGCTGTTCGTTCGCAATCGCATCAAAAAGAACGACATACATATCTCCTTGCCTCGGGAGAAAGCGTCGTGGATAACTGCACCATGCACGCCAGAACTTTACAATATCTTGAGAAGCAAGATGCCGCTTGAGCGTGGCGATTGAAAGAGCAGGAAGGAGGGTCTGGACCGTCGTGATAGAAGAGCCAGTAGGCTGGCCCACAAGACACTGGTGCAGCAGTTGAAGGATTTCTGGCCGTAGAGCATTGTATCCATAGCCGTCCATCTCTTCTAGCAGATCGAATACCGTTTCCAGACGTGGCTCATAGGTATCGAGATTGTTGTCGCTATCCTTGAGCAGCGACACAAGTGCTGTAATGTACGAAAGTTCATTTGGTACAACCCCTGACAAACGCATCTGTTCGAATGCCAGCATGATACTGCTCTCATCACACCCTGGATGCTCCAGCCGATACGCGTGACAGATTAATTGCACCCGGGCATGCCAATGGGCTGGTTGTGGGAAATGCGGCATGGCTTTGTTGAATGCATCGACGAGTGGCGTCGAGCCACCTCCCTCGGCGTCGGCTTGGCCTACATGAGCGTCTTCGGGGATTAAAGACCGAGCGTCGAAGCTGGGTCCGAGGGCCTCAAGCGCAGCGGAAGGGGGCATCTTTTGTAGCGCAGATACGACGGAAGTCAGTTCTGCCAGTGAGGCATCAGTGCCTGTGACTCGGTCAGGGTCTTGTGAATCTCGAGACGGATGTCGCAAATGGTCGCTTACAGGCCGATGGACGACGGTCATGCCGTTTAATGTGCGAGCAGAGGTGTGATAGGCTCGGGCGTGCTGCTGCGAGACCGAGGTCATCATGGGATGATAGGAACTTTGTCCAGCTGGATGAGCTTGGTTGGAGTTGTCTTTGCCGGCGGACACATCAGACGAAGCCTCGAGCTCATGCTCCGCTAGATCGGGCTCCTTCTCTTCTAAGTAATCCCTTTCTCTCTTCGACCTCCTCAGAATGGTTGTCCATAGCTTCTCTAGATCCATTTCGCCCCGTTTATCCTCCGTGAGAAGTTGCACAACGATGTGCGAGCCTGTGATCTCCGTTCCGAACCCGACAATATCCTTCTCTCTTTCGATCTGTTCCGGTGATCTCGGCAGCTGTCCACCTTCAACCTTGCCCACATTCACGCATATCCAACCTGTTCGAATCCCTTCGTCCAGCTCTGTGTCCGCCGTTGACTTCGCACCCACAGCAGAAAGCAATCTTGACTTCTTTGCTCGTCTTCTTGTCTTGAGTTTCAGCTCTTGTCTTCCCAGTAGACCATCGGCGACAGGCCTCAGGTGGAACTCGGTGCGCAACCATCGGCAAAGTTTGTCGGCAGAGAAGTGAAGGTGCTTTTCGGATCGAGCAGTACCAATGATCATAAACAGATTGGCACCCAGAGCAGGAGGCGGTTCGATCGCTCGTAAGTCCAGTAGTGAAAGATCGTCCATACCTAGCTCGACAGACACCCGCTCAAGTAATGGTTGGAGGATTGTTGGTGGATGTTCAGGCAGATCTGGAAGCCGCTGACGCTCTGAGATCACGTTGTTCGTCCTTTCAAGCGATGTGTCGACCTGCAAATACCATGGTACATGTTCATCCGTGTTAGATGAAGCAGCGACCTCCGGATCCAGCTTTGCTTCGGACGTCTGGTGCTGTCGCCTGAGAACGTCTCGGTCCAAGTCTTCGCCGTGTTCGGTCTGCGTCTCATTCCACTTCTCGACATCTTCATCGATGTCGTTCTGGGTGAGCCCTTCCTTCCCGACCTTCTGCATCCGCTCACGTGCTTCGTTTCGTTCGCGAGTAGTGACAGAAAAGGCTCTCCTCGGCTGAGGTATCGGTTGTAAAGAGCCACTGACCCCGGCAACAAATGATCTCAGGACCCATTGCCTACAGCTATTACACGCCAGCCTCCTGACAGCTGAAGTAGGTAGTGCCATACTGTTGTTGGTTCTTGATGGCGTTGGTACAATGGTGCAGTTGATGTAGACCGGAAGTGACATCCTGAAGCGGAACTTATCCGCAAGACCGAGTCCGAATGCGAGCACTGCTCCTTCACTTCGACATCTGCTCTGTCTTGGACACCTTCGAACACTCATTGTCGCCATGTCGTCGACAAGGACATATCAATGCCTCTCCTGCAGGCTGAAATCAGCAGCGACCAACAGCGCCAACAATGCCCGCCGCGCCTTCCACACAACCCGACCACGGGCCTCCGAACAGCATCCCAATGTCAGCGCGAAAGATATGGGCCTCACGGAGTCAGAGACAGTCGGTCAAGAAGTGAACTCCATGGCAGCGAGCCTGCGACCGTACACAGAGCGAGAATTGCAATTGCTGCGCTTGAAGTACACCCCTGAGCAGATGAAGGCTATCCGGAGCGGAGAGAGCGCGATCGACCCCGAACAAATGATGAAACAAGGACGATTCCGGACGGATCCCATGCGCATTGATTACATTGACGACTTTGCGACTGTTCGGCCACTGGTTGACGTCGCGCCTCCATCGATACAACAAGAGCTCGATGCGATAGCCCAGTCCCGCGCAGGGCGGAAATCCAAAGCATCGTCTACGAAGAAAGACGAAGAGGAGGATCCACGCATGCTGAGGTTGATGCAGCAGACAGGATTGACCAAAGAGGAGATTCGTAGACTGCGGGTGAAGAATCTGGTCACCCATCGAGTCGTGAATCAGACAAGAATGGGCAAGATTCAGTCGCTGTATTTCTTGACAATCGCCGGCAACCAGGACGGAATGTTGGGGATTGGAGAGGGCAAGGCGGCGGAAGATGAGGATGGAAGACGGCAGGCCATGATGAATGCCATTCGCAACATGAAGCCGATTCCGCGATACGAGGAGAGGACAATATTCGGTGAGGTGGAAGCGAAAGTGGGTGCTGCGGTGGTGAAGCTAAGCTCGAGACCGCCTGGTAGGTTCTCTTCTCTGTTCCTCTTCCAATACCATGCTGACAAGCTCTCAGGCTTCGGCAATCGCTGCCAACATCTCATCTTCGAAATGGCCCGCGCAGCGGGAATCACAGATATCGCCGCTCGTACACCCCGCTCACGTAATAAGATGAACGTGGTGAAAGCTGCGTTCGAAGCCTTGATGAATCAACGCCTACCCGAAGATATCGCACGTGCCCGAGGTCGGAAGATGGTCGACGTACGTGGCGTGTACTACGGGGGTCTTGTACATTAGCTGCTCAAACCTGCAAGTATACCACTGGTGGCGCTCTCGGCATCAGACATCTCTTTTTGAAAGATTTATAGTTTCCGAGTTACTTGTGCCGTTTGATGTATGCTAAAATGCTGACATTGCCATTTTTGAGCGAAGCTCGCTGTTGTGTCTGATCTTCAAAAAAATACTACTGCTACATGATGTCTCGATGACCGCTCCATACAACGCCTACTCATATGAACAGATGAGAACACTCGAGCTTTCAAGCCGCAACACCAACCTCTTTCTTCTCATCCACAGCACCCTTTCTCTCCGGGACAGCCCCTGCTGGCCTCGCAACAAGCTGCGCCGACAATCTCTTCAGAGACCTCTGAAAAACCGTCTCGCGCCGAGAATCAGGCACCACAGGCGCTGCGGCCGTCTTCTCAGACGTCGGCGCGGTGTTGCTCTTTTGCAACCGAATATAAGGTCTGATCTTATTTGCGGTAGGCAAGTTACCCTTCCGCTTGCTAGCCACGACGGATTCCGTAGAGGCTTCCATGAGCGAATTCGCAAGTCCCATACGATCTTGCATGCCGACCATGGCTGTACACGCGATGATGATGCCTTCGGTGTATTCGTCAGAATTCGGCTCGTGTTGAGAGGAGACGATGGATAGTTCGCCGGCGTTCTTGTTCCAAGGTGCTGCACGGGAATAGCTGGCGATTACGCGGCCAGAGCTGGTTGCGGTGCCCAGCACGAGATGAAGTTTCGGGTACGGTGTCCAGCTTTCGTCGTTGATGTACGCCTTGGCTTGGGCTATAACGTCTCCGACCGTGACGAGCTCGCCGGCACTCTTTTGCGCAAGCGGACCTCTCGTTGGAGATGCGCTGTCGGAGCCGGTAGGATCAGGCTGCGACGGCATGTCTGCATCCTGCCCATTGCCGCCTCCATTTGCGTCTTTCTTCGGAGGCCGGATCGCACGCCAGGTGCATTTGGCACCTCCAAGCACAGACATATCCAAGGAGTACCTTGTGGTCATCCAGCCAGCGCACTTCATGAATGTCTCCTTCCGCTCCGGTCCAGCAGCTTCACCATGTGGCTCAATCTTAATAGCAGGACCGCAGCCAGGCCAGATGAATTCCGGAAATTTGATCTCTGCGACTTGACGAGCGGGAATATCGCCGTCCACTCGAGCTTGATCGGCCTGATATCGATACAAACGCGCAAAGTACTTTGATTCGTAATTGAGGCGCCAGTAGGAACGCGAGTCGGCATTTGGGGTTATGGTTAGAGTTGGGTAGTCCGTGAGCGGACGCCGCCAGAGAAACGTGTACGTGGACTGGCTGGTACCGAGAGCTGGATCGAAGGAGACATGGCGAACTGAAAGATTGGGCGTCGTGTCGTCCTCTTCAGCTTGAGGGTTCGTTGCAAGTTCCTCGTCGTCAGAGGCCGGTCGAGTGGGAAGGCCCGGTGGCTTTTCTGTGTCTTCGAAAGAAACGCCCTTTCCGCGGCTCGCTGGTCCAGCATGCACACCGTCCTCTTCTGCTTGAAGTTGCATTGCGCGCTTCTCGTCTTCCGATAGTGACGGTCGCGTTGGAAGGACAGGTGGCTTTTCGTCCATGAAGATGACATTCTTCTCGACGGTGACAGACTCATCGTCAATCGGCCCCTTCGGCGGAAGCGGAGGCGCCTCCTGTGGAGCTTCTTGGGAGTACTTTGCTGCCTCTTCGGTTCTGCTTCGCATCTCGACATCTGTGTCGACTATAGTCTGGGGCGACATGGGGCCATCAATCCGCTCACGTTCCGTCTTGAGCTCATCCGAAAGCTTAGGTTCGTTGTCAGGCTTGACAGCCTGTTCCTCGTCCTGTCCAGTAGCCTGCGGCGTGACGAAGTACAGCTCCTCTGAGGCCACACTTCTGGCGTCGTAAACAGGTAGTGTAGTTGCGATTGACTCTCGCTTATCCTCCGCGGTTTCTATGGCCTTGTTATCCGCCATGTCGTATGCAAAGGGGAACCTTGAATAGTGAAGGTGGGCGAAAGTGAATAGAGTTCTGCCTCTGCGTGCTTCGTGCAGCAGTAGTATTGTAGAAGATATAATAGAAAAAACATCAATGTAAAAGTTGCTCCAGTAATACCCTCCACATGGCGAAAGAATCCGGATGCCTACCTTGGCACCTGACGTTGCTTCGCAATCTGCCGCGACGCTCAGCCACGAACACGAATCTCTCCAGGCAGAAGGATTTCAGAGCAACTTGTGCATGGACACCTATCGCGGGGATATCGGAGTGAAGCCACGGGGAACCGTTCGAACGAAAACATCCAGGCGCGATCTTGTTTTACCCATGGTTGTCTTGACGCTCACGAGGCATGACCAGATATGTCATCGACGCTTGGGTGACGACGCCGGCCAGTCGGCCGGGGAAAGGTGCGATGCCGTTGAGGCAAGCATATTGCATGTCTGGCGCATGAGCTATCACGAGATGACGAATTCCATGATGGATGTTGTGATTGAAAGGCTTCGAGTCGCGTTGTTGGTATTGGATGAAGGTGAGACAAGACAACCTGAGCTCAGTTCGGGAAGTCTGCCAAGCCCGGAGGAACCTTTTTCCTTTCACGCTAATGCCTCAGGCACAACTACACCTTGCGCGTTCCCTCATGCTTGCATCTACATACACCTATCCACTGCGTAGCCAACATTCCCACTTCCACCAGCCAGAAATGCCACTGCATGACAGCACGACCAGAGCTCCTGACTCAGCAGCAATGCTCACCTTGTAGACAAAAGCAGCAAGAGAAGCCAGCAGCCTGTGCAGGAGACAAAGTCGTCCGCTGTTGCTTCAAAATCAGTCTCTACGCGTGACCTGAGCGTGGTGAAAGATGGGACATTCCACTGACATGTCCCGAGAAATACCAACCCTCACAATGGTCAGCACACGAGAAGCAATGCACCGAAGCAAAGGAGGCGCGCAACACAACGGCAAGCGAAGGACCAAGCTTCGGCATCATCCTGGTGACTCACTCCCGGAAAGCGCTTGTCCGCTCAACCGGAATACTATAGCATGAGCGATGAAGCGGGAATGCAGGCGCAATTACAGCATACCTGCGAGACGTGGCACGCGACTCTCGGCGCTATTGCTTGGTTTGCTGACAGACTGAAGGGGAAACAAAAGACCACGTTCGGATCGAAGAGTCATGCAGTCGTTTGGCCATTCTATCCTATATCTCACGATCGCGCTCCTTTTGGGATCTTCCGGCTGATCTACAGACTCATATCCCCATCTTGCAGGAAAAGAAAGACGTCTGTCTCGGACTCATTCCAACTTCAAAACGCACGACAGAGCCAACGCAGACTGTTTTGAAAACGTCCTGTGTTGGCAGGATGGAGGTTACCCAGCATCTACCCCATCAAAGCCGATGTGGTCGGAGCCTCCACTTGCATCCTTTCCATTCGAGAACATTTCTACCGCTCAGTAATAAGGAACCGGACCAACTCTCTTCCGCAGTCTATCCAGCGCTCCTTGTAATTTCTGCACCAGATTCTCTCCTTCCAAAGTGGTAGCCTGAGCCTGCTTCTTTTCCGCACTCTGAACTAGCATCTCCTTCCTCAGATGACCGTTTCGGCCGGAAATCGGCGGAGGTGGTGGAAGTTTTGAAAAATTGACGGGTAGCGCAGATTGCATTGGGTGATACGGAGAGAACGCAGTAGATGGCTCAACCAGAGAGTGTCCCTGGCCATTGAATGGAGTAGGCACTCCGAACAGTGATGGAGGTTTTGGCGCTTGTGGATTTCCAGGAGCCGGCATACCGCCACCGTACGCGTAGGGCAACTGGTTTTGCATTGCCAGTGGCGACAAATACGTCGGATTGCTCCCGAAAGTTGCCGCTGAAGTATGGGCAGGGCCATGATAGGCATTGGCCTGCCCACTGTTAGCAGGCTGGAACTTGGGGACTTTGGTGGATGCTGATGCAGAGTTCACAGGGATGCCCCCTAAATGTGAGCCAGCAGAAGGTCCGGCAAGAGTACCTTCCGGTCCGTGGTGCGAGGGAAAGTGTCCACTAGGTTGGAACCCACTCCACGCATTTCCATCGAACTTGCCGTAGTCGATATTGCTATTAGGAGGCAGGTGGTTTGGTAGTTGTACAGATCGGAGATTCGAGGACTGATCGCGATGTGCGACCGTCTCGGACACCCATTTTCCAACTGTCTGTATAATGTCGCCTTCACACGATTCGAAGTGCTTCTTCGCAATCTCCGTCCAGACGCTGTCATCTGTGCTGCTGGGTGGCGACAGAGGGTCACGGAATTCTGTTGGCATCCGGAGATGTCTTCTGTGGGCAGCTGGATGCTGACGGCCTTCCAACCAATCCAGCATGGCTGTGCGGATGGTGTGGGGATAGAGCGATTGGTTGTACATCTTGTTCGAGCATTCCGCGTTCGGATAATTCTCTCGACCTGGCTCATTTTCCCACGGCTTTTCGCAGAATATCATGGCCTGGATGCTGACAAGCACTTGCAGCAGAGTGCTTTGGGCTGGATTCCAAGGCTCTCCGGTCCATGTGCCTAGGAGTGATAGACACACTTTACCGTCGGTGTACAAATTTGGATTGAAGCCCACTGTTCCGCCTCCTGTGGTTCGAAAATGCATTTGCGGTGGGCTCACTGGATAGCTTGGCGGACAAAGAAGGTCGAACTCGAAGAGCCCGTTCTCGTATGGAGTCCCTTGCGGGCCCACGATCAGGACCTTCATAATGTCCGGACGCGAGGTACAATGCCGGACGAAAATACCATCAGGCAAGCTAGCCTTCAGTCCGGCAAGATCCTTCATAATTCGCTTCATGCGTCCAGGAACGGAGTTGAGAGTCCCTTGATCCGGCTTGGCCGCCAACTTATGGCTCCTCATGATAAGGTCATCCGGCACATCAAGAATCGCAAGTTGCTTGTGCCAGCTGTTCTTGTTGCCATTCGAAGCTTTCTCCGCGCTAGAGTTGGCAGCAATGAACCCGCTCAGCTCCTTGATGGCATGGAAAAGTTGCACCTCTTGGAGATCCGCCGAATCCTGACCCGGAACAGATCTGAGCATCATGTCTGCTTGAATCGCCAGATCTGCCATACAATGTGCCAGAGGCTGTGTTGTATCGAGGTCTCTCGATTCGATGAGATTTGCCTTACCAACGGACACTTTGAAGACATCAACTCCTGGAGATCGTACGAGCCGCTGCCCAAATGTAAGGCAGCTGGTGGAAGAGTGACCAGAGAGCCTTCTGACGAACTGGATCAAACTGACATACAGTGTAGCTCGATTCGTGACGTCCTCGAGATCGTTGTTTCGTAGCAGTTCTGCCGCACGTTCCAAGATGGAACTGCAGAGGAACAGGGATTGCAGCTGCTTTGCAGGAGCGTCACGATCGAACTTGCTGTCTCTGTCGTAGTCGGGCAGCAACTTACTCAGAAAACTCATGATTTCCGAAGTCATGCTATCGTCCTCGTCCAGTGTGCTTCGTTTTGGCTGAACAGGTTTGGGGGGGACTCTAGCGCCACCCAAGGGGTGGTAATAGCCTCGGCCCTCACTTCCGTAGCCGGTACCGTTGCCGTTCTTCTTGCTAAAAGCTGCGGGTCTTGTTGAATCTGGGTTTGCTTGCTTCTTTTCCGGCCTGTTCTGCTTGGACTTCACGTCGAACAGGCTTAGTAATGCCCATATCTTGACCAACTCGTCATCTTCACAGTGTATCATCTGGCCGCAGGAACAATGTATACAGCTGTCGGGATGCAATGCAAGTACTGTTTCCGCAAGCTTCAAGACGTCGGATTCGGATTTCAGGGGCGATCTCTTGCACGTACACTTGACTTTATTTAAAGCCTGAGCAAGGCCGCGAACGGAACTCTGCACCTCCTGGACCTGCATGATTTGCGATCCCGAAAAGTGCGTAGATTTCGGTATAGCTGGAGGGATCTGTGATGGCTTTGACAAGTCGACGCGTTTGCGGGAAGGTTCAGTGACTTTGCGGCCATCTTCAACATCCCACTCGGCTGGAAGCTTACGAGCCACGTCTTGATCGTCACGGGTATTGTAGGGTACGCTGGCGGAAAGATCGTTGAGGGAGCGGTCTCTTGCAGGCGCTTTGCTCTCAATCTGGATTTCTTCGTTGTCAAATTGGGCTTGAAGAGCCTTGGCGTATGCTTCATCGTCATGTGTCATGTCTTCAGGCTCTGAGGAGTCTCCGGTGAGGTCGATGAAAGTGGTATCTCGACAGGTCGTGCTGTTCATTTTGCGAGATAGTCGCCGCCGTTTGCTTGGACTAGTACGATCCATGGAGATAAGACAGCAGGGCGCAGCAAGCTAGAATATGCTTTGTGGTGTGTCTCGTGGATCGCAAGGCTAGCGAAACCGATTCTCGAATTTGAGTTGTTTGCTCGATGTTCTGTGTTGTTGTGAGACACGACGTCGTTGAGTGCCACAGTGAAGGAGGAACAACCGACGAAGAAGAAGGCAAAGGGCCTCTGCGAAGGTAAAGGTGAGGCAGCAAGGCGTTGAGTTAGGGTTAAAGTTGACGCTACTTACGCGATGTGAGAGCTTTGACTAACAAAGAAGGTTCATGGCCCGGCTATCTACATAAGGTTTTGAGGTGTTTTTATATCCCCTCTGCTTGGCTGCCAAGACCAGAGTTTTTCACACTTAGGCATAACACTACTTTAGTAAGTGTAGTATAATTCCTTAGTATATAGGCTAAGGATCTTACATCCTCCCCTACTTAGACTTTAGTACCTACTAAAGCCTTAGTAGAGCCTCAATTGTCTGTAGATTCGTAGCCTCCCTCTACATACTAGTATATAGTTGTCCCTATAAGCCTTAGCCTTATAAAAAGGTTATAAGCCTTAGGTAGTAGTATTTACTAGTATATGTTATAAAATAGTAGCTTAGGAGGAAAGTAGGAGTAGGCCCAGCAGTAAGCTGAGTGGTCACGTGACTAGGTCACGTGACACGCCAAGCTTAGTGATAGTAGCTAGAAGGGGGAGAGCGGGCTTCTCTCTCTCCTACCTACTACCTTTATACTAGACTATCTTAGATACCTCTATATAAATTAGGTCCTTCTTCTTCGATTATTAAGTCCTTACTTCCGCTACAAACTACGTAATATATCCTATTCTTAATAGGTTATAAGCCCGGGTTTATAAGACAGGTCTCAAATTAAGTAAGAAGTATAAGTTATTCCTTACCTTATAAGACCTTACGGGAGGTAGAAAAGGAAGGCCGACTAGAGGCTCGCTACCGCAGTGTACCTAGAAGACATAGCTCTTACTATAAGTGTATATAAGTCGTAAAAGTAGCCTAGTAAGAGAGCAACCGGTCTGCTCTTAATACCCTATAACGGTCTTAGGAAGAGTCTATCTAGACTACTACAAATTCGAACCCCTCTATGTGTCTAGGAGGTACATACCTATAAGAATCCGCCCTTCCCGCCGACATCCGGCACTTCTTTATGTGTTATCTAACACATACCTTTTTACTAACAACTGTTTTACTATAAAGCTATAGTATCTACTTATTAAAGAAAAGTATAGAGTTAGATTCTAGGTCTTTTAGAAAGAGGAGGGTAGCACCTCTATTATTAAAAGAAAATTAGAGAACATAGTTCAGTCTTTAGGAGGACAACCTTAAAGGGAAGAATATATTTTGGGTCATTTTAATCAGTTTAGCTTTAATAGAGACCCTAGTATTAACACTAGAGGAAATCCCTTTGCCTAGTTTAAGACATTCAGTTTACTTACTAGAGTGGTCTTAGGCTAATACAAAAGTAAGATATAAACTAGTTATCTGCCTATTAGAAGATAACTAGGATAAGGTAATTGATAAGAAGAGGGCTAAAGCTGTCTAGGACAAAATGAAGGCTAAATACTACAAAGTGTATATTGTATATACGATGTCCCTAGTTAAGGAGTATATTATATTTAGGATGTTAGAAGAATAGACAATTAGAAAGGCCTAGGTACACCTTAGCAATCTTAGGAGAAGGATTGCTAAAGTAGATAAGAGGGAGTCCTACTATAAGAGTATAGAAAGGAGGATAAAACATCTTCTTACTAGTCTACTACCTATATACTAGAGTACAGTAGACACTATTTATGCCTAGACTAGGATAATACCTAAAGAGGCGCTTCACCTCTTAGAGTCACATAAGGCTAGGCTCTAAAGACAAGAAACTATAATGTTTGCTAGGTAAAAGGGAGGACTTACCTACTATCTCTATAAGAAGTAGCACTTAATTAAAGACTGTCCCTACCTCTAGTAGGCAAAGCAGTCTCTTAAAGGAAAAGAGAGGGGTAGGTCCCCTCTAAGGAAGAACAGATTACTATTAAGGATAAGCCTGTCTAATCTCTAAAAGGAGATAAGATCGTTAAAATCCTTAGTAGAGAAGTCTCTGACCTAGAAGAAGTCTAGTTAGAGAGCTAAGAAACCTTAGAGAGCTTATGCCTCCTAAGAGGCTAAGGACTCTATAGCTAAGTCAGAATCCCTATCTAATAATAAGGAAACTAATAAGGTTGCCTACTCTATAGTAGAAGTAAAGGGCAAGTACCTATCTAAATAGTTACTTAACTCCTATATATTATCCTATATAACTGACCAACCTTCTCTCTTTAGAACTATAAAGCCTCTTTAGAGGCCTAGATAGATTAAGGTTAGTAGTAGCTTTATAAAAGCTACCTATGTAGGAGAAGTAGAGATAGGAGGGGACCTTAGGAAACAAATTGTTCTAAGAGATGTTCTTCTTGTTCCTAGTCTTAGTGTTAGTCTTGTTTTATAGAACTAGTTTAGCTAACAGTTTGCTATCTAACCACCTAGTTTCACCCTTAGATCTATGTCTAGTAAACTAGTTGTCTAGACCAAAATTTATAGAGGTATGCCCTTTATTTCATCTCTGTTAGATAACCTACAGGCTATATTAGTAATAGATGCAATAGAGGAGCACATATATGCCTTACTTTCAGCTAAGGAACAGGCTTAGTAGGAGCTATAGTATAGGAGATTTACACACCTTAGAAGTAGTAGCTTAAGAAGCTTATATAAGGTCACTATATTGAATTCTCCTATTCTAGTACTAAGTGAAAAGCACCTGTATAAGGTGTACTTACTTGCAAACAAACGAAAATATAAGGGTCCTGTTACTAAAAGGAAAGGTAAAAGACTAGCCCTTGTATCTATTAACATCTGTAGGCCTTTTAATAGTACTGTCTTAAGGCTTGGTTTCAAGTACTAGCTAGAAGTAGTAGACAACTTCTCTAGGAAGAAGTAGATCTCCCCCCTAAAAGCTAGGACAGATACTCTAATAGTACTAGAGGAATGGAAAAAGAAAGTAGAGAGGCAATTAGGCTACTTTCTAAATTCAATTAGGAGTGATAGTATAAGGGAACTCCTTGCTATTTTTAAGTAGTAGGAGAAGAATTTTAGCATTTAGGTTAATATAACTAATGCCTATAACTCTCTCTAAAATAGTGTAGTAGAAAGGTTAATCTAGACCTCTAAGTAGACAGTACGTATAATGCTCTAGGATTTAGGCATGCCTATAGAGTTCTAGCTAGAAGTACTACTTACTTAGGTAGAGATAAGGAACAAGCTCCCAAATGGTCCTCTAATTAATAGAATTCAAGTGTTACCTAATAAAGCATTTATAGGTAAGATCCTATTAGTTAACTATTTTAGGGTTTAGGGATATAAAGTAGTAGTCTATATGGATCCAAGGTCCTAGCCTTAAGGTCTAAGAAGAGACAAATTAATAAATAGGGGGAAAGAGGTTGTCTTTATAGGTTATATAGATAGAACTACAAAGCAATAGTTGTTTTGGGAGCCTAATATAAAGGCTATTAAAGCTTACTCCTAGGTAGATTTCTTTAAAGAAGAAAAGGGAGGGGATATAGATTTAGGCATTTTAACTTCAAACCAATCTAGTAAAGCCCCCTAGAGGAATCTAGTTAGGAGACCAAAACAACTAGTACCTCCTACCTTATTATTAGGGCTAATAGATTAGCTACTACCTAGAAAATTGTTTATGCAGCTCCCTCTACCCCTATTAGACAGTAGGGAGTACTAGAAGATAGATCTAGAGGGGACTTAAGAAAATTTAGAGAAGGAACCTAAGGCTATACCTTAGGAGTTATCTAAAATTCTATCTTAGGGAGAATCTATAGGATTAGCTGACCTAGATGCTAGCTATTAGGGACCTACCCTAAGGAGCTAAGCTTAGAAAAGGAGAAGGGATCTAGATAATAAAGGAGACTAGAGTGTAAAGCACTATAGGACATTTATCTCTATAATGTTCTATCTAGATCCAAGTATAAGCTAGGCTAAGGAATTTTTGAATAATATAGAGGAGTATACATTTGCTACAGTAGGCCTAACTATTACTATATAGTAGTAAGTACCAATCCTAAAAACATATAGGGAAGCTATATCTAACCCTACCTAGGGTTATATATAGAGAGAAGCAATCTAAAAGGAGCTTTAGGCTTTAGAGATAAATAACACTTAGGAGCCAGCTGTACTACTATAGGGTGCCAACCTAGTTACTTCTAAGTGGGTCTTTAATGTGAAAAGAATAATTAGTAGAGCTATTAAAAAGTTCAAGGCAAGACTAGTTATAAGAGGGTTTTTATAGAAGTTTAGTATTAACTTTATAGACACCTTTACACCTACAGTTAGGCATAACACACTGAGAGTGTTTATAGTAGCTGTATATAAGAAGGATCTAGAACTGTACTAGATTAATATAAACAATGCATTTACTAAAAGCACCCTCTTAGAAGACATCTATATAATCCTACCCCTAGGTGTTAAGATTCCTCTAAACACAGTCCTAAAGATTCTAAGGAGCCTATATAGACTAAAGTAGGCAGCTAGAGATTGGAACAAACTCTATGTTACTAAGCTGGAGCAGATTAGGTTTATATAGTTAGAAGTGGACCTATGCCTTCTTATCTATAGGGGGAGGAACATAATAGTCCTTACCTATATAGATAACATCCCTATTATAGCTCTAAAGCTGTTAGATATTCTCTAGTTTAAGGGAGAGTTTAGAAAGGTCTTTAGAATCAAAGACCTTAGGGAACCTAAAAAGATCCTTAGTATAAAAATTATAAGGGACAGAGTGTAGGGCACTCTGAAACTTAACTAAGGACATTTTATCTAAACAAACCTTACTAAGATAAGCATAACTAAAGACAAGGCCTATGTTATACACTCACCTCTAGACAGCTATAAGAGCCTAAAACCTT